CGATGTAAAAAACAACAACACAAAAACTCAAGGTTGCTGTTGCTGCTTTCAGTCGCGATCTTAACACATTGACAATGTTGATCGTCAATCCTGGTGACTCTGGAAAAAACGGTTTTAAACGTTGTAAATGTTCACCACGCCGTTAATGTGACAAATGAAGCTGCGGCTGCAAGCTGCAAGCTGCAAGCCGCGCTGTGTGTCCCTGATGTGCGTCCCCGATGTGTGTCAAGGCCCGAGGGACGGGCGAGAATAAAGCAACAGGTGGAGAGAGATAGAAAAAGAAGAGAAACATTTACGTCACGTTGGCAGAAGAGAAAAAAGGATACAGCGGGTTAATGAGGAAAAAGCAAACCAAACGAAATTGCAGCAAAGCAGAGACTAAAGCAGAAAAGCACGCCTAGCGGAAGGAATTATAATATGTGTGATTATGAATAGTGTTAGAATTGTAGTTTGTGTTGTGTCTGGTATTAGTTATTACATTATTATGTTAGATTCATATCTGCAATATGAGTCAAAAACAAATTTATAATCATGATAATTCATGTAATTGAATGTACTCTGATAAGTACTCAGTTCTGTGACTCGGCTTCGGTTTGGAGAGGCTTTAAACACCTCACAAACTACAAGCCAACCCCTCCTCCCCCCACTCCATGAATGACCTCCGCCTGGCAGACAAGAATGAGTTCTACTGCAGATTTGATAGACAACGTCCTGACTCCATCCCCCACAGCTCCACCAACCTTCCTGTCTGACAGGAAGCAGCACGTGAAGCAGGAGAAACATGTCTCAGCCTCCCGGACAGTGACGTGCGGTCACTGGAGGCAGTGCCTCCCCTTGTGTCATCATGAAATGTGAAAATAATTATTTAAATATATATATTTGTCCACTGATCTGTGATAGAAGTGTAATTATTAGATTCCAATCAATCCGATGATTGTTAAAATCGCTGAATTTGTGTATTTCCTGTTCAAATACGGGGACAGTGACGAGCTGCACCTCCCCGTATATAACAAAATAAAAAAAGAGGACTTTTGTCCAGAAGGAAAGGCAAATGGACTTGACGTAATTCACAAGTAAAGGTAAGAGCATTCCTCCGTCTTCTGATTACGGTAGAAAGAAGTTAAAAGTGAAGCAACCACTGCTTGTCGTTATAATCTCTTCCTTCAGTCCCCCACTGTGGTAAATTGAATCTGTCACTGAAGAATGAATGGCTGTGCTTTAGATAACACGAGTCCAATTCAATCAGTAGGAAGTAGAGAAGGAAGCCGCAAATGTGGAGAGGCAGGCAAAGTGAGGAGTTGACGGACTGGATGGGAAACAAAGAGAGCAGCTCAGCTGACCCTCATGTGAAGCCGCTGCGTGTCGGCCGCGCGGTGCCAGGAAGGTCACGGTCACAATAAGAGCCCAGTCAAGGACGGCGTCGCCCGGAGACATGGATAGACCCCCTCAGCAGCCGTCCGTCCCTCCCACCGTGCCTCCTCCCTGCCGTCCCCCCACGCAGCCATGTGGACTCACGCTGAGAGATCCGATACAACAGCTTCCTCTGTTGGCTGGCCTTGTATGAATGTGTAATGGTAATCGCTCTCAGATGCCACATTAGGATAAGATTGGAGGGGGGGGGGGGGGATCGGCTCTGAAAAGAATATTTCGAGGGGGAAAATGGAGGTCATAATTGTGCTTTCGAAGAAACAGAGAAGGATCATTCAGGATCTTCATGGAGGAATGTCGAGTCCATCAGGAGAACTGTGGTCGGGTGACAGCGTTGTCATCAAGTGGACATTGATGATTGGGGACCAGTATGTGCCACATAACGGGAAGATTCAAATTCCTTTTTGACAGACGGCCAGCTATTCATGCACACTTTCTTTCAAAAGTTCAAGAAAAGACAATGGGTCCCCATTCGAGAACCAAATTGATGAGAACAGCATTAATTCCTTAAAGTCGACCAATACCATGAAAGCGCGAACACCAAAAAGGGTTCTTTTGATTTGCTCCAGTTTAACTGGCATATAATTCCTACTGAAATGTTGAAATATTAATGCACAGTAGTTACAAAGATGAAAATATGCGCACAGATATCCAGTGACGCTCCGCTTTATAGCCGTTACTTGTTACAGTTAAATATCTCCAGCAGCAGCTGACTGATTCTCAAGCAGTTTTTCCAGGGAACATCGACTCATCAAATAGAGTAAAATAAACCTCCTCATGCCTTCAACACGGCTCATGAAAAAGCGAGTTAGCATTTCCCTGAAAAGACGGACGTCGCACAAGTGAGAGGATGGCGGAACATCTGCCCGTTATTCGGCGACCCACTGATGAACTCCCGTAGACCCTTGTGTGCATACTTGAACTGTGCAGTCACTGTTTAAGCCTCAGCAATCTGTTTAATGTCCAGTCCTATTTCCGTCTCTATCTCCAGGCTGGAAAAGCAAAAGGAAACCAGCTAGCGACTTTCATCACAAAGGACGGATTAAAATGCAACAGGGTGTTGAAAGAGGGATTAGTGTGCCTGCACATGTATGCTTCTGTCCCCGAGAGAACAACCAGTACTGAGAGTGGATTCATTGATGGACTGTTTTCATTCTGTAGAGTAAAAACAGGATGCCAGCATGAACTCGCTTTGAGCACCTTTCTGTCATCTGTGACTGAGTTCTACACGGTGCTCGTGTGGCCCGCGTGTATACCTGAGACCATGAGGATTTCGGCCCGTCAATGCAAGGAGAAAATGAGAAAAACTCTGAAAAGTTTTTCTGGATCACAATATAACGTGAGTCGTAACCCGGCGGACGGAGGGCTGAAGTGACTCGCTCCATCTGCGCCCTCTCAACTGCTCTGCTGATGTCACCGGGGCGGCGAGACATTGCGTGGATGCGGCAGCAGATGGTCGCGGATAACCACAGACACCTCGGTGCGTATGCGCAAACGCGTCACCGAAAGCAAATCGAGAAGCACGTGGGAACCTGACACGTCGGTCACAGTTCAGCCGGCCCCCACGTTTCAATTGAAAAGTCAAGCGTGTGGTTGCAATTTAGCAGTAAACACGAAGCGCTTCTGGATCCTCCCAGAAATGAAGCCACTGTTGTCGCCGTCGCTTTTCTTGCCGGCCTGTTCTAACACGCTCGAGGCGGCAGGCTGCGTGTGCGCCGGAGGGAGACAAAGACGGCGAGAAGCACAGGCGCGAAATGTCCCCGCGCTCACACGTCAGTGCACGGACGCAGGGTTCACATCTCGCATGATGCCGCGGGCTTCCGGTTTAGAGCTCTGTGTGTGTATCTGTGTGTAGGTGTGCGTGTGTGTGTGTGCGTCGGCCTCATACCATGTGAAGCGCTTCCACTTTTCATTTTGCGAGGGGAAGTCAGGACTTGTTTTTACTGAGAAGCAGTTTAAGTTCAAACCTGAACAAAAATGAGATCTTGAATTTGACTTTTCACTCTTCTTTAAAAAACAAGTTTCTATTTCTTTGATGTTAACTGCGACTGTCTGGATTTTGTTTGATCATTCAGACCAAACATTGCTAGCTACAGTATTTAAAAGGGAAATGATGGGATTAACTTCTTTTATAGGTGTGTATTTTTTTATCGTACGGGACAACTATATGTATCTCGGGGGTATTTGTCAGTTAAGATGATGAGTACTAGAAAATCACTTGGAAATTGTATGAAGCAATTTACCGGCCTACAAAAACCACAACTTAACCGCTATAGATGTATTTTTATGTTTCGATATGACGTGTAACGTTACTGTTATAACTCCTTGTGCCTTGAAATAAGTTTCCCCGCTGTGAGCAAGTTTAATGAAAGTTTATTCATATCAAATGTAGTGCATGTTCAATTTGCATCACATTCTACAACAAGAAAGAGGCACTGTGGGTCACACAAGTCACCCGTCAGGGGGGAGATCAGGTGTGCAGCTCTCCAGATGGAGGACACGCGACGGCAGAGATGACTTATAAATAAAGCTTCACTAAACGTCTCCCTCCAAAAAACAAACTAACATTGAATTCACAGCTCACGCTCTCTGTAGGAAGATGATGCTGCCACCATGAAGAAGGACTGGAAGGTCCTTACCGAGCATCAACACTGAGACCCTTCCTTCTGGCCCCTAATCCCTTTTACCCCGGGACCTGCACTCTGCAGGTGTGTGTGTGTGTGTGTGTGTGTGTGTGTGTGTGTGTGTGTGTGTGTGTGTGTGTGTGTGTGTGTGTGCCATTTGGTCCAAAACTTTCTACCATCTTTCCTAACAGGAAGCCACAAAACCAGCCCTTGATGACACAGTAGTCAGTAGTTTAATCGTCTCTGTGGGATTTCTGCACAGCAAGAAACCAAAACTGCCCCCTTTCATCTCAGCAGCCCTCTCAAATTCTGTGTGTGTCTGTGTGTGTGTGTGTGTGTGTGTGTGTGTGTGTGTGTGTGTGTGTGTGTGTGTGTGGGGGTGTGTGTGTGTTGTGTACACTACGTGCATGCAGCTTGATTTACTGCAGCATTTTGGAGTATGATGTATAAAGGGGATTTCGCCGGTGGGTCACAACCTATTTCAACTCATTGTGCTCTTTCTCTGTCACACACACACACACACACACACACACACACACACACATCCCCCAACGATGGAGCTCCCCGTGCCTTCCCCCTCCATCCGTATAAGGAATCCATAAAACAAGGAGAATAATAAGGAGGATAAAAAGTAAAATAAGTTAAAAAAAAACAGTCAGACAAAAGGAGAGTACAGTCTAATACACGCGCGCGCGCGCACACACACACGCACACCTGTTCCTCTGACTTTCAACGATGCTGTTTGACACATGTGAGACTTCCAAAAGCTTGGAAGCCAGTCCAGATGTGCTCCGCTAACGTTACGTCACGCATTAACGGACACCGTCACCGATGGGTCTCCCACTGCTCGGAGGGGAGACCCGCGAGTCTCGCCCTCATACCTGCACGGGGGGAGAGGGGTGAGAGTGGGGAGGGGGGGATGCTGGCCTCCGGCCGTTCCGCGCTTACCTTTATAAAGTCCGGCCACACGCGCCGACGGCTCTACCGGCGAGTCGCTAACGCCGGGACACCATAAGTTACACGTCCGCCACCGCGCGGGAAAGAGCGCGTTGCCTTTTCAAGCGCGAGCTCCAGGTGTGCGCGAGCTGATGAAAGACGGGGAATGCCAGCCGAGGGAAACGGCTGAAGCTCTCCGGCCGCGCGCACCGGCGGACCGTTTCGGTGTGACAAGGAGTCTGTCGGCGCGCCCAACACCGCCGCTCGATGTCAGAACGCCGACCGAGCGACCGGCTGCCCGTCGCGCCGCCCAGCGGCCGCACCGAGTCACCGCAGGCGGGCCAGATGTTGGTCGCGCGGGAGACGTCGGAGGCGTTTGTCGGTAATTGTAGCAAAGACATCCCATCGGGTCATGCTAAAGGCCAAACATGCACATGTGTGCATACATGCATATTATAATATTAGAAGTTGTATTTGTTTATCGTCTCCTCACTGGTCCATTCACTTGTTAATGTGTGAGTATTTTAAAACAGCACTAGACTTCAGAACTAAAAGTAAAGAAGTGTATAACTACAATATATAATTAGGTATTATATAAACATCCATGTTTAGTCTGCTTCTCTGCATCATTGGCTGAACAGATGAGCAGGTGAAAGTTGGGTAATTTCCAGTCAGCTGCCTGTAACTGCCTGCTGCTCAAACACACACGCATGAACAAACAAGGACACATTCAATCCTATTTCTAACCGTCTCAAGATTTGACCTATACCCAATATGAAGGGGTCATTTAAAGTGTGATCATTGTTGCGTTTGATCACTATTGTTTAATTCTAGGTGTTTTAATCGGATTGTTTGACAGTTTAGTTCATATGACCTCACCGTGAATTTCTAACATACTTAGCTCTAAAGGAAATGCATGAGGGCTACATGTGGAAAGATATACGTGTCATTTAGAAAAGGCTTCACACCACCTTCGGTCTTAGCTGAAAACTCTCTCCCCACACAGCCCACAGCCCCCCCTGTGATGGCTCCATCCGACCACCGTCCCTCATTGCTGCGATCACCACCAAACGTTCACTCAATGCAACATTGTGGTCGTCATATGTGAAAAGGGGGACAAAGGAGGATCCTTGTGGTTATATATCGGGCTCCATACCTGGCCGGGTGTTTCTGGGCGAGGTGGGGATGAATTTCGGCTTTTGATGCGGTGATGAAAGAATAAAGGATGTAATTGTTGTCTTAGGGTGTGCAAACATTTTGGCCTCTGTATCAAAGTGAAAGTCATCACTTATTTACAGTTCAACCGTTGGCCCCAGGAAGAGGTCACAGCTCGATTCAGAAGCTCGACTGAATCAACAGTCAGAGCATTTGACTCATTTTAGAAAACACTAACCGCAGCACACATTTGTTGCTGAACCCCTTTGACCTGCAGTGCTGAGTTTGCTGCTTAAGTTCAGCTTGTCATGTTTTCAATCCAATGGAAGATATGTATAGTATTTAGATTTGCTTTAATCATTTCTTAATTAAAGGATATAATTCTTCATGAAGACACTAAAAGTTTTAAAATCACAAAGTTTAAGTGGAGAAATAATTAAAGTGAAAATCATTATAGCAAAGTTGACTTTGTTGACATTCTAATCCTGCAGGGGAGGAATTGTTGAATAAAAATAATTCATAATTCTCTTAATAATAATAATAACTTGTGAACTTTCTATGTGAAAGTGAACATTCTAGAATGAATGCATGCAGCGGTTTGCAGACACAAACCACATTTCGTCATGTGACCTGTTTAGCTGGAAATGGCTGGTTAGCTGCAGCCTTCATATACATACAGGAAGCTCTGCAGGCAAACTGCTGTACACCTATAATGAAATACGTGTTTCATCAAGTATTCGGTGCGTTTTTGGTTTCAATCTCAAAATCCTTTTGTGCCAGTTCTGCCTTCGGTGTGTTTAGCAGGTTGGCAATTCCAGAGTTCCAATTTATATAAATATACTCACACACAAATTCTGCTGGGGGCACAGAGCCAAACTGAAGTATTACAATCCTGTCAGAACAACTTAACTTAAATGTGTTTGCTAAGTTTTCTATGTTTTTTAGGGTATTTTTTAGGCCCTTAAAAGCACGTTCGTTGCTGATGGCGAAGGATGCATCTCAGGTACAGGTTCCCCGCTGCTGACAGTCGACCACCTCTGTTGTTTAACATTGGAGAGGCTTTGTTCGATCAAAAGCGGGTGTTGCTAGATAGAAATGGAAAAGGTGAGCTTTAACCGAAAGTGGACAGACATTCTACCTGTTTTAATAATCAAATATGTGTTAATATTGTTACCAAACACATAATCAAACTACATAAACACATTTTACGAAAAAAATAAAAAAGAATACATCTCACCTTTTATTTCACCGAGCCCTGACGATGTTCTTGAGTTCCCAGCAACTTGAACTTCAGCACCACTGTAATTCAAGCAAAACCATTTATCCATGTGGTATTAGTGATAAACTTGCCTGCCTCCTACTGGCGAAAATCAGGGTTGTAATCTCGTTGTCTGATCTGGAACCAGCAGACCTATGTGCTCATGCTCACACAATGTTTCTCATGGTATCTTAGCTGTTTAACTCCAATTTGATTTATCTGTAAAAGAAAGTATAACTTAAACATTGTAGTGCTGCTCTTTAACAACAAACTGCTGCTACATTCTCCCTTTACATGTTGATCCTTTCTTCCATGGAATAGATTAAACTAGACTGCATTTATTTTATGTCCAGGGTGGATGAAAAGTAAAGTGAGAAAGTGTAATCGGTGGACAACAAGAGTTAAATAAGAACTAGGAGCAAGGAGTCCTCCATGTTGCACCGCCATGTTTCTACGGAAGCTCAGAGCGGACAAACTGGCTCTAACACGACGCCTGCGTATTTCGCATCATCTGAAGGTGGGTGGTTACTGAAACCAGTCGCAGAGTATTAAAGGCCGGAGTGTTGGTAAGTTACTGCTGCTGATTTATTCTTCAGTTTATCCCTGAAGGCAGATGTTAGCAGATGTGATGGGTTATTTTGTCCAGTGGGAAATGAGCTCTGGTTTATTCTCTGCAGAGCAACAACAACATTCAAGTTAAATCAACCGTTACCAGACATTGTGTGTGGTAATGAAAGGAAATCAGATATGCGACTAGAAAGGCTTCCTCAGCAGATGTGTCCGCATCACCACAGCTGTATTGTGTGATTGAACTACTGCTTGAAGTAGAACAAGCACGTGCCAGTCCTCCCCTTGTTCACATGTTGCATAATCATTACAATCAATATGACTCTCCTTACATTGCTGTCGGTTTGAATAAAATGAAGATGACCCACAAAAGGTTTGTGGTTGTTTCTGTTTTCACCGCACGCCACATTTCTCTCAACCTGCAGTATGATTTATTCTGGCGGTTCATGTTAAATCAACCATTACCAGACATTGTGTGAGGTAATGAAAGGAAATTAAATATGTTTCTAGGGTCAGAAAACTGTCATTCAACAAAGCTGATTGAGTAACACGGAGTAAAAAGAACAAATAGAGCTTTCTGAATTCAGTTTAAGATGTTAGGGATCAATTATGATTTGAAGCACAGTATTAACAGTAATAATACTGTTTCAAACCATAAAAATACAGTATTTGATCTCATTGTGGGTTTTTATGACGACAAACAAACCTTTAAATTGTTACACCAAAGTAAATATATAACCTTTGGAGCTTTGGATGATTTACTAACTTCTTTGATTATATCACTGATGGTCTCAGCTGGGCTCAGTGCTCACGGAGCTCCTCACTTCTCAGTGAGTGTTCGGATGAGTTATCGTTCCTTTATTTTTTCCTTTTTAAGAAATGCGATCCATTTTGTGGATCCATTCAGTTTTCTCCAAGAATTCTCCTTTCAGAAAAAATAAATCCGTTAAACTCTCCATAAAAACATCTGCACTTCTTTGCATTGACTCATACAGCAGATGTTTCTTCACAGGAAACAACTGGGGCTGGCCTGTGGAAGAGCTCCTCAGCCATTCAGGACCCCCCCCCCCGCCCCTCTACTCCTCTCTGCAGACGAAAACCAAGTGGCCCCCGAGGAGGTTTTTCAAACGTCTCTCTGCCAGCCAGCTTGGGTTTCCATTTGTGCAGCAACAACCGCGATGAAAGCCTTCGTCCTGATCAGCATGCTGGCGGCCGCGGCGACCTCGGAGGCCGTAAGGACAACTTCCACACAGCCGTACTGAAGGGTTGCATTTATTTTATACTTTATTTTTATACCTTTTAGGTCTTATCAAGGGAAACAAGACAACAGGCGGTTTCTGGTTTCTCTCCCCGCTCCTCCTCCTCCTCCTCCAGGTCCTTTAAAAGCTCAGGTAAGAATCCCTACCTTTGCCTTCGCTCCTCCTCGGCCCAGCCTCTGATGAAGCGTGACCCTCTCCCTGTGGTGCAGGAGGCGTCTGTCTGAACGGCGGCAGCTCCGTCCCCTCCCTGGCCTCCGGTGACCACCTGTTCTGTTTGTGTGCCGACGGGTTCCAGGGGAGCCGCTGTGAGACAGGTGAGACGCCGCAGCCGACGGGAGCGCATCGCATTCCCTTTCTTTTCACCGGAAGCTTCCACGCTGTTCCCACGCAGTGGACGGAGCCGACTGCTACGAGGGCCTGGGCCTCTTCTACCGAGGCACGCAGTCCAGGACGGAGAGCGGGCGGACGTGTGAGGAGTGGGACTCGAACACCCGGGAGCGCTTCATGGCTGCAGACGTGTATTCAGGGAGGCACAACTACTGCAGGTGGGTGCTATCGTGTAGCTGCTGAAGGCCTCGACGCCTCTCTTAGATACTACCAAGACCGTAGAGTTGTTGAGCCACTTTTTGTTGTTTCTTTTTGTCTCTTTGCAGCTTTTATTTGTCTTCGTTTTCCCTTCCTGGTATTTGTTTTGTGGTCCTTTCCATAGTCGGAAGTGTCTGTTTTTCATAAAGAGCCTGAAGAGAGAGAGCGTCACCGCTCAGCTTTTGCTTGAAGGTGTTTGATTCCACATCAGAGTGACAGCCCAAAGAGCTGTTTGGGCAGCCCAAACAGCCCATTATCTTCTATGATTTATGGAAAGTTTTCATTTTAAACCATGTAATATCTTGCCCTCACTTGTTTTTTTTGGTGCGATTGACTCAATGTGCTTGTCAGGAATCTGCTCTACAAGCGGCGTCCCTGGTGCTTCGTGTGGGAGAACCGGCGGCTGGTTTGGGAGTACTGCCGCGTTCCTCGCTGCGCCCGCCAGTTGTGTGAGTACTTCCTCTCTTCCTCCTCACTGCGCTCCTGTGGAATCTAAGCCAATCAGTGCTGCTCTCTCTCACCTCGTAGTTCCTCCCCCCCCTGCGCCTGCTGCCCCCACGGAGCCGCTTCCAGGTGACCACCGGAAACCGCTGAAGTCGCCGCTCTTTCATTTTCATGCTTTTGTCCCTTTCAATTGCATTGACCTTTGCCCCCCCCCCAATGCAGCCGCAGAGTCGACATGTGGCCTGCGCTCCAGGAGAAAGCAGCTGAAGATCGTGGGAGGAACCGTTGCAGCTGTGGAGTCCCACCCGTGGGTCGCTGCCATATTCTGGCGCGGCAGGTCCAAGGAGAAGGTGTTCCGCTGCGGGGGGAGTCTGATCTCGGCCTGCTGGGTGCTCACGGCGGCCCACTGCTTCCCTGACAGGTGGGAAGGGGAGTCGGACAGGGAGCAGCTGAGACGAGGGAGCCGCGGCTTGTTGACAGGTCTCCTGCTGTGACTCCCGCGTTTCAGATCCAGCACCAAACCGCGGCGCTTCTCTGTGGTCCTGGGGAAGAACGCCATGAACGAGACGAACGCGGCCGTGGAGCAAACGTTCCGGGTGGAACAGATCATCCTCCACGAGGGGTACGACAACTCCGCGGAGAACTACAACAACGACATCGGTGAGAGCACGGATACATATAGAGGCTAAAACGACAGCAAGAAACAAAAAGACTAGAACGAGAAACAAAGCAAACACTACAAGAAAATGACTCAAAATCAAAACTCCATTGAGAGACAAAATGGCCCACAATGAGACAAGGAAAACTCAAAGGAGATGCAAAACCAACTACAGATGATACATATTTAAATGACTAGAAAGAAAACATTAGATGACTACAAAAGAGACACAAAACCACTTCAATGAGTGTCGAATTGAACATAAACAGACAAGACTTGAAATATGCGCAAACCATCTAACGGAATAAATAACCACAAAACAATTACAAGGAGAGGGATTTGTGACAACAACAAAACTGCAAAACATCCACAAACCACATAGAAAACAACAATGAGAGACTCAAACCGACCACGCAGAGACGATGGATCACTGAGTGAACGGCATTAATAAGCCAAATGTGCGGCAGCTCTGCTGCAGCTGAAGGCCAGGCGGGGGAGGTGCTCAATAGAGAGCGACTCGGTGAGGCCCGTCTGCCTGCCGCCGCCCGGACAGAAGCTCCACCCCGGGTTCACCTGTGAGGTCACCGGCTACGGGAAGGAGAACCAAAGTTAGTGCTCTCCGTGCTCCTCACTGTAATTATCCTCATGAGCCGTAAAAAGCCTAACAGTTCCCCCATAGGTCTGTGGTACAACTCCCCGGTCCTCCGGGAGGCTCAGGTGAACCTCATCGCCGGAGACGTGTGCCGCCAACCCGACTATTACGCAAGCCTGATCAGCGACAACATGTTCTGCGCCGGCCGCACAGACTGGAGCCGGGACGCCTGTGAGGTATTCTCCACAAGTCCCGACTGGGCGTTTGCTCACAGGATCGAGTCGTCTGGTTTCCTTTAATGCCGCTCCTCCCTCCCGCCCCCCCAACAGGGAGACTCCGGGGGGCCTCTGGTGTGCGAGGTCGGCGAGCGGCTCTTCCTGTTCGGAGTAATCAGCTGGGGCGACGGCTGCGCCAAGGAGAAACGACCAGGCGTCTACACCCAAGTGACCAACTATAACTGGTGGGTGGAGGAGAAGACGGGGCTGTCGTCCGTCACCTCCGGCGCCATGTTTCCTGAGAAGTGAAGACCCGAAACGGCCACAACTTCCTGCTAGCAGGTCTCGTTGGCTTGGCTTGTTGTCACGGGAACATCACCGGTTGGTTTGTGGACTGAGGTCATGAAGCCTTGAGTTCTGCGTTTCCCGTATCGCAGCCGTTGACATCTAAAGTTCCTCCCCCTTAAGTATCTCCCGCTTTATGGTCGGTTTGACTCTAAATGGACCATAAGTTACTAAATGAACGTCATGCTGTATTGAAGAGAAAACTAGAAGCGTTCGCGATTGAAACGATAAACTGATGTTTACAATGTTTATTGAGGGAATAAATCAAGAGAGAAGCAGCAGAGGAGTCTCCCTCTGGTGGACATTAGAGAGAATGCAGCTTTAAGACACTTCAGAAGTCGATTAATGTTGTACAGCCGCCATTGACTTCACCCTTACGTCAAGAGGCCACTTACGCACTTCGGGTTTGTGGTCTGCACGCGTAGAAAAGGTGGCTTGTTAGCGTATTAGCTGGTTAGCTTGTTTACTTTCATCTACAATAATGTAAAATAGTTTGTAAACAACTAAACATAACACTGATATGTTTTTTGACATATTTTCTAAGCTTTGTATTATATATATATATGAATTTAATTTTAGTACATACAATATTTTGTATCTTTTATATTGCAATCTTTAAAGATATAGGATATATTTTTCTATTTCTTCGATTCATTTAAGTAGAATATTCTTAGCAGAATGTGTTCATATATCTGCCCTTTTCTACATTTTTAGCCAGAAATATTGGATGTAATTTCAAAGAGTAATCACCACAATATCTACAAACAAATGTTGAAATTGTAATTGTAATAAATATGCATGAAAACCTAAACCATTAATTAATTTTCCCTGTTTAGAAGAATGAAATTATTTTCTATTGTGTTCTGGATTTAATTATTTTTTTATGCTGTTAAGCTAAAAACAGGCTCATATTATTAAAAGCTTGTTTTAATGCATCAATTTTGTGTTTAACACAAAAGACCAGATTGGAAATAACTCTTCAGTACTTGTGTAAAACTGTACAAATATCTGACCTGAAATTAATGACTCTGTAACTTCAGAGACTTAGGGCCCTTTCATGATGTTTCTCAAGCTGTGTTTAATGTCCCTCTGTTACTTAATAAAGCTCTATTAAAGGATCATAAAACTCTCAATTGTTTTGTTAGGCTGTAAAGCAAATGACAAGCAAAAATGGTAAACGCTTTGTTGGACGTTTATTGAAAAATCAATATATATTTCTATAGTGAATGTGTATATATAAAATATATCAAAAGGTATACGTATATAAACAAAGAATAAAGACGAAACCATACAGAAGGTTTTGTGATTCAATTTGACCACAAGATGGAGTTATTGCAGTAACAGTGAAACACAACAGACTCTCCTGTCAGACGAATAAAGATGTGCAGAGGTCAAAGACCACCAGCGCACATTGATTTAGATTTTTTCATACAATAATCCCACAGAGATTCGGGGGTCAAGTCACTGACTCAGCAGGTAGTTTCATTTGGTTGTTTTCCTTCTAGTTCAATAAATAATAAATGGTTAATGTCAGTCTGCGTAGTGACAGTTGACTAAAATGTACTTTATGTGACGTCCTAGTGAAGAAATTCTGGTCCATCCTTTAGCGGATGGAAAGTACAGCCACATTTTCATAAAACCTCTGTAAGAGAAGGGTCCTAGCTTTGGTAGGTTGGTGCATTTGTTTTTTTGTCTGTGCACCTTCGGGAATCCGACTCTTTGGGATGAAGTTGCTTTTGCTCGTTGGACTGGATGAGGGAGCGGCGATAACGAACGCTGGTTCTAGAACCGGGAACCGGTAGAACCGGGTAGAACCAGTAGAACCGCAGCACAGGCCGGTTCCTCCTGTGAGACTCGGAGTGGAGACGTTCCCATCGCATCCATCTGCCTTGCAAAGGATTGTGGGTCGGCATGTTTGCTGGCAACCTGCTAACATCCTGGTATTATTGGAGTTCTGCATTCTACACACTTTGCATTGTGACGGACTAAATCCATTTCTGGTTTATTAGATATTTTAGAATATCTTTTTTTTGATACTCACATGCTTCAGTTATTCAAACTAGAAGTACTACGGGACTATTTTATTATATTTGACTGAAATATTGAACACAAAATCAAAAGTAGTATCAGAATTGTATTCATTTTGTGGTAGCCTCTAGTAATCCGTCCACGTGTCCTTCATCACCTTCCTTCATCCCACACGGCAACGAGTTCCTCAAAGCAGAAAGTAGACGTCTGTTGTTTCAGGTTTTTACTCATTCACCAAACAACCGAGCATGTAAGAAATCCATCAGAAGAAACAACGTGCCCTTTCATAGGAACCAGTTTGTTCTCTAAAGTCTGACGTGGGTGTGGAGGCAACTTTCTTAATGTTTTCAGACATTCAGGTATTCTGAGGACTCACCTGTTGTACACCTGTGAGAGGAGAACCCAACGTCTCCTGAGTCTTATTCACTGACAGCTTTAATCACGCATCCACCCACACACACACACACAAACATACATACTCACCCACTGACACACCTTCTGTTTAAGGTGTGTCTGTACCTGTGGGGGGAGGCGGGACTTCACACACGTCTCCAAACCGAAGCCCGACCCGTTTTCAGAGGACGCTCTGCCATCCCGTGTGTCACATAAAGCAAAGTAAGTACATTTGCCTTCAGATAAATAGGCGTTATTCCATCATTTTAGAAAAAAACAACAGGTAGTGGTAACAGTGGTAGATTGAAGTCTGTTATAATCTCCAATTAAAGATGCTTCTGGCCGTTGAATTGTGTGCTGAAGAGACCTTTGTTGTTCCCGGTTGTGTCGTGTCTCACATTGATCGTTGGTCCCCATCAGGCTTCAGGGAGACTTTCTAAATCAACCACAAGTTACATTTGAGTTGATTTGAGTGCTTTCCCGTTCCCTGTCCACAGCTGTCGTCTTCGCCACCATGTCTGAGAATGCAGAGTCCCACTCGCACACCATCACCACCAACCGCAACTGCACGGTTGAGATCACCAATGTCAGCTCCGTCTTCTGCCTCGTCAACCCCAAGTAAGAGCCGCCGAGGATCGAGGATCCACCCGCCGCCTCTCTCTGTGCATGACCACATGACTGACACATCATGTGATACCTGAAGTACTTTTTCTGGAGTATTCTGTCCACTACTTTACTTCATTCTTGAGGGAGGTTAAAATGACTGACTTTGCACAGTGACTACGGGTGGATCAAAGTTGATTTTGAAGTTGCGTCAGTGATGGATGTTTTTAATAATTATGTGGCATTGTTTACATTTTTTTCCTTGTCTTAAGCCCAGCCATGATGTTCTTCATGAAACTAATTAAGGGTTTTTGTTGCCTGAAACATGTGTTATAATGATGCTTTGAATGTCCTTCCAATGTTGTGATGTTTATTTATTCTGTTTCAGCCTCAGATGTGTAAAATAATGCAAAACTTCATTAACCCGGAGAAAAGTGTAGCAAAGTAAAAATATATTAAAACAGATTATTATTATTTTAGTCTCATGACCCCTCAGAGTTATCTGGTGATCCTGTGGAGGGGCTCCACCCTCATGCTGGGAACCACTGCAATAAACTCCATAGGGGCCTATCTTTCTTTCTGCAGAACCAGAACTGGTTTTAGAGTTTAAGCCCATTCATCATATTATATAAATATATGTATATATATATATATATATATACATATATATATATATTTCACTCGAGCAGGATTCTACAGGTATCACAGCCCCAGTGCAGTAGCTGAATACTTCTACGCTCCCCCCCCCACAGGGTGCACATGGAAAGCGGCTTCGTCTACAACCCGCCGCAGCCGACCCTGCGCACCGCCAAGACCGAAGTGTGCTCCTTCACCAAGGACGACAACACGGCGTCGGGCGCCGTGGGGGTCATGACCTACGAGCTGTTCGACATGCAGAGACGCCACTGCAACGAGATCGTCGCCATCATGTTCTCGGTGCCCTTTGACTACAGCTTCTACAAGAACTGGCTCGGCGTGGGCATCTTCGAGCACACACACCCCTGCGACGGCAAGTTGTTCGACCAAATGTACAAGGGCAAGGACTTCACCAACTTCGTGCGCAGCGAGGCCAACGGCTCGGGGGTGACCTATCGGGGCCGCATGGTGGACGTGAGGGCGTGCATGTCTGATGAGGGCAAGGCCATCATTAAGCTGGAGCTGTACGACAAGATGGGCAGATGAAGGGCGTCACGAGTGCGTTTGTGTCGTTCACGTCATGTACGGGCGTTTTAAACAAATAAAAAAACCTCAATGAAGTGGATTTCTGGTCTTTGGTGTTTCTTTGTGTGTCATTAAATTTGACTCATCTCGGGCTCTTCAGCAGGTAGAACATGAATCGAGCTGCACGTCGGCCTCTTCATGCAGACCGTTTAGACCACAGAGATTAAAGGCGCGGTGCAGAACGAGACAAAGATCTCATTTAACTGAGATCTTTGTAAAAACAAACAAATACCACAGTGACGGGTCAGCCGGCTGCACCCTTAGTTCCTCAGGAGACAATCGTGAGACTGAGAACCACGGGTGGAGGTGTGTCCTCTGTGGGTGGTGACAGTTTTTTTGGGGGGGGTGAGGCCACTGAGGAAGATGTGTCTGCTGTGGGAGGTGACGTTTTTTATCGTGGGTGAAGCTTCAGCTGTCGTAAGTTCCCCAACAAGAGCGAGTCCTGTGTTTCCGATCCGGCGTCGAGCGAGCAGCACACCTTTGACAGGTAAGCCCTCTCTTCTTTCGCAGTGAAATAGAATATAGATGATAAGTTTAGGCGTTCCCAGTGTGGATTCCTGTTTTTTATTAACTCCACACTCCTTAAACATCAAATTGCTGGCTGTATTTTGAATGCAATCCTGCTCCGCCGCAGCTTTTTTACCAAGAACAACATGAGTGAATCAGCGGAAGCTTTGGCTGCCAACCTCAAGAGCCGCAGAAATGTGAGCATCGAGATCACCAACCTCACCAACAACTACTGCCTCATCGACCCCAAGTCAGTGATCACATGTCCAGACGACACTACATTCCATATTATAGTTGTACTTTGGTAGATTTTGTGTATTCTGACGTATTCTTGTGTCTTTATAGTATTTTCTAGTATTGAAGTATTTACTACTGTTGTGTAAATGAGTTTCCAGCTATAGTAAAGTAAATCAATCTTTTTCTCTCTCTCTCTCAGTCTGTCTTTTAATTCATTTCCTTTGAATGCATAAATTGATGAAGTGCAGCTTGAATAAAACGTTTCTCTCTTTGGGCAAATAAAAAGGGTTTACCTGGATAGCGGCAACGTCCACAGCCCCCCCCAACCCACCGTGCGCCCGCTGAAAACCGAGGTGTGCAACTTCAGCAAGACCAGCGCCAAGGCCACGGGGGCGGTGGGCGTCCTGACCTACGACCTGTTCGAGAGGCGTAGCAACAGCGCCAGAGAGAAAGTGGCCATCATGTTCTCCGTGCCCTACGACAACAACATGTACAAGAACTGGTTGGGCCTGGCGATCTACCCGCAGGACAAGGAGTGCAACGAGGTGCTGTACAAGGAGATGTACTACGAGAAGGAGCCCAAGGGCTTCGTCAGGCAGGAGGCGCATGGCTGCGGCCTCACGTTCGAGGGCCAGAGCTTGGACATCAAGGCCACCATGTCCCCGTTGGGCCGGGCCATGCTGAAGGTGGAGGTGTGGGACAAGCTCTTCACTCCCGTGGGGCAGCAGCACCTTTGAGCCGGTCGTTTATTTTCCTTTCGATGAAGGTATCCGGTTTGATGTGCGCGCTGTGATTCATTCATGCAATAAATCCAGTGTGGTATGAAAAAGAAATGTGGGTCTTATGTGATTATTACAAAAACGATGAAGATATTTATGAAGACACTGTTTCAAATACAGAACCAGAGATTAAACACATTATTTGGTAGAAACATGGAAGATACATGATGAGTTGGAGGTCCGGTGTTACTGTTGAAACATGTGCAGAACATGTGTGTCACAAGGTCACCACCTGGTGGTCACCACGAACATGGGAGGCTTCAGGATACCCAACCTTCTCCTCTGGCGTCACCGCGCGGTTCAAGGTGAACCCGAGGTTAAAAAGAGCCGGTTTCAAAGGATCGAAAAAAGAAGATTTAGAGTTCTCTTGTTCACTTTCTTGCAGTCAATTAGATTAGAAAACGGGCACCTGTAAAAGAGAGAATATGAAGCTACAGCCAGTAGCTTAGCTTAGCATGAAGACTGGGTGAACAGTATGAAAACCAAAGTGTTAAAAAACTAGTTTTACACAGCCAGGCTATGGTGTTTATGCTATGCTATGCTACGCTAAGCCAACGTCACATGGCTCCACCTTCATATTTAACTTTTATCGTCCAAAATTGTATTGATATTTTTTGTTTGCCTGCATATATTGTTTTTATTGTTGTTTTTTTATCAGAATTACTCAATAGTTGTAATAATTTTAATGAACTATTTGGCCCCGTAGAGCTGAGCTAGTTTTGAGAATGGTTAATATCATACATGTTTGTAATTACTTAGTAATAGTAAAATGTGCTACACATACACACTTTGCATTGCACTGTACTTCAACTTAATTAAATTATATTAGGATTAGCATCGTGAGACCATAGCGCTGTAATAATGTATTGAGAACGTGTTGGTGTCAGTCTGATCCCGAGCACTGCTCATGAAAGACGCTGATGTCAGCACCGAGTCGCTCCTTCAGATGTTCCTCCAGGGTTTTCAGAGACATTCTTCTCACGTCGTAACCCCTGAACTGTTTCTTCGCCTCCCGGCTGACGGGAACGATCTCCTCGGTGCTGTTGCGGTCGTTGCGTCCGATGGCGGCGTGCGTGGGGAAGGCCTCCCTCAGCTCCTGCGGCAGGCTGTGGTTGTAGTCCGGGCAGCAGTAGGCGGACCACATGTACTCGGGCACGGCCACGCGGCGGTCCCCCAGCCAGTGGCCGTCGCTGCGGTACGGGATGACGCCGGTCACCACGTGAGCCTCCCCGAGGCAGAAGGTCGCCAGGCTTTTGTTGACGTTGTTTTCCAGGTCCTCCCAGGGCCCGTCGTTGGAGCCCGCCTTCTGGGGGACCACGTTGGTGAGGGTGAAGGTGGCGGCGCGGTCCTGGTGCATCTGGTGGTGGAGGCTGGGGTTCAGGTGGCCGCGGGTGTAGGTGGAGTTGATGTAGTCCGGCTCCACCGCCTGGCTCTCCACCACGTTCTGATCCAGAGGGCCCGAAGGGAAGGGGATCATGTTGCCCTCGGCTCCTGGGTTGGCCAACTGTTATGGGGGCGGATCAAAAGTGGTTAATGACAACTAGCATAAAATAATGCTAACAGATCTCCGCTCAAAAGGTTTGCAGAGTTCTTTCGGTATCTTACAAATGGTTTCTATTGGCTGCAATTGAGAGAGAAATGATATTATCACTCTTTCTCTAAATGCTGTTTTTAACAGCCGACATTACACAGCTGGAATCAAACCCACTGCCTTTAATTTGAGTACAACAGAACAAGGGGAATAAATTCTAAAAGACACAAGGTTTGTAAAAATAATGGTATAATTTTGGACATCTGCTATTTACCGTAAACACCCGTTGAATTACAGTATTTTCACTAATTACTAAGTTAGGTACCTGGCTTCTTATATTTTCATAGTAGTTTTCCTTATTTATGTTCTCTTTTTAAATGTATTTTGTGCATTCCTTGTTAATGTTTGTACTGTGGTTTTGTAACACAGAATATGCAGAAGTGCACAGGCCTGATTCTGATTATTATATATTTTTTAGATTCAACCTTTGTTCATCCAGTCCCACTGTGATTTAACAATGATATTAGAATATAAATACGTTTTATTTGTTATAGCACCTTTAATACAACACTATTCACACTAGTTTTACAAAGAATAACCTTTTTAGGAAGACAACTTTAAATGGCATTATTTATAACTAAAATACAGAATTTACTCAGAGGGCTGCATAAACGTTTTACACATAGAATAACAAACTACAGACTTAAAACCAAAAGTTGGCATCAAAATGAATTTGCAGTGTTCAGTAACAGTGCCAGAATATCAGTGATTAAATAATGCTAAAACTTGTTAATAATGCTAATAATAACAATACATAATAATGTGGTGTCTGTGGCTCACAACAAGATGGCCGAAGTCTTTTCAAACTTTTCAATCAACACCTCCTTTTAATCCGCTCACCTGCGGCTCGAACATCCAGGAAGGGGTGGGCCTCTTTCCCGCTGGCGCAGAGTACAAATACGCCGAGAACCACGGCGAGCGGCGCGGCCGGCTGTACAGCGTGGCGAAGCGGTACTCGTTGTGATATCGTTGGCAGACGGGGGACCCCGTCAGACCTTTAGGGGGCCAAGACTTGTAGAAGACCTGCAGGCAGGGGGCGAAATCCCCAACGTCGGCCTCGCCCACGGAGCACCACGCCGCCACCAAGACCAGCGGCAGCAGAGCGCCGAGCGGAGACATGGCAGCAGCCGACCTACGGAGGGGAGACGCAGGAGATGAGTCCACCAGGGCTGTTCTCCTGTAAAGCAGAAGCACGGGCTGCACATTGGTTTCGGTCAAATCCCTTGAGTCAGTCCTCCTGACTGCTGCACGCACAGCAGTTATCACTTCTTCCTCTGACGCACAAAGAGTTGAGTTCAGCAGATCACACTAATACTGTTTAAATGACAAACTATTCAGCGGCACCTTGTTGAGCAGCTTAATGTTTCCTATCCTTTGTGTAGCCCTTGATAAGGCCGTTACTGGCTGTGTTAGGACATTCTATCTCAGAGTAGTAAAGTCGGAGAGTATCAACGGACAGACAAAAGCGTTGTGTAGTTTACTCTCTTTGTAGATGCGGAAACTCTGTCAGGCCATCTAGCTGGTTTCATTTCCCAGTCGCGGGGCTCGGTTTTCACAGTGTGATGTGCTGGAGTTATGTACCTTCAAAACGTGAACAACACCCAGAGGGAAGGACCTAAATGTCATAAGAAAAAAGTAAAAGTTAAACAGAAGTAATTCACTGGTGTGTGAAACTAAAAACACCACCAAGGACTCACATCTGCTGTCCAATTGCATTTGATCTACCCAGATGCACACAAAGTAGTTTGGTTTAGGGAACAAAACCAAAAACAATTACGTTTGGAACAAAACCAGTAGAACCATCGGAAGTGTTCCATGATCTGTCGTGTTTGAATTTTATGTTTGCCCTTTTTTTCTTGTAAGCCAAAGACGTGTGTTTTTATAAGGAGGTCCTTGTTCAGGTTTAATGCATGCAGAACATGGAGTATGAGGGGGAGGGGGAGGGAGGGGCTCTGTGGGAAAGGGTTTTTCCTCGTGTCCCCTTCAAAATACATACTGAAGTCCATTTGCTGTACCACCCTCCCCCAACTCCCTCTCCGCCTTATGTAACACAACAATTGGGATTTGGACTTTGGATTCTTTTCCATGCAGAGGCTGGGCTTCACTTTTCCAGAGCAAACTTTAGAGTTTATTCCTCTCCTGAGATTCAAAGGTAAGTTTTTAACACTTTTGTTTCTTCCACAATGCATCTCACACTAAATGCCAAATAGAGAAATAGAGACAAACTGACAAAGAGAGACTCTGTTTTGCTGCAGGACTCAAAGTGTGCAACTGATCTGCACGAAAGAGTGCAGGATGTTCAGATTCCTTTTCTTCTTCTCAACAACAGGAAACAACTGTTCCTTTGCACGCTATGAATGGAGACTCAGCAAAGCGTTTTTAGCATGTTGGCAAGTTTGTGCTGTCTGCAGATAATGAGATTAGAAAAGGGAACAGCAGGCTTAAGTTATCACAGGCATTCTTCTGGACCCGATTTTCCCTTTCCAAGGCAGGTACTGTGGACGTCCATATTGTAATTTCCCTCTGGTACATAACCATCAAAGGTTTTGGTATTTGAAGATACGTTCCCATCTGGTTTTAATTTATTTTCCTGGCTTAAGCATAACTTTCAATGTACTTGTACATCCTGTTCTCCCGAGGTCCCTCGATGGGGTTCAACCAGGGTGTTTTGCTTCTGCTGGCGAGCACGTCCCTCCTGACGGGCTCCGGTGTGCTGGCCGGAAAGATTCTGGTGTTCCCGGTGGACGGAAGCCACTGGGTCAACATGAACCTGCTGATCCAGAGCCTTCACTCCAGGGGCCACGAGGTCACCGTGGTCCGCACGGCCACCAGCTGGTACGTCAAAGAAAACGCTCCGCATTACCGCTCCCTCACCGTCACCCTGCCGGGAGCCATCAGCATCGAAGAGGAGGACTTCTTTGTGACCTTCCTGGTCAAGATGCTGGCGATTCACAAAGAGGGCGCGTCGATTAGCGGCTTCGTGAAGTTCTACTGGGAGATGCTCGGCACGCTGTCGAACATCCACCGACAAGCAAGCTTGTTGGCCGTGGAAATGTTCGAGAACAAGACTCTGATGCAAAGTATCCGCAACACCCAGTTCGACGTGGTTCTCCTGGATCCGGGGCTGCCGGTTGGAGTTCTGGTGGCCCATGAACTGAAGCTGCCGACTGTTTTTAATGTGAGGTGGATCACCAGTGGAGAGGGACATTTTGTTGTGGCTCCGTCTCCAACGTCCTACGTTCCGACGTCGGGATACGCCGCGTCGGATAAGATGAACTTTGCGCAGCGGGTCAAGAACACTTTCCACTATTTCCTCAACACGTGCATTGACAGGTTTATAGTATGCCCTCATTATGACAGACTAGTAGATAGGTACTTTGGTCCAGATGTGAAGTTCTATCACCTCCTACAAGGTGCCGACATCTGGCTCATGAGGGTGGATTTTGTCTTTGAATTTCCTCGACCCACCATGCCAAACATCGCCTACATTGGCGGTTTCCAGTCAAAGCCTTCCAAGCCTTTGTCGTCAGAGCTGGAAGAGTTTGTCCAAAGTTCAGGAGAGCATGGATTCATCCTGATGTCTCTTGGGACACTAGTGAATGGCCTACCCATAGAAATCACCTCTGAAATCGCTGCTGCTTTTTCCCAAATTCCCCAAAAGGTCATTTGGAGGCATGCCAGTGCGCCGCCCAATAATCTGGGCAACAACACCCTGCTGGTGAAATGGATGCCCCAGAACGACCTCCTGGCTCACCCAAAGATCAAAGCCTTCGTGGCTCACGGTGGCACCAACGGGATCTACGAGTCCATGTACCACGGCGTGCCAATCGTGGGCATTCCCCTCCTGTTTGACCAGTTTGAGAACATCTTGAGGTTGGAGGCGCGAGGAGCCGCCAAGTCGGTGGACGCGACCAAACTCACTCGTGAGAACTTTATGGAAGCGATACAAGAAGTTCTCCAAAATCCCTCCTACAGGAATAACATGAAGCGCCTCTCCGCTCTCCATCGGGACAAACCGATGCATCCTCTGGAAACTGCGCTTTACTGGATTGAGTTTGTCATGCGGCACAAAGGAGCTGCACATTTACGCACAGAGTCTTACAAGATGCCCTGGTACGCCTATTATTCTGTAGATGTTATTTGCTTTTTGGTGGCAGTCTTGTTGATGCTGACAGCCGTCATAGTGGGATCGATACGATTCGTTTGCTTTAGACTGTGCAGGAGGAGAAAAACCAAAAAGGAGTAGCTCACATTGGATTAGTTCATATCAAAGCTTTCTTAAACAGCAGCCATGAGAATGTTCTGTTCTTCAGGCAACTGAAATTACTCAACACCAAAGGGTTGTTTTCAGTAAAAACATCATTGCTTGGCTTAAAATGACTATAGAAATAAACAAAACAAAGCTCAGTAGAAGTACTTTGATGATTGTTATCTAAAACCTCTTCCAACGTAATTAAAAATGTAAATGGGAACTTCTTTTTCAGATATTCATGGTTACCAGATGATCAATAGTCTCACTTTCACTGTTGCGCCACCATGAGGTTACATTACATTACATGTCATTTAGCCGACGCTTTTATCCAAAGCGACTTACAATAAGTGCATTCAACCAAAGGGTACAAACTCAGAAGAACAAGAAACAAGAAAGTGCAATTTCCTCAAATAAGCCAATTTACAATTTGCTATAGACGAGTAGCGTTATAAGTACAATTTAAGTGCTACAATTTGTTAAAACCGGTGCTTGTTGCTGAAATGCTTCGACAACTATTTTGGAAATTTGGTTCAGAAAGAGTCCTGGTTTTACTCGTAATGCAAAAACTAACATAGATTCCCATCAGCTGCATGCTGACATCACCATTAACTATGAGTCATGTTAAAGGTTTACGATTGTATAAAAAACAAAATGTCCCAAAACACACTGAACTACCTTATTTCATATTATATCTGCTTTTACATGGATCAACATTTCAAAATGATTGCTGATACTTTATGTTGTGTATTATCTTCGTAATTGTCACTTAAACAAAGAAATTGCACCATGGCATAACTGAAGAAACCCATACTTCAAAATAAAAAGTAAAAAGAAGCTTGAGAGAAACAGTTTTTATTTCGTACAATGGAGGAAAGTATTGAACATGTGCACTAACACTCACACAGCAGCACGTATGTATCCACGATAACACACGGAAAAGTACATTTACAACATGAAACTAGAGATACAAGCGTTCTTGTTTGAACATTCTCATTAAACATTCTTCTCACAGATCCATCTGTAAGATTCCTCACAGGAGCCGTCCATCCAGGACCCCAGTGCTTGTTCGCTGGCATCCAGGAGGCCACAGTCTTCTCCTCGGGGGTCGTCCAGCTTCCAGTCGTCGGGCTCCGGCCCGAGTCCTGGTCTGCTCAGCCAGAACCTGCAGGAAAAAAGAAAGTCATAGTTGTTTTTTTGCGTATCAAATTATCTGAGAGATACAAAAAATACAAAAAAATATGGACAACAAAAAAAACTTAATTTTGGTTTTAAAAAAATCAAAATGAGAATCCTTTCAGTGTCAGCGTTACCAGTGTGTTACCAGTGCGTTACCAGTGTGTTACCAGTGTGTTACCAGTGCGTTACCAGTGTGTTACCAGTGCGTTACCAGTGTGTTACCAGGGCTCTGACTTACTGAACATCTGAAAGGACCCTGCTGCCGTCCACCCATCTCCACTCGCCCTCCTCCTCCCGGTCCGACAGGCCGATCCACAGCCGGCGGCCGCTCAGCTGCAGAACCTGGCTGCTCTGGAAGACGAAGCTCTACAAAGAGAACACACGAGTCGGATCACGTGATGTTATGATGTTGTTTTTCATGGTTGCATGCTCCCCCTTGCGTTGTCCTCCACCTGCTCCGGCTGGCTGTCGACGACGAGCAGGTCGCCCCCTTGTGTCCGGCACCAGGATCTGCTGGAGCTCCAGGTGAGCGTTTGAGACGAGAAGAAGTAGCACTTGTTCTCGAAGAGTCTCCAGCCGTCAAGACACTTTCTGCAGATCCGTTCTGTGGAGGAAGAAACAAGGTCTTTGTGTAGCCAACAGCTTCTTTTATTTCCCCTTAATAGAGTAATAGAGTTGTGGATTAATCCATGGCTAAAATTAATAAATAAAATAATAATAATAAAATAAAATAAAATTGAATCCTCTGTACGATCGGCTGTTTGGGGAAATTTGAAACCCTTTTCTTAATGAAACTGTACATTTTATGGGCTGCTAATGACAATTTACATTATTGATATAGAATAATGACAAGAACTAATTACATTTCTGATTTAGAAGTAGGAACAATATAAACCAGCTTTATAAAATTAACCTTCAGTCTGTGAATGAATTCGTCAACAAGCCTCAACCTGCCCTTGTACCTTTGGTCCTGGGAGTAACCACGGGGCAGTAGAGGTCCAGGGAGCGGAAGGCCTCCCGTACCGACTCCCCGTCCGGCTCCCGCCTCTCCGTTTTCAGCTCCCGGTTCTCCTCCTGGAGTTCCGTTAAGTCGTTGCTCAGATCTTCGGCCTCTCCACGAAGCCGGCCGCTGACCTCCAGCAGCCGTTGGTTCTCCTCCCTCTCTCGAAGCAGCTCCTCCCTCAGGAGGCCGTTGGCCTCGGAGAGCCGCCGTCCCTCCTCCTCGGAGTCCGCCAGGCGCCGGGCGTTCCGAGAGGCGTTCCGCTCCGCCGCCTCCCGGCCGGACGCCTCCCGGTGGAGCCGCTCGCGCTCCCGTGCCAGTCGTTGGTTGGCAGAGGTCAGGTTCGTAATCTGCTCCGCCAGCTCGGCGCTCGCCAGACTCAAGGCCAGGTGGGCGGACCTTAGGTCAGCGGAGGTGCCGTTGAGGAGTTCGGCCCGCTGCTGCAGCCGGAGGCCTCGGTCCTCCAAGAGGTCGTTGACCCTCTTCAGGTGGCCGTTGGCTGCGGCTGCAGTCAGGAGGCCGTCGCTGATGTTCTGGTAGTCCAACAGGAGGCTTTTCCACTTTGGCCGGCTGTGCGACTCGTTGTTATCTAAAAGTCACAGAAAAATCATTATACATGTACCGTTATAAAGGAGGCAGGAATACACATGTGAGAAAGGCACATTACAGTTAGAGGAATTTAAGATAGGCTAACCCAACAGATATGACAGTGGTATCAATTTCTCATCTAATCCTTAGAAAACTAAATGTATTTTCCGAAGAGGCAAAACTTCTTTTCCTTGTGAGTTGGCAGAGTTGAACTTACAGATCACAGCGAGCGCGACGCAGCTGAGGAGCAGCAGCAGGCAGAGAGCCGAGAGGCCGGCGACCGGACAGATGGGCGCACGCACCACTGTCTGTCTGTTACCGAGGAAACCGGCAGCTTCAAAACAACAACAACAAGTTGTGGTTATTGTTTTTAGTAATATTCATTGGATCTTCATCTTTGGTTTTATTATAGATGGAGATGTGGGTTTTATAACATCTGGTCTCTTTGTTATCAAGCCAATTGTGTCTGTGATATTGTTTTTAATTTCTTATTTTAATTAAATCAAGGGGGAACTCAAGTCGTTTTCAATGTAAACCGGTAGAGTTTTATTAATATCTCTTGATTCTTGGTTTGAAGGTTAATTTTGTTAATTTATAATCAAAAGAAGTTAGAAATACTCTTTTCGAGGGTGAAAATAAAGATCTTTGGATTTATTTACACACCAAAAAAGAGTCCTTCCTATTTAGCAATTATGTGTTAAAAGCAGACAACCAATTATAACTTCTCCTCTAAAGATGTTTTTATTATTAAAACCGTAGTTAATCCTCTAAGGCTCTTCCTTTTACACGAGTTATAGCTTTAAATGAAAAACCACACAGTGAAACGCCATCACTCACACGTCTCCTCATCCTGCTTGGCTGAGGTCGCCGTTATTGATCCGCCGGATGGATTATTAATCCAGGGGAGCCACCGGCGTCCGACCATATCATCCAGCAGCAATTCTGAGGGAGCAGAATAAGAAAGTGAGGAAGAGACTGAGGATGAGTCTTCGGTGTTTAGACATCGAGCAGAATCGATGCTGTGGTTTTCCTGTTCTGCATCATCAGAGATCAGTATCTGCATCACTGATCATTTGATTCATCGCCGATCTGTAAATGTAAATGTGTTGAGGTGTAACGTGGAAGGAAATATTCAGATGCATATTCACACAGTGGGGTGAAGTGCAGTTTGATTTAAATCCTAATAATATAGGTAGTGATAGAATGTTAAGAGCTGTTCTTTAGAGGACAGTTGTCGAACTTGAGTGTTCGGAACTTGAGTGTATTGGAGATGTCGGCTCTCCAATATAATTAGACTGATAAGCATCCAAAAAAAAAAAAAAAACATATTTTCAAGGAGAACCAAGCAAATCCCAGTAATATATTATCTTTTAGTACATGTTTGCAAATACTTGTAACCAGCATGTTTACATTTTCATTCATATTGCTGCTAAAAACAGCCACATACTCACAGGAGGGAGATAGAAGGTCCGATGTGTCGTCCTGCTTCTTCAGCCACCAACAGAGAGGCTCATTTATAGCCGACTGACCTCCCGCTGCTCCTCATCCATCAGGTGGAGGTTCTCTAATAAAGGACACTTCTGTTTGATGCCAGCTTATCTCCCTCTGAACAATGGTCACTGAGGGCTTTGTCCCTGTGTGGCCTCCAAACCACAAGCCGGTTTGATCTCCACATATTGGAGGTTTTCTTGAGATGTTTAAGAATCCAGCCTTGAAATAAAACATATTTTAAGTCTGTAATTTTGTTTACACTCTTAAATGAATGGATGATTTTACCTTTTCAGGTGTTTAAAAACTCTAGTTGAACGGGTCTCACGTTTGGAAAGTCAAGAAGACGATGCTTGAGACAATGAGATGAACGCCTGTGCTTCTGGGAACGAGATGTTAAAATCACTTACGATGTAACGCTGGCGTCCACATATTTAGCATTCACAGGCCAAAGAAAGCAACAACGCTGAATGCGTCTTATTCATTAAAAATACAACAGAGCAAAGTTTTGCAAATTATTACTGCAATTGCTGGTTTAAATAGTGCGATGCTGTAAAAATGCCGCGACCAACAGGATATCGACCACCACGTGTGTGAGATAAGAGACAATACTGACCGTCCCCAGGAAGCTGCTCCAAAGCCAACGTGCTGCCTGATGCTGTGGGGAAGGAAATACCCACCTTCTTGGTTTCAAAGCAAACACACTGGGGTCAGGGTGCTCTCGCCCCTTTTATTTGTTCTGAGCTCCATCAGCAGACCCCTTTTCGTCTGGTAAGCGTGATGATGTGCCTGACTGTTTAACATTATTATGGGAATGTGGATTCTGGATATTCTGGGTGCTGATCTTTGAGGGGACTTGCTCCGCTCCCGGTCTTTCTTTCTTTTTTGCCTCCAACTAACTGTGCCCTAAACCATGAAGTCTGCTATCAAACACATTATTGGTTATTAATCCCTCCACCGTTATCTGGTCGTGTTTTTTAAATGGAGCTCTCTAAGGTTTCCCGCAGAATCTGATTGGGTTGAAGGGAAGCTGGAGGATTAGACTGGGTGTGTGAAGTGTGTGTGTGTGTGTGTGTGTGTGTGTGTGTGTGTGTTTCTCACTTCACTGCATACAGAGGAAAAGCAAAGAGGTTGTTAGTGAGACGTTTTTCTAATGATTCCTCCCGTCTTCTTATCTTCATCTTTTACAACACATCAGGAAGCATGAACATCAGAGGGGCCTCCATCGCCGTAGATTAGCCAGCTCTTCTACACTTGTGTTATCTGACCTGTGATCTAAACCACACTAACCCAAATGCCCCAAAAACAGGCCTTTGAAGAAGTGAATGCTGACTAAATGTTTTCAATCTGAAAAGAAGTCTCCTCACGCTCAAAGACTGGATTTCGTCGTCACAGGGGGAGCACACACAGCTACGGGTTCTTTTAGTTTGAGTTTATTTATATGGACAAAGAAGTAAACACAATACACATAAGTAAAGGAGTAGAAGTATTGTGAAGTTAAATGAAAAACTAAAAGGATTTCAAATTGATCTGACCAAAAAGAGAAAGAACAAAACACACAAATATACAGAAAAACAGAAATACAATTGTTAGAAAAAACAATGGGACAAATATGCCACAAATTACAAAAGGAGTTTGGCTCTACTAAGCTCATCTGAATGAAGTTGACTTTTGTTTGTTTAAAGATACAACGCACACGTCTAGGATGATATGTTTCAATTATGTCATTTGTGTCCCCTCACAGGGAATTCATTATAGTCCAAGTAGCCATGTTTCAATCTGTTTACTGTCCATCTATGTAGAAACAGCGCCACCAGCCCAATGGCACGTCGCTGTGGCTGAAAAGGGTACTGCACCTGATTGACGGCGTACGCGCGAGCTCAGTGATGAGAATTCCATTCCAGACAACGTGACATTTGAAAAAAACAACAGAACAGAATCTATTGGCTCGTATGACCTGTTAACAAATAAAAACAGGTATACAGTGGTATGATGAGCTCTGTGGCCAGGACACACATCAACTGATACAATTGACTTTTTCTATGAATATGTCTTTCAGACCAGAACTTCAAATAACTTGAAAACTAAAGCAATTTCAAGTCGAAAAGCGGTGTCTGGGACGCTGCCAAGCCGAGGACGGCCGCCGAGACCTCAAAATACCTGAGACCACCGTGACTGAAACAGGTAGCCACATAGAGGCATTAAATACCTGAACTACCATTATTATTATCATACCATTAAATCTCCATTGGGATCACAGGGGTAACTGGTGTCCCTGCGGTTCAGACAGATTAGGGTTCATGGGAAGGGACCACCTGGGGCGAGCAGAGTGAAGTGGAAAGTCTGTACCTACGTGAGCTGATACATGTTGGAGAGTTACCACTCATTTTAGATCTTTTTTTGGTGGGAGGTCATACATAGCACAGAAAAGCAACATTATTTATCAATGATAAATGCATTCGATAAGCATATCCAATATTCAACTGCATTGAAAATAAGCAATCAGCTTGTTAGACTGAAAACCCTCCAGACAGATGGCATTGAAACATGTTACACAAGTTAGATTATAGCTTCAATTATAAAAGGTATTAAAATGAATAAGTAAGAAATGCGTGACTTCTCTTGGCTGCAAAAAAGCAGCTATAAATATCCCAGTCACACAATCAGCCTCATCATAAAAGTCCCTTATTACAGCCTTTATTTTTCTATTAACACTCATATCCCTACTGTGCAATATCTGTGAATCAACACAACATGACTGATGTGGCCATGTGGTTTCTAAATAAAACAATTTTCTGCACTTTGTAATAGTGTGCAAGGTTTACTTCTTATCGGCTGGATAAGAACATGTGGACGTTATCTAGACAACACTCCACGCTGTCAAATCATTATCGGTGCACGTTAGCGGCGCAAACACAGAGACAGAATAAACAAACGTATAGATCCAAGTTCAGTCTGTGGTGAACAGGTCACTTCATATGGCCAATGGCTCTCTCGCGGGTCCTTTAGAAGAGGCGGCCATGGCGGAGTTGTAGATAGTGGAGAGTGACACCTCCATGGCGGGCCTGTTGCTTCCCCCGATGTTCCAGCCGTTCTTCCCGAAAGAGTTCCTGATCCTGCTGGTGAAGCGCTCAGACACGGGTCTCGCCGCCCGGCCCAGTCCGAGCTCCTTCAGCTTGATAATGCCCACGTCGTCCTCCAGCTCCTCCGGGGGCACGTCGATGTTCCCCGAGTACCAGAACACCCACCAGATCAGGCTGAGGAAGATCATGATGGCCCCCGCGTAGATGAACAAATCGTGGATGACCAGCCCTGCAAACACGCCCACCATCATGATGAAGAGGCCGACCACGTCGTGGACCACCGCCATCCAGAAGGAGCACTTGCAGCGGCCGACTCCTCCGTACCGTGTCTCCGTGAACGGCTCGACCTGTACGGAAGTTGACATGGTGCTCCACAGCGGCAAGCTGAGTTAGTCCAAATGTGAAGCGTGATCCTTCTCCACTCACAGAGCCGCAGGGGTCAAAGTACAATGTGCGCCAGCTGTTATCAGCGAGATCTTTGTGGGTGTTTTAAAGGGAAACGGTTGCATCATTCCTGACATAAGCCTCCCTCACTGCAGCGTTTCCTCCTCTGCTTCTTTCAGCACGGGGATCCACACCAGCGGCGTCACAACAAACATCTGCCCACCGGCGAGTCAGACGGCAAGTCTCTCCAGTTGTTTCCACGGTTGCCTTCGCAGAACAATCCTATGAGAACCTCTGGCACACGGATAATGGGGAGACGAGCCACTGATCTTCTGGTCTCTCGTTCTCCTGCCCAGTAGCCCGTGGAACCGCGTGGTTCTAGGCGGCTCCACCAAATCCACACAACAGAGGGAGGATCCTCAGGGGTCGAGTACAGGCTGCCCCATGTCGAAGTGTCACCTAACCCCTAATTGCTCCCCGGGCAAAAATGTAAAAATCCATGGGTTAAAAATGTAAATCGCTTTGGATAAAAGCGTCAGCAAGATGACCAGTAAAAAAAAATTTAAAAAAAGGATTGGATGGACGGGCAGACTCGGCCCACCTGTCGACAATCTCATTCCCGCTGATTGGCTGACTAAAGACTAAATGCATTACACTTCTTACTACTGATCAACGAGCTGTTCAACAGAGTGCACGACGTTGTGACGGACGTTTTGAGATGTTTTGTCATTTTTAGAGAATTCCTCATAATGGGTCTTTGTTATCTTTATTTTGGGAAATGGATTTGTTTTCCTGAGGAACGTCGGTCAGGTAAAACAACTCTAAATTGAATAAAAGGCCAAGAGGAAATGCAAAAACGGGTAGTATGGTATAAAAACTTTGTCATGGCAATAGTGTAGTATTTGAATGTCCCATGTATAAAGAATGAAGCAGTTGATAAATCACCATTTCTGTTACCACTAATCAGTGGCCAAGACGAAGTTAAAATACGTTAAGAGAAGACAACATAGCCATGGACAGTTTTGGATTACAAAGTTTATTATCAGCGTCATCCAAGCAAAAAACAAAACTGACTGAATATAATGATTATTATTCTTCTAACAATCCTGTGTAAAAAGTCCTTTTATAGAGGGCAACGCGCCGAGGTGCTCTATTGAAAATCACTTCACTTTGGGCACTTTTTGCTTTGAAGTCTTGCCAACGCTCTTTTGTTTGGCGCTTTTCTTGCCTTCTTTCTTGCAGCAGTTTTGGGGGCCTTCTCCTGCAGCTTCTCTTTGGATGCATTCTACAAAGAAAGAAAGGCGATGAGGGTCTGCGGTCCCGTTAACTACGTCACAGCACCGTCTCACTCCGTGAAAGTATTTACATTAGCTTATATATTAAGCCCAGCAGCTGTGAGTGGCACTGACCTCCAGTTTAGGCTTTTTGCGAGGTGTTTCTATGGGAACCAGCATAGGGATTTTCTCTTCCTCCTCCTCCTCCTCCTTCACCTCCTTCTCTCCGGTGGGTTCGGCGTCCTTGGCCTTCTTCGCCTGCCTCGCCTGAGCTCTCTGAAATTCACACACAAATTGCACAAGTGAGCTGCGTATTTTACACAGTGTCTCATCGAATGAAGCTCAGACACAAGAATGAACTTGTTCTCACCTCTTTCTGAAGAGTCTTGGCACTAATATCTGCCTCTTCCAGCTCAGTGAGGTGGTTCAGGTTTGAGACGTAGAGCGGCAGACCCACGGAGGATTCATTCTTCAGATGGATGAGCTTCACTACGGGTCCTTTCTGTAGATGATGCATACGGGAGGGAAGCAGGTTTGATGAAATAATACAAGTTGTGGACCATTCGAGCCACACACATTGAACATAAAAACAAAGACAATAAATGTATTTACTCAACTCACCATGTTTAGTTTTGCTGCCACCGTTTGGATCGCAGCCTCGATGTTTTCCGTCAACTGCTCTGTAGTCATGCCGTGGTGTCCGATGCGCGCCATGCTAAGACAAAGGCCATTCGTGTAAGAAAACGCAGACCGACTCTGTGAAACTCTACGGGGAAGCCGTCGACGGAATCGATGCGAGCAGCAGAAATTAAACACCAAATGTTGTGTATCAAAGTCGTAGAGACGGGCTCCACAGGAAGCCGAGGGCCATCTGGTCGGACATTGAATCTCTATGGCACCAGCAAGTGCCCGTGTCAAACACTTCACAGAAAGAACCCGGTTGCTTGGAGGTGCTATTCATTTGAGAACATTATGTGCAACACAACTTGATTTGGTTCGCACAGCATTACTAAGGTAAAATATGCTTCACGGGTCGCTTTATAATTTTATTGGGAAACCAAAAAGCAGAAATGCAAATCTCACCAGCAGCAGCCCCTGTTGCTGACCTTCATGGAGGTGCCCTGGATGACTCGGTGGACGTCTCTAGCCAGATTCTTGCTCTGCAGGTTCACACACAGCGGCTCTCTGGCAATGAAAAAGGGTGTAAGAATCAATTGACTGTTGCTGCAGAACTCATTTTTACAGAGCAGAGATACTTTTTTTTTCCTGATTAAAGAATACCCTTTTTTGCCGTAAGAAGTTGCATTTATTGTTATCAACATAGCTATTGAGCACTTATTGAGTAAATATTTCAAAACTTAATTTCCCCGATACAGGACCTCACGTGTTTTGAGACGGTATAGACCACGTGCAGTAATAAAAAGTTTATATTCTGACGGCGTGAAGAAAGGGTCTCACTTTTTCCTCTGGTAGAAATGTTTTCCGAGGTGGGACGACAGCAGGCGGCGGACGCGTTCGTCAGAAAGGAACATGTTGTAGTTCCCCAACAGACGTCGCTTGGCTTCGTGCGGTTTGTACTCTGTCTTCAGGACCGAGTACGGAATGATCTGCGTCAGGAGAGAAAGACACATCGTGAGCAAGAATCCTGCATCAACAGGAGGTGTGGAAGTACATCAAAATCCTTCTCTGCTGCCAAACACAAGGAGAAAAACAAACATTCTTTGCTATGAAGAAAAGCACGTTTTTTATTTGTACTCGTTTGCATTTATCCCTGCTGGAATCAGCTGTTGTTGCAATAATGATCTCACTGGTGGACAGCATTACCTCTGCGATGTTGTTCACTCCTTTCTCTTGCAGCAGCCTCTTGTAAAACCTCTGCGTCTGATCCGAGGTCATGTGGGGCTCGTCTCTGGTGAAGAGGCAAACCTCGTCTGTGTCGAGCCGCTGGCCATGGGGCAAGGGACTGCGGAAAGAAGGACATTTCAGTACAAATGAATACAGAGCAAAATACGCAACCACCGTAAAGGGCGAGACGGCGGTGGACTCACATGCGGATGGTCTGTGCCTTTTTGGGGATCTTCCAGAGGGTGAAGAGCAGGCTGATGGCGTGAGCCTCGTCCAGGAGCGAGACGTCCGCTTTGGACTTGGATTTCTGGAAGGCCTGCAATGCCTGGACGGCCTTTTTCACCTGGTTGAGACATTTAGAGAACAGACAAGGCTTCACATCACTAATAAAGGAAATTTTCAGGGAGCTCTGTGGATTGAGGCGTGTTATTGTGCCATAATGTGTATTAGCTCCGTTGCTAAAGCAAACACGCTAGCTGATACTAGCTAGCGTGTTTGCTGTAGATTTGTTCAATTGTGACTCATCACACACGTGTGTAGACTTTTATCAACCAACGTGGTTTTTAAGAGTTTAAACGTCATGGCAACAAAGAAGGGATATATTTACCTGTGCCTTGTCGAACGGAATTTCGACTCTGTTAGCCATGCTGTCTGCTTCACGTGTGGATGCGTGGATTCGCGCATGCGCAAACGCTGCCCCTACGTCACAATACAAAAAAACTTTATTTGTACGAGAGTTCAGGACAAACAAGAACCGTTGCCTCGTGACGATCCTTTTTCCCAATTTAAGTTTAAAACAATGGATAAAGGGATTTCAGTCTTAGTATGTAAAGGAGCTGAACGGAATGAAATGTTTTATATGATGCTAAAATATACATCGAATGAACAGCATCTCAAAGCGCTAAAAATAGCAGCTTTTATGTCAGATTTATTAGTTGCAATACATCCAGTCATGGTGATATAAGAACAAAAGGACAATGGAGCTGTACCTTTTTTATAGTAGTATGCTTATATTCAAAAGGTAATGTCAGTATTTGGCATTAATAATGATACAATGGTCATTGATCACCCATGTCGAATGGAAATATTAAAAAGGGAAACAAATACACCTTTATGTTGCAGCTTGATCATTTATTTTCAGTTTAGATTATGTAACAGCTATATGTAACGGTTTGTGCGAGTGTGTTCGTCGTCGACCCGGGAGCAGTATGTGAGCTCAATCCAATTAAACCGTCCCATGCGGAGAGGAGCCAAATTAAAAATTCTGGCAACATTTATAACCAAATAAAATCCCAGTTGGAATATTAATCCCACTCCTAAAACAGGAGAAATCATCTACAAATTGTAATTAGAGGCTATCTATTCTTTTGCAGTGTACGAAATCGTTCGGTAGATTTATTTTTTTTTCTTCCACAGACTCTGCTTCACTGCATCCATCCCCATTCTGAAAACAAATGGCGCGGCCGGCCGACTGTGCGGCTCGCCTTGGGAGCACAGAAAGGGGGGCGGGGGGGCGTGTAGCTACATTAGTGGCATAGCTGAGCTCTCAATATGAGAAAGCTGACACACTGGACTTGGTCTCTAGTTTTATATTGTTCATCATAAAAACTGATTCAGTCTTGTTTTCTTCATTTGACGCAATTTTAATCTCTTTCATTACTCCTCGCTTGTCGTCGCTCTTCTCCTCAGCGTGGTCGGGGTGTAAAGAGAAGAGGGGCTGTTGGGTTCGGCTCTAGCAGCGTCTCCTCTGGCGACACGTGGAAGAACAACATGCATGCTGCCACGGATGCATTTAGTCCTTTTCTGGCACCAGCTTCAGCACTTTGCCGATGGCGATGGTTTTTCCTGCAGGAGAAGATCCACGTGCGTCAGCAAGTTGAACAAAATCTATTCATTTAAGACACTCGAGGTGTCTCACACGCCCACGTCGGCCTCACCTTCGTCTCGCAGCGTGAATCGTCCCATCTGAGGGAAGTCTTTGAAGGTCTCCAAGCAGATGACTCCTGCTGCCCGCAGCCTGGCGATACACACCTGGTCCTGCTTCACAAAGCGCGGTCGTGTTTTGCTTTTCTCCCCCGACTTCTTGTCCACCAGACAGATTAAGGCCTGCGGTCGGGGGTTTAGAGAAAGTCAAGTCCATTGAGGCGATCAGTAGCTACTGACTGAGCAAATAAACAAGATCCCAAACAAGACATAATGAAATAATGTCAATTAGGTATAATAACTTACTGAGATTTGCACTTCTTCAATGCAGGTGTGGATATGAAGGACTGCATTGTAACCAGGGCAAATGATTGATTTGTGCTCGATTATAACGATCTGAAATCAAAAGGGAGGAAAGGTTCAAATCAATCAGTTTGTATTACTTGCATATATACAGGATATAGCAGCTCACACATTAGTTCTTAGTGTATACCCGGGCTAAACAAACAATCATCTTAACTAATCCAATTGATCAGAATGGACGGCGGTGGAGAGCGTGACTGAAGGTCAGACGTGCGATGAGGACGGCGTACCTGCGCGTCGAAGGTGCGCCCGGAGTGGCACAGGTTGTCGGGGCTGCACAGGATGAAGCCCGGGAGGATTTCTTCCTCCTCGATGCCCTTCAGCCTCAGCTTGAGGTTCTCCCCGGGACACGCGTCGTCAGTCTCCACGTCGTCGCTCAGCAGGCTCAGAACCTCCACCGTGTGCTGCAACGCAGTCATTTTAATAATTCTATTTCAGATCCACAGACTAATGCACATAAACAGGAAATGTGGCTGGAGTTCCAACTGAAACTACATCCTTTTTGGTTACAGGATCAGTCTAATGAAATCAATGAGGCGTTATTTCTATTGGTCCTTAGTGTGAGAGCTCTCACCCTGTTGGGCATCATGACCAGCTGCTGGGCTTTACTGATGCATCCAGACTCCAGCTTGCCCAGAATAACTGTGCCCATGTCCTGCAGGGACACAAACCGGTGTTAAGGAGAATAATCGGGACATTCCAGCGTTCCCCATCAGCCACGTTATTCATCACGGACCACAATGTCTGTAGTGGAGTAGAAAATCGATGGAAACCTGATGCACTCTGGGAAATACAGCAGTGTGTGTTCTGTTATTTTAAGGCTGAGGATTATGGTCGACCTTCAGTATGAGGGCTACTGCTCACTTTTGCTTTTTTGTAAGATTGTCTATGTCAAATAAAATAATAAGGGGTAATAGTTGTTTCATCCACACGTGGATGTGCAGAAAGATCGCTGTATGCAAGTCTAAGCTTTACCTTACAGAGCCATAATCTACTTACACAGAAGATTTCATACAACATAAAAGGACTGGAGGATAACGAGAAGAGATGATGCGCAGAAAAGGGAAAGATGATTAATGCAGGGAGAACTGAGCTCAAGAATAAATCCACCAACACATACAGAATATGTTTAACCGCTTCCAACATCCCAGAGGTTGCAGTGTGTGTGTGTGTTAAGTGTGCTTTTGGAATATTGAGCTAAAGGAAGGAGAATGACAAACTGGAGAAGGAACATAAACAGATTTAAGGCCAAAAAGAAGGAAAAAGCAAAAGGAATTTGACGCCCACACAGTGCAGCGAAGAAGACAGAAGGATTTTGCTTTTCTTTGCTGAGAAACAACAAACGGCCTCCAGCTGCTCACCTTGTACTTGTCTACAATCGGTAGTCTGACTGGTCCGTCGTTGGATCGGGTGAAGTTTGGCAAACTGTCCAGATGGGAAATAAATGGCAAACCCCTGGCAAAGAAGACGAGTCACCAGTCAGATATAAAATCCACTTTTCAGTTCCATAGTCAGAGATGTCACACGTGCCGCTGTGGCGTCTGACCGCCGCCGACTACGTGGTTTGTGGAAGCCTGCAGTTCATTTTACATGCAGTCTGGCAGATTTAGAAATCTAAATGGATCAAACCACAGTCAGAAGTAGAAGGACATATTGCCGTCAGCCAGCACAAACAACATTTAAAAAATTCCCACAAGCAGATGTATCGACCAAAACCTCACATAATAATACAGCATGATCCTTTTCTGTCCAATATTTTATTCATGAAACACGTTCAAATTCTGTTATTAGCAAATCAAATTAAAAATCTAGATATATTTTGTTGATACAAAATGGAATCAGCTTTTCCATCCGCGGAGTCCACTTACGTGTACCAAGGGCACTCGGGTACGGGGTCCTTGAGGTTGGAACCTGTGAGTCCGGAGCAAGGCATAAAGTGGATGTCCTTCTTCGGGTTGAAGCCCACCTTCTTCAGAAAGGGAACCAGCTTCTCCTTACACTCCTCGTACCTGCAGAAGTCACGAAGAAATGTTGTCACTCACTATAAATAGGAAATGGATAACAAATGCAAACAGCTTTTTCAAATAATGAGCCAGACATTTTATGGGCGGTATAAAACAAAACATCGGAATCAAAGACAAAGCCAATATGAAATATATATATATATATATATATTCCAATTGATTATTTTTTTCCCCCATAAGCCGTAGTTCACCTCTCCAGGCTCCAGTGGACAGTGGGGTCGTCCATCTTGTTGACCAGGACAATGAGATGCTTGACTCCTGCCGTTTTAGCCAGCATGGCATGTTCCCGCGTCTGCCCCCCCTTCTCAAAGCCGGTCTCAAACTCACCCTTCCTTGCAGAAATCACCTGATTCAAACCAATAAGGGAGGCATTTAGTGGCATTTAAAGAACCTATTTATAGAATGCATAACACAGACGGACAGCGGAATACATTTGAGACGTTTCCACTTGTTTTATGTCCCTGTCCACCTCACCAGGACGGCCAGGTCGGCTTGTGACGCTCCACCGATCATGTTTGGGACAAAGCTCTTGTGTCCGGGGGCGTCCAAGATGGTGAAATGCTTTTTCTCGGTCTCAAAGTAAGCTCTCCCGACCTCAACCGTCTTCCCTTTGTCTCTCTCCTCCTGGTTTGTGTCCAACGCCCACGACAAGTACCTGAAACAAGCATGTCCACTCATTATTATTTACATGAGTCCACCAAACAATTGAAACACATCCAACTATGTGGCGATTACAACAACCTTCCTCATTAAAATAATTTAAGCGGCTCACTGGAATCACTGCAAGTCCAAAAACAATGTGCCGTTTTTTTAGACACAAGAACATAAGGACTTCCTCACCATGTCTCCCTGTTCTTTTCTTTCGCTTCCCTTTCATATTTTTCCAGGGTTCGCTTTTCCACCATTCCAGTCAGGTACCTAGAGAGCGGAAAACAAAGGAATGGACGGAGAATTATTCATTGCGTCTTCGGCATTACGGAGACAGGAGGTGAAACTGGGGCTTAAACTGGGAAAGACTGTTGTACAAGGGGCCACTTGTTGCAGCTTTGCTGACGGCCGCAGTGGCACAAATCTAACATGGATTGCTTTTTAGTTAATGGGATACGACTGGTAAGACGGCATTATGTTGTTGTTCCACCCAGTGATCAGCACGCAGAACACAAAAGATGAATCACTCACATGATCTGTCCTCCGATGGTGGATTTACCGGCATCTATCAGACATAAACACATAAATGTCAGAAGGCGAATAGAAGTTTCCACAAAGCTACGTGCGCGCGCACACACACACACACACACACACACACACACAAACGAGACGCACCCACGTGACCAATGAAGACCACGTTCACGTGTTCTTTCTTTGGGGCGTCGGGCGGAGGCGGCGCCACTTTGTGCACGGGTACCTCCTCCTCTTCCTCCTCCATCATCATCATCTCCTCATCCTCGCTCCCCGTGGTGCCGTCTTGACAGGCTCCTCCTGAAGCCAGGTCTTCCTGTCCTCCTCCTCCATGTTCTCCTCCTCCCGGCTCCTCCTTCTGCTCCCACGTCTCTTCCTCTGTGGTCATGTCGGCCTCTGTGCCTCCGTTCTCCACTGGAGCTGGAACCATAAACATTTACCACACCGGTTATTTCAGGTGTGGATGAGGAAGGACCCCCGCAGGTAGAACTAGATGAGGTCACGCACTTTGGTCACTGGAGTGAGAGGCTGCAGTCTGGACACGAGCAAATTCTGCCAGGTTCATGCGGATACCAAACTGGATGAAACATTGAATGTGTAAAAAGGAATCCTTCTGCCCAGAGTCTGGTCATCTGATTTCCAACAGCATGATCATTCATGGTGGCAGTACGCTTCGTGTGTGTTATAGTTGGGTGCTGTAGAGTTGTTAGTTTCCACGTCCAATCCATACAGGTCAAATAAGTAAATAAATGCTTCTGCTGTCACGAGAGCTTCCCAACCACAGGCTCAACTGTTGGTTTCGTTCCAACGTGCATCTTTTTGGTTACTCTGATCTTAAGAACTCCGGGCCTTGAGAACTCCACGTGTGGTGTAAAGACCTCTGGGACACGCTCCTAAAACATGTTTCCCCTCGCAGATCATCTAAAGAGCTGCAGTTAATCATTCATCAGTCCCGCCCACTTGTTAGGATGCACAAACAAGAACAACTAGAGGAAGAAATTAAACCAACGATGGCGAGCGGAGATCTGCTGAGCCCTGCAGGTGAGGCTTCATCCCACGGCAACAAATAAGCCCCCTGTTTGAGTAACTATGAAAGCCCAGCAATCATTCACCGCCCCAACATTTATAATCAGCCAGTGAGACAACTCAGGAGGCCATCCGAAGCCCCAACTTGCCAACAGTCATCAGGCGGTAAATATAATGGTTTCCTTCTGATTCAACGAGGTATTTGAACCATCATGGCTGTGAACGTAGGACATGTGAAAGGGAAAAGGTTTCTCCTCTTCACACACCACACCCTGCAGGTCAATCACCTCACGGGAGGCAAATTAAAACTAGGCAATGTGTTGACAAACTGGTGCAGCGCCTCACAGCCACAAGGTGCCAAGGGGGGGGGGGGGGGTCTATTTAGGGCACGGACCGGTGGGGTTGCATCATGTTAGACGTTGGGCCCGTGCACGTGTGTTTACCTCCAACAGCCATCCCAATACGGCTCAGTGAAATGAACCTACAAGGCTGTGGTCTCAAATCAGGTCAAATGTACGCGCGTGAGCCCCTAAACACACCTGTCCCGTGGTTACACAACCTGAGCAGTAACTTGAGAGCACAGTGAGCGGGTCACGCTTACCGGCTGTTTCTGCCACCTCCATGCTGGCGACTGGATCAGGGGCACCTTTGAGGGGAGAAAGCGAAGCATGTCAGAAACTTCTCAAATATTCATTTGGCACGTTTCACGTCTGACGTCTCACGGCGGCTTGGCTGGGTAATATATATATATATATTTTTTTTAAACATCTGTTGCGCACAATAACACAGGCGACTGACGCTCACGCCAACTTGTTTAACGTCAGCTAAGACGAGAAGCGATAAGCATCGCGGCGGGCCGCGGGGAGGAAGGCTAACGCAACGTAGCCGGATTAGCAAGCGAGCTAAGCTAAACTAAGCTAACGTCCAGCGCGCCCGGCCACCCACCGTCCGCAGCCGGCGTGTCCGCGGCGCCGGCCTGGAACGCGGTCGGCACGAACACCGCGGCGTTGACGTTGGGGACAAACGGCTTGGCGTTGACGTTGAGGGCGGCGAAGGAGGCCGGGAGCTCCGCGGCGGCGGCGGCGGCCGGGGCCTCGGCGTCCTCCTCCTGCTCCCACGAATCCGGGGCCGAGTCTCGCGGGTCCATCGCTGCTTTTCGCCGGAGTTGTCAGGCTTCCCGCTACCGGGGAGGCGCGCTATTCGCGGTGGTTCCCTTAAAACGCGTGTAGTTGCGGGTTTGTTCTAGACTCTCGGCAGCACGTTTGGTGAAGTTCCCATTGCTTCCGCGAGCATATGGATCCCGTAGCCGACGAGAAGTGGCGCACAGCGGCTGCACGTCCCGCAAACACCGCGAGAGGCCAGCAGCGGACTTCTGCCTGTTGGACCGTCGCGTCACCTTTAACTTCACGCGCATCTCTGCAGTGACTCGAGCCATTCAGGAACCGAAAAGTGACATTAAAAAAGTGCACAACGGAGTCTCGTCTTTTTTGTTTTTTTATTCTAACTGGAAAAACACTACAACGCGTAGAATAAACACATCAGAAGTATCATGAAGAAGTTGATATATTATATAATACTTATGAAACTCAATAAATAAATCCATTTAAGTAACGGGGGACAGCGTAACACGTGCCTCTCTTCCTCTTGTCCTTCACTCTTTGGCATCAGTAACTCCTCCAGCAGAGATGGCAAACGTGGCCTCATTCTCCGGCATATCGGGACTAGAGGACATCAAAGAGGAATAAATGAGACCAAAAGTGAGTCACAGATATATTTTTCATATCTTTCATGTTGTGAGGTCATTTCTAAGGCCAGGTAAAACATACCGTAACAAATTCAGTCCAAGCATTCATTTTTAGCACGCCAACACGCTAGACACATTTTCATATTAGGGGTATGCTGGTGAGCACGAACAAAGAAAGGTTCATCTTGAAAATAGAGTGTTTAATACTGACGTGAAGTCAGCACTCTATTTGGTGGGATATTACTTTAGGACGCACAAAGCAAATTGTTAAAAGAAACCCAAAGCTTTTTCGTGCCGTTGCGCTTTATTAGATATGCATTAGTTGTCATATCACGCCATTTATTAGGAAGTGGAAAATCCCCTTTGTCATCTGACAACATAATATGGGGAAGTGAAGCTTCTGTAATTTGCAGTAGAAATTCTCAAGTATTTCATAAAATTGTTATGGGCGAAAACATTTGACAGATTGTGGATTTTCTTGCAAACATGTTAAAGGAGCCGTTTTCCTTTCATGGGATTTACATACTAACGTGTGTATGTTTTAAGATCTATGCCTTTACTTCAAAAGCTCTTAAAAGTGAATAACTTGCGAGTCATTAGCTGGTAGTTGTGGTGTTTGCACACGTGCTGCCATTTCCTTTCTGCAGGGCACTTTTCTCCCATGCAAGACAATAGAGTCTGCATAAGCTGTCACACAACAACACGCTGTGCATCATGTGACTGACGCCATCAAACCAATCATGCACTGCCCGTGTTTATTGTGTTTAACTACCTGTCGAATATTTTGGCAATTCTCATCTCCCCACGCCCTTTCCTCAAGCTGATCCGTGTGGTGGAGGCGTGGGCCAGGATGTGCCCACCAATTGGCTTCTTAGGATCAGCTTGAAACCTAAAATGAAGACAGAAAGAAAGGGCACGTCATCAAAGCTGCAAACGATGACAGACATTTTTACACAAATTTTAAACACAAAGCAGGTCCTATTTATTGAGAAGGACTCTTACGTCATTCCCGCACCGGGATCAGCAGTCATTTGGTTGGTGATGAACACTGCCACGTTGTATTCTAAGGAAGTGCAAAATGAAAACCAAACGTGGGCCAAATCCTACAACATGTGTCTATTTGCAACTTAAATACTTTTTACTTCATGCTCATTTGAAACCACCATTATTAGTTGACAAATAGGAATATTACATTTGGCACATATTCCCTGTGCACGCCAGTTAACATTATTGGCTGATGGGATTTTACATATTGGCCCCTCCGCACACTCCTGGTTCAGACCTTCGGAGATCTTCTGCAGCCTGGAGAGCATCTGGGCCAGTTTCTGCTGGCGCTCAGCCAGCTCACCTCGACCAGAAAAGTCTACTCTGAACAGAGCCATGATGGAGTCGATGATCTGAATCGGGAGAACAGGGAGGAGCACAGTTCCGGAATTCAGACACCGTCAAGGCGAATGACTAAAAACAGGGTGGGTGGGGGGGTAACAACCTAAATAACACAACGAATATGTGAGGAAGTTACTTCTGTTGTTCATTCCGATACTCACCAAAAGTTTGAACACGCCTCCTTCCTCGTGGAACTTGGCAGCTACAAAATCCAACAGCTCCATCTGGTGTTCGCCTGAGATGAGGCAAAGACACACCAGTTGAAATGCCAACGCTCACCATCATTGTTTCAGAGTCCTCCGGTCTAAATAAAGTGCGTGTGTGTGTCCGTACTAGTGTATGCCCGGGCGTACAGCACGTTGTCCAGCACGGCCCCGTGGTCCACGTTAAAGTGGTCAGCGATGTCTCTCAATCTGTCCGGACGACTTGCACGAAGGTGCTCGTCAAGGATCAAGTGAAACAACGAGAAAACATACGGATGCACACATTGTACAGTCACATGAGGACAACCACTGGATGATCCCTCACAAACATGTTTTCTACATCAGCACAAGGTAGGATGATATGTATGGGGCCATGCAGGACTATCTATAGCCATGTCTTTTCCCGGCACGGACAGCAAACACCTGATACTTGAGTTGAGAGAGAAGCTCGATTGAAAAGTCAAACCTCCCCGTCAAATGTTGCATGTTTGTTTCCCGTCGGCGGATACAAGGTGTTCTCTGTGTCAATGAAGACGATTTTCCCTCCTGAGTAGCCGTCCTCGCCTGGCAGCTGAGCAGTGACTGTACGAAACAACATCTGTTTTGTTTGCTGTAACAGTGAATACATTTAATTTATTCCTTTGAGGCAGCCATTCATAAAAAGTGGACTTACTCACCACAGAATGTGTGAGACAGCTGGGTTTTCCCTGTGCGGAACTCTGTGGGATGAAAAAGTGTTATAAATATTTTGGAGCCGGTGCTGAAAACCAGAGTGATATTGAAGACACTATAAACATATATTTGGCTATTGGAAGACATCTACTCACCTCCAAAGGCCTCGGTGATGGCCATACTCTCTATGCCTCCACCTAAAAGTTTACTGTAGAGATAAAAGTTACATCTCTGCTAACCATCGGTTATATTGTTCATCATTTTCACAATCAGAATTTTCATTCACACAGCCACAGAATCTGCTGGTAAAAACACTTTACCATACCAGCCAAATAATAATACATAATTTTGAAGTATTAGTGTGCCTGATGAAGTTTAGTGAAAATGACTCCTGGTGCTAAAACAAATTAACCATTAGTAATATGATCATAACAGAGAAAAATGAAGCTTCCACTGTTTACTTGAAAAGTGTAACAATTTTACAAAAATCAAGCCTTTAAGACCATGAGGAGCAAGATTTAAGCTACACTATTATATCAGAACCACTTGTGTCCAGGATAATTGAATTAAATCACTAGAACTCCCATGTATATGAAATTGCAAATGCACAAATTGCAAAAAAATAAATAATACTGTCTGTCCAGTAGTCAAAATGATAAGAGTATGTTATAGTGTTGCCCGGTGTACCGGTACTAGAAAGGTACCGAGGTACCCTTACATTGAAAACAATACGGTATGGAATTTTTTTAGTACCGGTACTTTAAAAAAAGCCCACAATGAGGGATCACTGTTGTCAGGCTGCCTGCACGCATTGACTGTGAGGGCTGACAGGCAGCCGTCACTCACAGCGAGTTATCAGGGGAGACGTGGCCTCCTGTAGCAGACTGCTCACCCATATGCACCCTGACACGAGTAGCCTTAGCCTAGCTTAGCTCGGGTGACCAGACGTCCTCTTTTACCCGGACGCATTTTTCAGGTCTCGAAAAGAGGAAATGTCTGGGTAAAAGAAGACGTCTGCTTTGTCTTGTGTTGCACTTGCTTGACGTTCGACTGTGTTTGGAAAATTGTTGACTTGCTAGTTTGTCATAAACGATGTTAGCAAGCTTGTTAAAACACGCTCGGACATTGATGCTAGTATTACATGCTCTCACGTCGGCTTCTTTGTAATGTTATTGTGATGCTTTTCACAAAACCTTGCAGTGAGATGTTGTCGGGGTTGAACGCTGCAGCCGACGGGGGTGCGCGTGTCACACGGGGAAACCGTGAGAGTTGGCAGCTTTGTTGGCTAGCTTGACAACAACTTTCAGTCAAACATCAAGCAAGTGCAATACAAGACAAAGCAAGACAGCAAATAAGTTGCTGAATAGTCCAGCAGAAATATATACATGCAAAAACAATCTACAATTTCACTCTTGTGGGGCTTTATGATCATGAGGTCAGAATGTACACACAATTGTACCAAATAATACACACTCGATGCAATAGGCTACATGCTGGTGGAGCCTGAGGGTGGATCTTCACCGAATTCTTTTTATTTTTAGTTAAGGAAAATAATTATTCCATGAATTAAGATAAAATATGAATGTGAGAATATCAAACTCACAAACAAGTAAATGAAGCATTGTTTATCGATTTAGCTGGGCAGAAACAATCTGGTAAAAATGGGAACCTTACAGATGTTTTTATTTATTACTATCATAGATAAATATTCCAGTATCCTATTTGTGGTATCGTATCATAAGTATCGGGTTCCGTAATATTTTGGCAGGTATCGTATCAAAGTCATCATTTTGGTATGGTGACAAAACTAGTCTGTTATCAACATTCAGAGTAAATCTTAACTCAAACTCCTGGCTCCCGGTTGTGATGCGGAACACCTGCTTCCTCCTGGCGCTGTACTCAAAGGCGGTCTGGAAACCAACATTCTACAATGTAGAAGAAAGAAAATTACTTAAAAAAAATTATACTGGTGTAATTCAGTCTCAAAGCCTCCAAAATTAAATATTATAAACAATATTGAATGAACTAAAGAAAATCCCATTGTACCAGCATTTTCCCGGCAGCCTCCTTGATCTTTTCCACTTTGGCCTCTGAGAGGCCCTTGATGTTGCACAAAGCCTTTCGAGTAGTCATCTGGATCCCCTTTACAGTGCAGATACCCACTAACTTCATCTTTTTGATGTCTGCCACATTCTGGGGTCACAGGTTGGAAGGACAGCGAGATATTAACATAAACAACTGATCTGACTAAGTCCCCCCTGCTTTTACTCACAATGCCATGTTTCTGTAGGAGGTCAATGTCTTGGAAGAAGATTTCCTGTTAAGTGGGGACAAAACTAACGTTACATGAGGTTATTTGCTGATTAACGTAAGTACATTGAGTGGATTAACATTAAAACATGTGTAGCATAACTTACGTATAGGTTGTCACTGTGTTTCTAGTTAGTATTCAATTCTGAAGGCTCATGTATTAAGCTAACATTAGCGAAAATAAATTAAAATGCTATGCTAACACATTAACGTTGCCTTACCTCGTCATCCTGAAAACTAGCATCCTCTTCAACAACCTGATCCTCGGCAGATTTCATGTTCAATGTAGTAATGGTTTATCGTTGATGTTCAAATTAATTTTTGCTGATTCAGTTTCAGTCAATCAATCAGCATCTCAACCAAGTACAAGTTTTAGCTAACGTTGGTGAAAAGGAAAAGTGCTCTTTGGCTCGTGAGGACTAATGGCGGGAAGGTTACAGTTTGTTGGGTTCAGGTGCAGTCGGAAAATATACATGTATCACTTAAACCAAGATAAACTCTGGATATTTCATGACATTGTTGGCAGTTGTTGCTTCAAAGAGCGAAAATGTAAAACTTAAAGGAGTTTTAAGTGTTTATTAGTTCAGGAGATTTTTTAGAAATGTTCATTAGTTTCTGATCTGAGCTAAAGAGAACACGTTCCCATTACGACATTAGCACGAAGAGCTGAAAAGGGTCAGTAAATGCAGCAATGCATTTTTTACACTGCTTATTTTTTAAGACGCATGTGGTGGAATCTGGAAGTGTTAAGTGTTAAAAATTACTGCAGAAATGTCACAGCAGGACAAGCGAGCCATTTATAATAAATTGACACCATATTAGGTCATGACAATTTGTTTTATGATCTCACCTTTTCTTCCCCGTCCTGTTGTCAAAGGTGTTTAAGGCATTTGAGTCAAATTCATATATTGAGACATTCAATATATCAGCGATTTGTAGACCATTATAAGCATTCAGTTAAAAAACAATGACACTACATTAATTTCAATATTTGATAACTTTAATTCATTTGTTGATGTAATATATTTTAAGTCTGGTGGATCAAGGTTAAATCCTGTGACACAACCAACATGGTGAAAGTAAACACATGGCTTTCTATTTAATTTGGGGTTTATTACCGCAGTCACGTTGAACAGAAAAAAAGAGACATGGGTTTGCTTACAGAAGAGAAAAGAGTGTAAAATGAAATGGATGACAAAAGAGAAAGACAAAACACAATCAGAGCACAAACAGAACACGTCAGGACAATGTCCCATCATTAAAATGTGATTTTCCATTAATTTGTCCAAAACCGTATGACATGTATTCCATTTTCAATGACAATAGTTTCTCTTTTCAGACCCTCAAAAGAACAGAAACCAACAATCTCTGAATAATTTGACACCATGAATCTGGTGTTTTTGTATTATACAATCTGTTGCTTAAAACTGCAGCAATGCAATCAATCCAGCACCCGAAGTGAAAGAAATTTCCCTCTGACATACACACTGTAGATAGTCTAACTTTGAACTGTGACATGTGACAAATGTACACATGGGAATGGGCCACATATAAAATGGTATAATTTTGCTTGTTGAACGTCAAGAGGCCGTCCTGTAGAACACGCCTCTATTAACAGCGTGGATCACAATGCATCAGACCTGTCCGTCAGAAGATGAAGATGAAACAAACTGCTAAAATACTGAAAATATAGCAACATTCTTCAGGCTGCAAACACCCACACATACAATTGGTAACCTTTTTGCTTTTAATTTAGCCACGGATAACTGTTACTCCCTAAATAACTCAATTATTCATAGTGATGCAGATTGAATAAAAAAAGAGAAAAAAATAGAAGCAGTGCTCCTGAAAATAAGTCTCTGCATGATTTTGGAGTAAGGAGAGACAGTGAGAGAGAAGTGTTAGAAACGCATTGCATCCTCCAAGAGTCCCATCAGGCCAATGCATTATGTTGGAGTGGGCCTTTCATGCTGCTGACATCCAGCTTTGGTTCTACGCTTCCTTTCAACTGCAGTTCTCGGCCCTTCTCCGTGGTCTCTCTGTCTCTCCTCGCGACCGGCCCCCGCTGTATCGCCCAGCAGTCGATCTCAGGTTCATGTTGGCCCTTTCCGTGTTCTCACATCTTGCCGGGTGCAGGAGGCATCATGCCCGGCATCCCACCGGACATTCCAGTGTTGGGCCCCAACAGGATCTGGAAGCCAAAGAGACGATCGTTAAGGTTGCTCATCAATGCACTCAAAAACCGGCACAGAAACGGAGTAGAATTTGCAATTCTCTGCTCATGTGGCGGCCCATTGTTACGGTCTCTCATTGACCGGGGACCATGCATGCGCTCACCTGTCTCTGCTGTTGTAGCTGCTGCTGCTCCAGCTGTAGCCTTTCCGTCTCAAACACAACTGGCAGCACCAGGATCATGAAGGAGGTAGTGCCGACCCACAGCGCCGAGCGGGAAAAACTGAAGGAAGTTAAGAACCCGATGAGTTTTTTTGTGCCGCTCCAAGGAGGACTAAAGGCTTTGGATTAGAATGCATGACTGTTTGGTGAAACAAAGGCAGGACCACTGGCTGCTGGGATCGGGGGCTACGACTTAGTAGTTAATCTCTTGATCCGCTGGGCTTCAATAATACTCTGTATACATTCCTGCAGTGAGACACCAGATCTACCTGTAAAACTTCTTAGCCAGGGACACGGAGCATTGTGCGGAGACTTCCGCCGCGGTGCGGACCCTGTCCGGGAACATCTCCGTCAGGCCCCACAACCGCTCCATCAGCGTCTCATCCAGCTGAAGGAGACAAGCACAAACCTCAGACGTGACACCGTCGATCACAAAAGAAACCCGCGTGTGCGCTCAAGCAGCATCTCTTATGAATAAGCGGGTGTAGAAAAAAAAACAACACGAATCCATTCATTTACAATCTTGGTGAATGTAGCTTTGGCTGACAGGCTGGTTTGGCGGCTGTTAACCGACACATTGACGTTACGTTGCAACTGTCACGACGCGATAACGAAACCACTGCTAGCGTCGGTTGGATTAAACGATGTTTTAGGATTTAACGTTAACGTAGGCTTCCGACAGCCCGCGGACTGCCGCGGGGTCCGTCAACTCAGGTGCTACCTCGTTAGCATCGGTGTAGCCGTTTTAGCTAGCCATGCTAATCCAAGAAAGAACACAGCGACTCTACGTTGTCATTTTTTCCCCTTTCAATTACAATTCCCAAGTGCTCCCGCAGGGATTAAGCACTAACGTCTTCGTCTTCGTCGTCGTCAATCTCGTCCTCGGGGGGGCGAATGGACACCGGGCCCGCAGCGGGGGAAAGCTCCTCTATTTCAGGCATGTCTCCGGCAAGCCCCGCTCCTCTCCGTCGGCCTGGATCAGCTCGTGCGCGAGGCGGAAAAGTCGCGAGTAAAAAGAGAAAACAGCCTGGAGCCGACGGTTTGTTTTTGGGGTGTTTTTCTGGAGACTGGCTTTCACCAAAAGCTAATGCTAGGAGGCGTGCATCTGCTCAACGACAGTCCGGAGGTCACAGTGGGAAAACGTGAGATTTGTCGGGCACGCATTACGACAGCAGGGCAGGGGTCGGTTTGGGCTCCACGCGGAAATAAACCGCGCCCCCTGCCGCCGCGGGTGTCCCACAGCAGCCCGCGAGGTTTCCAGAGTTGTCGCGAGTTGTATTAATATTGGTATTAATAAGTTAAAATATGATGTGATAAAATATCAAATGAGAATAATTTGAAGAACACACACGAACAGTGAACAAAGCGTAAGCGTTTAGAATAATTAGTAAGCACACTGGACAGCATGACGAAAGGAGGATATCCCATTATCCATATTGTTATGTCTATTTTGTGTTTGATGTGACCAAAGTTGCTGTTAGGATATCTAACACGCACAAAAAAAATTCACATTTTCCTTCATGGGTCGAAATTAATTCCTCTTGAATGCACGCTACTAGCAACATTGGGGAAACTATAGGATGGCATTTTTTTATGTACAATGTACAATCTTTTCCCCTAATCCCAATGTTGAAAATAACTTTAAAAATACATTCATGCATATACTTTGATTAAGCATACTCTCAAGTAGGCTATTCATGGAACATGCTTTGTGGTAACTGGATTTTCATTATTATATTGTATTGCCAGCTACACAAGATTAGCGGAAACATAAAGATCCCCATATAATGTGGAACTTATTAAACGCCGGACCACCTAGTCCTGGTTTTCTGTCATCTAGCAGGAAAATTGGTTATTTTTTCAAAACGCTTTTCATCAAAAGCAACACTCACACTGTAATGTTTTTGTGGGTAGTGTGGGTTTTATCTTAAGCACTTGTTTTTGTTGTTGGATTGTCCTGTTTTTTAACTTCCCCATATTATAGCTTTTATTGCTTCGGTCAGCCAAGAGTGACTACATCCATTCCCAAGTTGTTGTTGTTGTTTTTTAAACCTTTTTTTAATAGAAGTTGCTGTGGATAGAGAAAGGGGGCTCGTCATGGAAAAGTTCTGGGACGCAGGGATTCCTTGTTTACATCCTCCCGGAGTACGCCGCGGGGGCGGAGTTGGACCCGCCCTCATTCTTTGGACCTGACGTCATTGTCGCTTGTGTTTTTTTTGTGAATGAAAGAATCCAACCTCAGAGAGCAGCGGAGTAATTCCGGGAAAAGGCGGACTGACATTTTGTCGCCAGCGTCGCGTCGACCCAGCAGGTAACTGATATTTAAAAAAATCTTAAACCTTTGATTATTTTTCTGGAATGCGATGGTAGTAGACAAACACTAGACGACTTATTTTCCGCGGGGGACTTGCCAACCAACCAAGGACAAGTGAGCAGGCAGCTGTTGTAATCTGCTTTAGGTTAGCTCGCCAGAAGCCGTTGGTGCTAGCTGCTAGCTAACACTACTAGCATGTTTACGATGAAGCTGATCATTAAGCCCGCTCTTCATACTTATTCCTCTAGACTTGTAACGCCCGAGAGCCATGTGATATTACGGGTTCCCCTCTTCAAACCGTATGTTCCAAAACAATTTAAATGGATCATTTAAAGTCCTACTAAAATGGATGTCGAGGGCACTCGTGATGGCTGTTTACTACAGCAGCAGCAGCGCCTCCACCTCAAGCTGGCCAGCTCCTCTCCGTATAAGGAAAAGCCTGGATTCTGGATGTAGCTAAGCTACATATTAATACCACACATGTGGCCTCCGTTGGCTATTTGTCCTTAAGGGGGGTGGGTCGATTACATTTGAACAGAATAGATATTATGGTGTTTGACTTTGCCCCCCTCCGCCCCGCCGCCACCTCCCTCGCTAACTAGCGTTAGTTGTAGCTTACGTTCACTTGTTGCGTTCCAACTTGTGTGGCTGGAAAGTACGCGGTCTTAAGCGATATCTAGACGGCGAGGCGGGCTGGTTAGTGGCGGTCCGGTGCACACTCGGGGCGACGCGGCGGTCTTCTTCTTCTGGGGGGGGTTTCACGCCGACTGGCGGCGTCGGCGGGACTGAGTGGACGCGTTATTGCTGAATCACCGTGACTTCACGAAAACCGCGGGGAGTGTGGGGGGGGGTCACCCCCGGCTGCTCGGACAGCCACTGCTCGAGTCGACCCCCCCCATCACCACCACACACACAACGCGAACCGTACGCGGTACCGTCCTTCATTGGGCTCACGCGACTCATCGTGCGCGAGGCCCGCGCGGACCGTTAACGCCCATCTATACTGTTATGAAGTACATGAAGTGACCCTACATGTGACCTTTCTTTGGCTATTTTCTGACATAAAGAGAAAAGCGAATGTTTTAGACTTGATGTTTGAGGTGCTTGCGTGCCATCGATAAGTAGTTACATGGGAACGCGTCATTTATAAGAAGTGTAATATCCTATTCTTATAGATGAACACGCGTCTTCCCCAGTGTGTTGTTGTTGTTGGAAAAGGTGCATAAAATAAGGCCTCAGTAACAGTGGCGAATAGTTATGATTTTGTCAAAAGTTATTTTATTAGTGACCCTGTCAGAAGCTAATACTCAAAGCCACTGTGTTCACACTCTGAATGCATCGATCTTGTAAGAAAGTTGTTTCTTCACACAGAAACTAACTCGGTCAAAGAGAAAATACAATGATGCAAATATGAAAGTTCACACTTTCACTCTCTAAAAGCTATGTGGGGGGAACCCCCCCCCCCCTTGTGGTTTTAGGATGTCAAACTTAATTCCACTCTGTCACAAGATGTCTTTTCTAAATGCAGTCCAACACATTGTAGCTCGTCATCGTACCACGTGTTACCACAGAGTCCCTTCTTATAGGAACATAAGAAGGGACTCTGTCTGCCTGGTGAGGCGTCGGACTTTAATCCCACTCAGCGACATTTGCGAGCTGACCTTAAGACCAGTCTAGGAAGTCCCCACGCGGTCTGTTTCAACCGCTCAGCGCAAAGAATTTCCAAATACAGACTTAAACAAACACTCCTGCCGCTGTTACTGGAAGCAGCCGTTGCAAACGTACCTGATCCTCCCGTCTAGACTCTTTTATCATAATGGTTTATTCGTTTTATAGAAACTTTTTAGCCGTGTTCTATTTTAGTGGTTGTTGTAAAGTTCTCTTTCACTCAAATGTGGCGTAAACAGTGAGACACACACTCCACGTTAGTCGGCAGATGAACGCTTTGAACCGTTGGTGTGGCGTTGACAAGAGGAAGTGTCGGGGGAATTGGTGAGGACACCTGCTTTGAGCAACCGCGGGGCTAACGCGGGATAACTTCCTCCTCGCCATTCCATCTCACTGCGAACGGCGCGTTGGCTTACAAAAACCTCCTCTTCCCTTTTCAATATGAAACCGCGCGTGTAATGAGAGAGCGGCGTTTGGAGAAGCATGAAAGATCTGCGGGTTCTCCTTTTTCTTTATCGTGCATGACCGACTGTCTTGTGAGCGGATGGTAAATGTCAGGCCAGCCCTGAACCGAAACGGCATCATTCACAAGGCTCGCGTGTCATAACATACTGTGTGTTTGTGTCCTGCTTCTGCTTCTTTCCACAGTGTCTGTATCTGTGTTGACTGGTGGTTGGAGAGGCTGAAGACAGTCGGATCATGACATCAGAAAGAAACAGCAAAGCCCTGAAGGTAACGGTCATGTGATACACTTTGACTATACAAGAGTCGGTTATTCTATTATGCCACTGGCCTTACGTTTGCCTCTTCTTTCCTCCTCCTCTTCTTCAGGTGAAGCAGGAGTGCGGCGAGAACGTGCCCGTCCTGTCGGACAGCGAGCTCATGTCCCTGACGGTACGGGAGTTGAACCTGCACCTGCGCGGCATGTCCCGCGACGAGATCCAGAAGCTGAAGCAGCGGCGCCGCACCCTGAAGAACCGGGGCTACGCGGCCAGCTGCCGGGTGAAGCGCGTGTCCCAGCGCGAGGCCCTCGAGCTGCAGAAGACGGAGCTCCAGCGGGAGGTGGAGCGGCTCGGGGCGGAGAACGCCGGCATGAGGAAAGAGCTGGAGGGGCTCGGCGCGCGGCTGGCCGCCCTCCAGAGGTTCGCCCGCGGCCTGGAGGCCGGGGGGGGCAACCTGCTGGCCACGGCGCCGCGCCTCAACACCGCCTCCGTCATCACCATCGTTAAGAGTCCGCCGCAGCCTCAGCCACAGAGAGATCAGGAGCCGTCCTAGAAGGAGCCGCCGGACTGGGTGGAGGGGGGGAGATGCACAACCTGCAATGCAAACAAACACACACAGCCATATATATATATATATATGTACTACACACACACACACACACGCGCCGAAGAACAGAAACACGATTTCAGTAGGAAAATACTAAGCACTTGTCTGCGTTGGGCCTCGTTCACAGTTTCAAATTCCTTAGGACTTTGGTAAGCAGGAGTCATTCATTCCTGTGTGACGTCACTGCGCTGAGTAGTACTCCACAGCCAGGCGCCCCCCCCCACTCTCCCCTCCCTCCCTGTCAAGGGCCGAGGCGTCTTCCACTTGTGTCGATTGAGGAGAATGCGTTTTGCTGATATTTTCATTTGTTTCTGAATTCTGTTCTGCAAGATGCAAACAGGTTTAATGTGAACGAGGCGTCGAGCAGTGAGCGCTCAGTCCACACACACACACACACACACACACACACATGCACGCACGCACAAAGACCCTCACACTGACCCTCACGCTCAGTCCCCGCTCCACAGGGGGCCTAGACATTGACTTACTGGACTCTTGACTGAAGCCGTACCGACCCCACCAGGGCTACTGTATACGTTCAAGGCTCAACAAATCCAGCTGTTCCAGCTGTGCTGATCGTGCAAAAAGAAACAACCGGTTGAAGGCGCAGCTTCCTCCAGCTCTCCTCGGGCGCCGTCGCCTCGTAGCGGCCTGTACGTTTAAACCCCCCCACCCCCCCACCCCCTCCCCTGCGCGACAAGACGTCCCAAAGTCTGAGTCATTCGCTCCTGTTAAGTCATGCTGAGTTGGCCAACCTTGGTGTCACTTGATGTGCAGGCGGGGGTGGAGGGAGGAGGGTGGAGGGAGGGGGGGGTCACACGGATTTTGAAAAACAAGCGTGTCCACGCGGTTCAGGGGCAAAAAAAAAAACCGTGGAGAGACGCCGAGTTTGTGAGTCATGCATTTCCTTCCTGTCCATTCAGTTTTTCTTTGTGGGTGCGTCTGCCACTACTTCCTACCTGCTGCAAGTAGTTGTGTACTGCTTGTGCACACGTTTGTCACGTTAACGCAGTGCCTTCAGTGTGTGTTGGGGTGAGATGAAGGCCGGCCTCCGCAGGGAGCGGGTGAGGACGGGCTGTCGACCGCACATGTCTTTATTTAGGCTTCCTCTGAATTCTCTTTTGTGAGCTGTAATCCCTCACCGCTCATTTCACAATCCCATAAGTGCAGTAAACTTGCTACAGTCCGCTTATTGTTTTTGTTTGGTTTTCATATCTGCTAGACTCCCAACGACAGATGTTGGTCACTTTTTTGCTACGAACGTGTAATAGCGGAGTCGCATCCGATCCACGTACATTCCCGTCTTGTGTTCTTATTTGTAATGTTTGTACGTGCCGTTGAGACGAAAATGTTGAGTGACATTTATCAGAGATATATTCTATATTTTATTTGTATTTAAAGGTAGATGTTATGAAAAGACAAGCTAACGAGTGCTGTGATGTTGTGTGTGTCCAGAAGTACTTACTTATGACTAGTCCGGGGATATTCTCTCGTCTAATTATTGTTATTGTTCTGTGGCAACGATGATTACTTTACGAAATGTTAATTATTAGCGATGTAGAAAATATGCTCAAAGCCCAATGGCCATATTGCTGTATGACGATTTTTATTTTTATTTCCCGCGTGTGTGTTCATGTGCTGGCTTGTCATAGTGGATTCTTGGAGGGATATTATTTTTCTATGATAATTCGTATGTTATTTGGGTGAAGAATTGAGGTCACTTCTGTATTGGCCGGTTGGGCAGATCCGCAGGATGTCAGAGGAAGAGCTGGAGATGATGATGATGATGATGAGGAGACGGGAAGGTGTGAGGAGGCGAGTGATGGAGAAAGAAAGTAGGCGGGGTGGACTGGGGGCGGTGGCGCTTTATTCACTTGAAATGCTCTATCTGTCCCGGGCCCGTTTCAGCCCAGATGTGCAGGCTCGGGAAGGGGGGCGGCGGCGGCACGGAGTCTAGGCCACTGAATAGTGCTAGCAATATCATTTATAAGCAGGCATTGTAACACAATAGACCGTGTCGACCAAGATATGAGGCATATATTTAGCTATATGAATATCAGTGTGGCAAAGCATTTATTCCCAATATTTTAACGTCTCACATCTGTCAAACTGTGCTGGATGTTTTGTAATACTTGCAAAACAAAAAAATGTTTTTTGTATTTATTACCTGTATTTTTTCTATTGTGAAAATTTAAGTACATTGTCTATTTTATATATTAATTATAATAAATGTTGTACATATTGTACATAAAATGGTGCGTTTGTGGCTTGCATGGGACCAGCAGAGAGGAAGGGTATCGACAGGATGTCACAAGTTATCTCTGGATCAGAAGTTACACTCGAGGGTCAAAGTAGAAACTGAGTTTATTTATAACCGAGGATGAAATGTAGAGGCTTTAGGAGCTCGCCTGCGAAGAGAAGCCATTTCTCTCCATTTAACAACCAATTCGAATTAAACCTGCAAAGGCTGTACATGCAAAAACATGCTGAGTCAGGAAAAACAGACGTGTTACACAAAGTTTCATATTCCTGCATCCAAGGAATCTGTTATTCTTCATCCTACCTGCACCGCGTGTCATCAGGAGAGAAATCTCCATGGTAACACCCATCGGATACGTTTCACCTGTGCGGTTTCGGGATGAACTCGGCCTCCATTGACTCCTTATTGGGATGATGATGTCAGGTTGAAGCCTAAAAGCTTCCTGAGCTTTGCGTGTGAAAACCCGACATGTGTCGCCCCCTGGTGGATGCGTTGTGTAAGTGCACTCGCCTTGAGAAGGCCATCAAGCGGGATCTGGCTTTCAGCTGCGACTGCGTCATTTTGGGATATTGGCTGTTTTAGTAAACGGTTAAAAAAAAAATAATTCAGCAGCGTTGCATCTTCATTTGGTCCTACCCAGTAACATGCTGAGAAAAAAATCTGTGGTAACTTGAAACAAATAATCTTAACACAAAACACAATTATGAGATGTTATCCAGTTTATTTAATTTAATCAAAAATAAAATACTTGACATTTTTTGAAGCAGTGTATCCATTTAGAGGATCTTTAAACAGTTCACATGATGCCTTAAACTAAACAAACAAGCGGTTAACTCCCATACCAGACTAAATATATTTTTATTATATCTTCTCCATTTGACATGAAATAATAGCGTCATGAGCAGCTTTATTAAACACAAGTCAGCCCAATGAAAAGACACATGAAGTAAAATTACAAAACTAGGTCTCTTTGTTCTCGCTCCGTCTCATATACGACTACTGAAACATACATCACTGCGTGTCCTTCTGAAGGAAGCACGTCAAACTATTTACAGCATTACTCATACATCTGAACAAGTAGAGAAACAGGACGAAGTTCAAGCTCGCCAGCGAATTACAGCATTCAGTGATTCAGCATTAGAATTTATTTAGACAAGACGTTGTGCACACAGCTTGTAACCTAATGGCAACACGACGAACAGAGTTTATAAAAGGAGACTCAGCGTCACTTGGAGCTGGATGTCAACAAGAAATGATCCAAGTAGCCCGCTTGCTCCTGTGCACAGACGTGGCTTCTGTCCTGTTTAAAACCAATATTATGTCAGGAAGAAGTACAAACAACACAAAAAGAGAGAGAGAAAAGACCCATATGACCGCAGTCTGAGGCGTTCTTCTTTCCTCTGAGGACAAAAAGCCACAGAGCGATGATGGGATTAAACCAAGCGACAGACTGGTGCTCAGACAAAGCGGTTGCATGTGCAGCTTAACGTGTGGGAGATGAATGGCCGCCTGCTGGTCTTCGCGGCCCCCTGGTGGACTCCCAGTGACCCACTCAGGACCTCAAGGACTTCAGGACAAAGAGCATCAGAGTGAAAGAAAATGCAGTATATGTTATTTAACAGTGAATGCTGTATAATGTAACTATATTATAATTGCATGATATATTTTTCCATGTTAGTGTGCTAATATTCTGTTTTTCTTCTTTCACATTTGTCACAGTTTTAGATAAGAACTGTAAAAATGCAAAAAACGTAACAATACTGAAACCAGGCAAAGCAGGTGTGTGAGAGGAAGTACAGAACCTCACTTGTTCGGGATGGACTTTAGTCTCTACTAAGGTGGGGAAACGGGTGGATATTTAGAATTAAACTAAAATAAGTCCGACTTATTGACTTATTTACCAGTCGCTACTGTTGTCACCAGTTGGTCGCTGGCTGAAACAGAGAACTCAGAGTAATTCCTTCACGCACACACGTGATGAAATGTTCCTATTTTAGTTTTAACATTTGTAATGTTGGTATATGACCAGAGAAGAGCTTTATTCCTTTGATAGCACTGCTGAGAACAAGCATGTATAGTTATTAGTAACCTATATTCCTCTCTCATTTATCCCTAAATCCAGTTAACCTACATCACTGGTCCACTTCCTGAGTGAAACAGGCACCAGCTTTAATCCCAGCCATAGAAATTACACCAGCTAGTGTAATCCTGACCGGCTGGCCGTCGCCCTTCAGCCCCGCAGCAGATGTTCTGTAGGGTTTATAATCTGACACCCCCGATATCAATAACATCATGGAGAAATTCAACCCGTTGTATAAACCAACGACAATCTAAAAACAAGAGGTGCTGAAGAATGTGAAACGAATCAGGTCCAGAACGAAAAAATAATAAATCCCGTTGGACGATAATGTTTCCGCCAGACGGAGCAGAAATGTGAAATCATCCGAGCCGGAAAACATTCCAAAAAGTCCGCGATGACTCAGAATGGAAGAGTGTGACTCACGCCAACACTTTGCAACCTGAACTCAAGCTCCAGTTCCTGGCCAGCGTTGTAAAAGGCCAAACGGGCTCAGAGTGTTCCGACCAGAGGAGAGAGTCTGGGATCATCCGGGTCCTCGCCTTCACGGACAGCGTCAAAAAAACAGAAAACCGTCAAACTCACACCTGCCTGCTCACTCACACCCTGAAGAGCATCAAGTACCATCTGCCACCAACACCTTCTGGACGCCGTTCTCTAGAACTCGTCGTCGGAGCTGAGCAGCAGCGTCTTCTCCGTGTCGCCGCGGCCGCTCCCGCCGCCGCCACCGCCGGCCCCGCGGGCGCGGGACACGGCGGCCGGCGCCCCCTGCTCCAGCGTGGACTGCTGGGTGTACTGCTGGTAGGCCGGGGAGAAGTTGTGGATGGCGTCCTGCACCATGTCGCCCGGGTTCATGGTCTCCTTCAGGCTGCTGGAGATGCTCTTCATGGGGGCGCGGCGGCCTGAGGGAGGCGGAGCATAACAGGCGGTCAGAAGTCAGGGAAATGAGGGTCCGAAAGGATGAGGGATGAAAACGCAGAGAAAACAAAGGGATGGGGGGGAGGATTTGAGCAGGGGCAACTAGGATGGGGGAGGGCAGGAAAGGAGAAGCAGTGAGAATAGAGTCAGAGGGAGAAAAAAAGGGGTTTTAGTGGAAGAGGAGACGGGTGGGAGATGAAAAGACCGAAGGAGGGGGCATCAGTGATTAGAGGGTGCTGAACAGCAGGACGAGGAGTGGAAGATAAAGCGTGTGTGGGGGGGGGGGTTGTTGTAAGGGAACAGTGGATGTGATTTAGAGAGGGAACGGAAAGTGGTTCAGGTCACAGGGATGTGGAGAGAAAGAAAAAGATGATCCATTCAGGAAGACGTAAAGGGACCAGAACAGGAACTTAAACTTTAACATCCCAAACCTCGGATACCACATGGAAGAAAATCTAAGAACGGTGGTTTACAATAACAAAACAAAAAAGGGGGGGGGGGGGTGTTGGAGCACTGTGAGTGTTCAACCTACCAAACTCTCCATATGTAGGAAGAGGTCCTTTATGGCACAGCAGAAAAGAAAAGAGACACATGAAGATGGAGGTGTAGAAAATAACGAGAAGAAGAAAATCATAACGCGGACAAAGTAGAAAGAGGCGCGACAGAAAGATGAAGGAAACTAACACATGGCAGCCCAAGGAAATGAACCAGAGGGGAAAAGCTGTTAGACGGAAACAAGATGGTTCTCTTTGTCACAGTAAACTGTGGCGTGGCGCTACTGATCGTCCCGTGAGCCCCCCGTCCTCACCGTGTGAATCCAGGCTCTTGTCCATGTAGACTCTGTATGTGAACGCGTGGCGCAGGGCCAGCGCCGCGAAGAACATCTCGACGCAGATGATGAAGTTCTGGTAGCCGGCGGCGACCGTCCCCTCGCCGACGGACACCTCCACGGAGTTGATCTGGGGGATGGCGCCGCACTTCTCCAGGATGGCCAGCAGCATGCCTGAGCGAAGGAAGGACATGCGGCTTCTTAGTGCGGAAGCGGGGGGCGGCGGGGGGGCGTGTGCATGTACGAAACAGGAAGTGAAGGTCCGCCTCACCCTGCCAGAAGGAGAGGAAGATGACCGACTTGACCATGAGGAACTTGAGCATGGGGCTGTACGGGCTCAGCAGCTCCCGGGTGGAGAAGTAGAAGAGGAAGAGGGCGTACAAGGACAAGCTAACGGAGACGTTGTAGACGATGGTCACGTACAGGTAACCGCTGGCAACACTGTGGAGAAAGAAGAAGAAGTCGTTGATTAACAGGCCGGTTGTGCTAAAAAGCCTAAATCTCCCGTGAGAGATTGATGCCCGAACTGAAGCCGTCTGGGTCCATTCATCCTGAAATAGAAGCAGTCATCCACAAGTTACTGTTTTCTTTCTTTCTCACTTGAAGTCTCCGTCCTTGTATTTGCCGTAGGCCTGCAGGATGACGGTGACGGCGGCCATGAGCGGCTTGACCACGCAGAACTGCAGGGTGGCCTGCTTACAGAAGCGCAGCAGGCCGATGGAGTAGGCCTTCCCCCTCAGGCAGCACGTCCCGTACATGCAGCTGGACCTGGTGGGACGAAGCGCCCGGGTTCAAACGGCATGTTTCTTCATATTTGGGAGAACATGGGCTCACCCATTGGTGTTGATTTTAAATGTAAATTAGAGGGGAGGTAGTTCTCACTCGATGGGCTTCCCTCGGATCTCGGCCATGATGGCGCTCTCTCCTCCCAGGTATTCATAGCACAGGCTCAGGAAGTTGTAAATCACAAATGCTGAGGAGGAACGAGGGGATAAAGAAAACGTTATCATCATCATCTCTATTCAGACGCCGACACGGTCAAGAAAGAGGTCGACCCACGGGGATGGGAGGAAGCTGTCAGCATCCAGACTCTGTGTCAACGTTGTGGAGGTGAAACCTTCAAGATCAGATGAGCTTCAACTGAGAGTCAAAGTGATGACTTTGTCCCGACGGAGTCAATAAACCGCCTGTTCACGTGTGTCAAGGTTCCTCCAGTGACCCTCTACTGGCTCACACATGCTTGAGTGTAACCTGACATATTAAACCAGTTGAACCGCGGCCCGGAATTTGTCTCGGACCTCAAGCCGCAACATCAGAATCTAAAAGCTGACCCGGCGAGGAGAGAAGATCAGAAGCACACAGCCGCCTCAGGCGGAGGGACGGATCTCCACCCGACTCGTCTCTCGTGACCAGCGGCTTATCGCTCCTCTGTGCAGCTCCGGTGAGGCTGATGACGACCGCTAATCCTGTTAACGCACTCCGCTCTCATGACTGTGCATGTGAGACGCGGCGAGCGGGAAGCGCTGCGTAAAAGGGTCACTGCGAAGGAAATGTGACACATCTTGCGTGTGTCACAACACTGATCTCAGAGCAGCTGTACTGCTGGCAGTGATTCTCGTTACCTCACATTAGCCGATGAGTTGTCACATTCGCCTTTTGTCACTCTGACTTTGGCCCGGCTCCACCCGCCCGCCCCCTGAAACACGCACACGCCGACGGTGCCTTCTGCGCTCTCACGTCAGACGATGCTGACGTGTTTTTCGGGCTCTGACTCAAACACAAAGAGCTGAGCGATGGCAGCTGGTTGGTCTGTGCAGCTCTCTCTCGGTCTCTCCCTCCCTCTCTCACCATTGTGCTCTTTCCCTTCTCGCCGAGGTCCCCGCCCCCCCCCCCTCCTTCCAGTCAGGCCTGGCTGGTTGCCACGGTGATACAGTAGACCAACATACAATGAGAATCTGAACTTTGCAAAAAAGTTTGGTTGAGAGAGAAAGTCTTGGCATGTGATGCAGCCGTTGCGGCTGATGGGGAAGATTTGCGAGGGCCGTTGCCGTGCAACAGAAAAAGATCGAGCTGCATTGTGGGAGGCGGAAAGCAGACGGGAGGAGGAGGAGCGGACAGCAACAGGAGGATAAATTGGAGGGATTTGGTTGAAAGATACAACTGTACATGGAGCGCCACCCCCTTTGCATTAAAATGCATTTGCAATTCGCAGATTCAGGAAGTGACTCGTGAGTATTCCGATCCCGAGTTCATCCTGGAGCCTCGGTCAGAGAGTCAGAGCGCTAGAGGCCCTCCACACCCACCCTTGTTTCCAGCCATCCCTTTCCAATTTCAATAGTACCCAGAGTGTCTGGTCGCACGGGCACCCTTAAAAGTAAAAACTCAATCTCGTGTCCCAGAAGCAAACCCGGGGGTTAACAAAAAACCGGCGGATAAACTAAACCAAACTGTCCCAAGCCATTTCAAAATGCAGTAACCCGATAAACAAATACAGGGCCACCCACGGAAGGCCGAGAATATATTAAGGGTGAAGGGGCCCCCAGTTAACCAGGGGGGGGGTATTTTGTTGAGGGACAGACAGATTTGTTCACAATCCCTTTCAACAAATGAGCTGAGGAAGATGCCTCTTTTCCATCCCCCCCCCCCCCCCCCTCTGCCCCAGTTGTCCACTGAGTCGATGCTGTTTACAAAAAGCTGCACCGTCACCGCAGGTCGCGGGCCGAGCGGACGGCAGCGCGGCCTCACCCTCGTAGCAGTCCCGCACGGTGTCAAAGTACACGTAGTACTGGTCGTTGGTGAAGAAGAGGAGGCTGAGCCAGGAGTCGAAGGCGTAGATGGGAACGATGAAGAGGATCCGCACGATGTGCCGCTGCTCCCTCGGGGAGCTGTAGAAACGGAGGTGCATGTAGATCTGGGGGAGGGAGACAAAGAGACACAAATGACATTCAGTTTACAGGGGAGATTAAAATAAGATATTCTACTCTGTGAAAAGCGGCTTCTCCGTTCTTACTTGGGATGAGCCTGAAGCAAAGGTTTAAATACACGAGTAGGGAGATAAGAACAGAGCTTCACAGGGAAGGACGAGGGCGCTGTTAGGACTATAGTTGATGTTTCTGTCTCTCAGTGACCTTAATCAATACATTAGATCACCCGCGTCATCGCTCAGGAATGTGTGAAAGAGAAAAAACACACACACAGCTTTTCATCCACCTGGATCAAGTTTCACCTGTACGTGTGTGTGTGTGTGTGTGTGTGTGTGTGTGTGTGTGTGTGTGTGTGCGTACGCATATGCTCATGTATCACAAACACCTGCTGAGGGATGTTGCCAAGCAACCCCTACCCTTCCCCGGGCCTGAGCAGATGTGTGTGTGTGAGTGTGTGTTAGCAGCGCACAAACACCTGCCTGCTGCCTCTAGTTTACGTCTTTGTGAGCATAAAAAGCCAATCTGCTCAAATCACAACATCTGGGTCTCCTGCGCAGTAATTATGAACAGTTTAAAGATGAGGATGATTTAACCCCCCCCTCCCCCGACCTCCTCCTGCTCGCTAGTTATGCTGTTTGGAAGCAGTCACCTGGTGACAGGTGAGGATGAGCGCGGTCCAGACGAAGAAGCCGGACACAGCCTGAGCCGCTGGGGTCATGAGGAAGATGGGCTGGTCCTGGCTCAGCAACGGGGCCTCAGGGAGCCACGACATGTTGGGGCCCGCCGGGGCGGCCGTCGGCGGGGGCGCGGGGGCCGCCGCCAGGACGGGGTCCTCCCCCAGCCTCTCTGAGAGCGGCACGTCCCGCCTCCACGGCGTCAACATCTGCAAGGGACACAGGACACAGAGGTGGGGGAACTGTGAGACGATGGATCCACATCGTCAGAGCACACGGATAAACACAGAGACACTGCGGGTTTGTACGATGGTTTGCGCGTGGGACTCTCTGGAAACAGAACAAATGTTGGTGTTAGTTCCTACATCTCCTACATTGACCACCGACAGACCAAATAGGGTTGAGGCTGCTGTCTGTGGGCCCTGAACCCTGAACACAACCACACGTTTCAGATACAAATAAATGATGTTCACTGAATGACAAAGGGTGCATCCTTCATTGTGACCCATCAGCACAAGGTCACAGAGCCCTCAGGCCGGACAATCACAGGCTGACATATTAATGCCATCATATTTCTCTGCATTAAAAGCAGGTGATTGAACTGCTGCTCTGCACATGTTGTGTGTCAGACTGAGAGGAGCCGGTGTGTGTTTGTATGGATGTGACAGGCATCAGCAGATCTACGCGTCAACGAGGAGAAGTGAAGGCATCAGCAGCAACACACACACAATGCGAGGGGACATCTGTGTGTGTGTCGTTTGAAAGGTCAGACACACACACACACACACACACACACACACACACACACACACACACACAATAATACGACCAGAGAGACAGAGAGTGAGGAAGAAAGAAACGCAACAGATGGAAAGGGTTGATGTGGAGGGATGGGGGGGGTATAAATTAGCCACAAATGACAGTTTGAAGAGACTTACCTTTGCTGATGTCTGTTCAAAGCTTGGATTTTTGATATTTAGACCTGGGAATTGTAAAAAAAAAAAAAAAAGACATGTTTATAAGTCGGGCAACAAAACGTGTTGAGTTCAGGTGAGGCCTTTGCACGCTCACCTTGAGATAAAACTCCTCAGCTCCGTCAGACAAGAAAAGTCAGCCTGAGAAAAGCCTCAATTCTTCTTCAGAGCTGCACGGATCATCCATGTTGAGCCTCGACGGACTCCCTCCCCCGCAAAAAACTCCCCCCCCCAAAAGTTAGAGTCCCATGTTAAACTTCTACTTGACCCTTTTACTCCTCTGCGCATTCACGTTGTCGAACCTCCGTGTTTCTGAAGTTAAAACTGCCGACTCCGTCATTCCTTTCGGCTCCTTTCTCCACTCCGCTGACTTCAAACCGATCCTGGTCGGATTAACACCAGGTCAGAGAAGCCCCGCCCACACAGGGAGGACGAGCCTGTGCCACCCGTTCAGCCAATCACAGGCCAGTGTTAACCCGGAACCGGGCGGGGTTTGTTCAGCAAATACTGAGCATGCGCGGGTCTATTCTCGGTCCGGCAGAGCGGCGTCGGGAATGTGGGAGACATAAACAAGCATTAGTTATTTGTTCTTTACTTCCTGTCCTGTTAGAGTAAGTGGGCCACAAATACGCAGCATAATAATAATAATAAAGAGGTACCTTGTTATGCGTAATAACAATGTACTGGCTATAACAATGTACTATCTTATAGCTTTTATAAACTACATTAAGTTTACCCAAGCTTTTTTTTTTTTTTACAAGAACAGCATCATTTTCTTTTTTTTTGCTAGTACATTTCCATGTACAGTACAAATAATGACCTTCTTGACGAAAGATGATACAAATAAACTACACCATAAAACAACTCTAGAAAATGAACAGCTCAATAACAGCATAAAGACACATTGGGTGAATAGTGGCGTGATTAACACTGCAGCAAATACACAAACACATAACTCTACGGCCTCTGATTTCAGTCGGATTAAGGCCCAAATTGTTCTTAAAAAAGAAAAGGTGATACATTTTTTGTGTATATATGTATATAATGTTCCATTTCAATACATGAACACGTTAAGGTGAATTTCAAGGATTTAAGTGTCTGCCATTCACAAAACTTAGTATATGTACATAAACAAATTCATAGTAAACAAATGAATATATATTTAGTATCAAATAATAATAAATTAATAGTTAATCGTCAAGTAATTGTAATAATCAGTTAAAACAGAAGACTAGAAATCTGTATAAGCTGTGTATATTTTTATTGATTCAGAAAATATACACAAATATTATAGTTATAAAGATGAAGCATGGTAAAGAAATGTACCGAACATCAGACTGCTCATTTCCAGCCGCGGCATCAGTCCGTCCGGACTGAAGTATTAACAAGGAGCGCTCTGTCATTGCTCAGCGGGAACAAAAACACACACTTCTGACGGACTCTAAAGGTCGGTGGTACAAATGCTCCTCATCTTGCCCCAGAGCAGTCAGGAAGTAAACAGTCGTCCCCTCTCCTGGCCGCCATCGTCAAACTATCTGTCGCATTCTGGCAAAAGCTATTTACATTGTACATGTAATTATAAAAAGCAAAACTAATGAGGTGGCTAATTCTGCCACCAAGATCCTCTAACGTTCTCAAGTCTTTTCATGCCGGAGCTGGACTATCGTATCACACAATCCTCGCGGCCTTCCTGCTTCGGCCCGTTCCACATCCGACGAGCGCGTCCGCAGGCGAGAGAGTGACAAGTGTGCTGAAGAAAAGGAGGTTTTAAATCGGGGGTCCGGCCTCCTGTTACGATTCATGGGAAACTCATCGAAACAGTCGCCTTCCCCTCCTCCTCTGAGGCCAGTCCAAAACACGAAGACACGGAGACAGACACTGACACGGATGGACCAGAAGCAGCCCCGTCCACCACCAACACCATAAGCAGCGGATGTAGCTCGTAGCAAGTTAATAGTTGATGTTTTTTTACCCACCACAGCGCAACGTGTGTAATTAAGTCCATTTTGTGCGCTTTGTGATGCTTTTTTTTGTGTGTTTTTTTTTTTTGCAAGTTGAGCCCGTGGGTCGATGCGCAGGTGAATATTATTAAAGAAGGGGCGGGGCCTGTGTGTGGTTTCAGCCGCATCCACCTTCCAGGCCGCATCCCCGAAAAAGCAGTTCACCAGTCAAGTGTCACCCGCCGGGTTTTCCATCAGGTCGACTTCCCCCCGGCTCCTCCTGGTCACCAGTGCGCGGCCTCCATCCCCTCCTTCAAGGGCCCCAAACGCCTCCCCCCTGCTCCTCTCGTCCCCCTGCTGTCACTCATGTTCTCATTCATCCATTTGAAAAGTAAGAGGTACTTGATACCCTGCAGCTGCTGAACCACAAAGAAACCACAACAGAAAAAAGAAGAGATGTGTTACTTGTGGGTAAATGATAGGACGTTCTGTATTTATTGTGTCAACGAATCCCATGAAGTGATACAAACAATAAATTAGTCTCTCTGGATACATTGTGACTTTCTTACTCCTTTCTGTCGCACTCGACCCAAAGCCTATTAGTTCCTACTGAAGACGTTAATCTTTTAAACCAGGCCTCAAATGAATGTGGCTGCTGGTTTTTGGTATTTTCCTCAGCAGCTTAAATTCCCTCACGAGTATTTCTTTATAAACACCCAGACATTATTATTATATTTACAGCAGTGTCTGCAAAGTACCTGTTTTTTTATGATATACATCAGCAATAAGACAAGACCTTTCTTGTTAACACTTCCTTGAGACACAGATTTTTTTTACTTGGAGTTGTAATATTTTTGGGGGGATTTTCTAGATTTTCCAGAAAAAGCTAAATTAAAACTTCCAATAATCCGTCGTGGCTGAATGCCTCCAACAACATGTACATCCTGCCTGTTAAAAACTGTCCCGTTGTGGAACACAATGGGGGAGCAACACTCATTCTACACTCAGGACAACCTTTTCAAATTCTAGGGAGAAGAAAATAATAACAATAAAAAACGTCATGTTGAATGTTTCACTATTCATTTACCATCTAACACCTTGCCTCCGTCTACTTCACTATGTATTTGCTAAATGATTGTAATTTTCAGTTCTTATCCCTCTGAATCACTGCGGTTGTAGAACAATTTTTCGCATAGTGCCAACAGCTTCTTTCTTTACGTCTATGAATGGTAAGGGTCAGGGGTCACCCAGGACGAAAGACATGGACGGCTGTTCAAGCATGCGGTTTGTGTGCGTGTGTTAGAGTCAAAGACGTGTCCGAACTCACCTTCAGCCAGGGATAACTCACTTTGCCAGATGTTCAAACGGCACACTGACCTGCGTGTGGAGGGGGAGACGAGAAGCATTGATTAGAGGCAAAAGAAATCTGCGGGAAAAAAAACTGTTTTTACAAGTTTATAGAAACATACCCAGACGCTCTGTCTGCTTTATCGTTAACTCATTAAGATCAAGACTGTATTTGAGCGTCATGAGGGTTGTAAATTAAACCAAATTGCTTGTTGCATGTGGGAGTGATGGAAGGATTCTGGGTGTTAACAAATGGAAGAGCAGCGCGGACAGTTTGCTAATTACAAACACTAACGGCTTTGGTGAATTATCCTGCTGGGTTTGTTTTCACGTCAGAGTGAAAGCCGGATGGAATCTGCCCACCTGTGATCCAGCGACACGCGGCTGCTCCAGGCGTGCGTTGAGGTCGGAGGAGGACACGTTGGCGGGGGCCCCGCGGTGGAGCCTCATGGCCACCTTCCTCTCCCGCTCGGCCCGCTCGGCCCTGCCGGCCTGAGGCGAGCGGTTACCTACAAACAGGCGAAGCGAGCGCACGCGCTTTGATTTAGACTCAGTCTGTTCTGTTATAGGTTGCATCTCTGGTGCCACGCGGGGGTGGGGGTGGGGGGGGCATCCTGACCTGACGGCTGGACCCCGCGAGCCGCCGGGTTGGTGGAGGGAGCGGCGTCCGCCGCCTCGTTCCTGACTCTGTTCGGACCGGGCGGCGGAGCGCGACCTCCGGCTCCCCTTTGGCCTCCTCCCGCTCGCTCCTCGCCCTCTTTCACCTCCCTCCTTTCCTTCTCTCCGTCGTCTGCGGCCCGGCCGGCCCCCTGAAACACAGAGGAACAGCGCCGGGCTGAATGTGTGCTGGAGGTGAGGACGAAACGCGCAATGAACAAATCAACACTGGAAAGGATGAAGGCATTTCATTAAACACATTATTTTTATTTCAGTGATAACTAGAATTGTCTTGCCTTGTACGTCAAACCACATTGTAAAGGTGCTGTGTAACTTAAAGAGAATCATACAGGTCGGAGTTCTGCACGAGCCACTCACAAACTTCAGCATGTTCCAGTCGAAGACGTAGTCGTAGGAGAAGCCCTGCCTGTGGAAGAGGTTCCTGAAGAGCTGCCTCAGGTACGAGTAGTCCGGCTTGTCGTCGAACCGCAGCGAGCGGCACAAGTTGAGGTACGTGGAGAACTCGGCTGGGAAGCACAGGAGAGCGATGGAGCACGTGGAGTCAAGCTTTTTCGAGAGGAACGTCCTCTTTCCTCCGTCTCCGCCGGCCTTTACTCACATGGGTATCCCTTGCAGAGCACCTCGATGGGCGTGGACATCTTCTTCTCGCTGATGCGTTCGTACTTCTGCCTCTTGGTGGCGGCCTTGAGCCCCTGCCAGGGCAGAGAGCCCAGGTTGAAGTACATGAGCACGTAGCCCAGGGACTCCAGGTCGTCTCGCCTCGACTGCTCTGTGGAGACGGACAGACGGGAGAGACAGAGACGGGCGTTTAGCAGAACCCGCGGCCTGCGTGGGCATCCAGGCCGAGCGCCGCGCGCGTGTGGCGCCTCACCGATGCCCAGGTGGGTGTTGATGGAGGCGTAGCGGGCGGTGCCGGTCAGGTTCTTGTTCTCCCGGTAGGGGATGTGCTGGTGCGTTCGGGCGTCTCGGTACTTCTTGGCCAGGCCGAAGTCGATGATGTAGACCAGGTTGCCCTTCTTGCCGAGGCCCATCAGGAAGTTGTCGGGCTTCACGTCCCTGTGGATGAAGTTCTTGGAGTGGATGTATTCAATTCTGCTGATCTGGAACGAGGAGGTGGATTTGGACCGTTTAGCACTTCCATGAAGGGGAAGGACTCACAAAGGACGTATTTAAGTGTCCGTTACCGCCTCGCGGTACATAACCGCCTCATCGTCTCATCCAACAGACATTTGTATAAAATTGTCATATTTAGTCTGCAAATTCTTATTAGTTATGGCCACAATTTTAGTTCTATGAGTTCACAGTGACCTTTGACCCCCGAATGCTCGGCAGTATATTCACGTGTGCCGCCGGGCGGGTGGACAGACGGCTAAAAAACCCAGAATGCTTCAGTTTAACAGAAAAAAGCTTCACTACAGTAATAGATTACCTTTAAAATCTCTGCAAGTCACTTTCATTAAATGTAAAATAAACTGGAGTTTATATTGAGTTAAAGAAGTTGGTTTTAAAGGCCATGAGTCAAATGATAGTTGTAAGCCAGCCTTTCTGTAGACACATAGAGGGCATTTAGTACACTGGGACAGTCCGAATCTTAGTTATTGTCCCTTTGGAGGAGACGAAAGGAGAAGCAGAAAGAGCGATTAGCAAACTAGTCAGAACGTTTGAAAGAGAAAATGAGAGAAACGACATTCGAGGGATTAAAGAGAGTCACAAAAGACGCCACTGGGCGACCCCTGCGTCGAGGATTAGGCCGTCTTGCCACCGCGTCCTAGATTGCAATTGGATTTTATGGCAGAGGCCGTTGAGGGATGAGCTTTGTCTCGGGCCGGGAAACAAGCGCCAGAAGTTTGAGGTGAGAATTATTCCCCCTTTTTCAAAGGATCCGTTTAGCTCCGGTCTCAAAATAGCAGCATCCTCTTCATTGAACTCTGTGCAGCTTCCCGGCTCCAGATCGACTCCAGTGCGTTACGTGCAAACTAGTGCACTAAACGCACCTCTGTGGTCCTTGTTAAACCTTCCGCGATTGGAATGGCGTAATTCAACCAGCACCTCCCCGTTATCGATCGCCACCGCTGCTTACGTGTGCGTTTTTGCTTTTGTTTTCCTCGAGCGGCTCGAGGGAGGAAACTCTGAGACTTGAACCCCGTCCCTCTCACCATCTGGTCGGCCAGCAGCAGGACCGTCTTCAGGCTGAACTTGCGGGAGCAGAAGTTGAACAGGTCCTCCAGGCTGGGGCCCAGCAGCTCCATCACCATGACGTTGTAGTCGCCCTCCGCGCCGCACCACTTGATGGACGGGATTCCCACTGTGGGGGTGTGGGAGGGGGGGCATTTATTTCATACTGCTACAGCAGCTATTGCATCGTTTATTTGACCCGTAGGAGCGTTTCTTTATTCCAGCTACTAGATCCCTCCCCCTTCTGAGGGGTCCTCAGGTGTTGTTGTTGTTGTTGCCTCAAAATCAAATCAAGCGACCTGAAGTGAACTATAGAAGTACACCATGTACACGAGTACCTCTGGTTGGGAAATGGCCGCTGCTTTAGAGCATTTGGCTTTTATATAAGCGAATAACAACAAAACACCCACATATTAATATATATTGCATTGCTTTATATTACTATATAACAATAATGATATACACAAATGCTACATGATGCATTCATTCTTTACTTGTTCTGTCTGACATTACTGCAGTAAAGGATTTCTGGGTTTCCTTGGCACGAATGCTTGTTTAACTTGTTTAACCTTCATGGACATTTCAACACCTCAGAGCGGCGGTTAGCATCTCACACGGCCCCGAGCGGACGGCGATGGCACCTCAAACGCCCTTAAATGTGCTGGAATGCCTTTTTCACGGCCTAAACGCACCACACAGCCTCCTAAACCACGCACCCCCCCACCCCCCCCCGCCCCAACCCCACCCCTCACACCCTTCACCGCCTCTCAGCGCCTCCTAGCCCAGCTTTGAATAAACCCTGAAACACATCTCACCTCCTCCCTGCATCATCTTGTAAAACTTGCTCTCGATGTGGAGCTGTGGATGTTTGGTTTTGACACATTCCAGTTTGATGGCTACTTCCTCTCCCGTGGCGATGTTAGAACCTGGTGGGGGACACGGGATGGGGTTAGGGGTTAGGGGTTAGGGGTAAGGGGTTAGGGGTAGCAACGTAGTGCAGCTAACCCGGCACATCAGTCCCAACGCATAAATGGCCTCGTGACCCCGTGAAGTTTAGGAGTGAAATCTATTCAACACAGCTCACGAATATGCGTCGTATTCACATTTGGGGATCTAAGCAGGATGAGGAGCGACAACACGACACAAAACGGTCCAAATCCTCACCGAGGTATATGTCTCCAAAGGATCCGCTCCCGATCTTCCTGCCGAGGCGGTACTTGTTCCCCACCCGCAACTCCATGGCTTCCGAGCTTTCCACTGTTCACTGAGGGAGTAAACACACACACACACACACACACACACACACACACACACACACACACACACTGGGCCGTCATCAATCAGTGCTGATCAATATAGCACAAGGACAGTGGTGCAAACTGCGGACTTTAAAACGAAAGCACTGCATCGTGAAAGGAAATTGAAGCGCGGGAGAGAGATCACCGAGAGGGACGAGCAGGACGGATAAGTGCGGCTGACGGAGGCAGGGCAGTGACGTAGTGCGGCCTGGATGACTGCACCGGGGGGCAAATGTTGCTCTGCTTGCAGCTGTAAAGTCACTTCATGTGAATAAAACCCCCCTGTGAAGACGTGGGGACCTCACGTTGCCACCCTACTCCTGCCTGACCGGGGACACATTCTGCCGAGAGGACAATGCAGCGTTGTCCTCTGAGAAAGAAAAAAAAACCCACAAACAAAGCGTGCAGTTGCATAACGGGATTTTACTCTCCCCACTGCTTTGCAAAGGGGGGTCTGGTCCTGTGCACAAGTGATTCGCACACACTCTCGATTTTGGATCGGAGTCCCCTGAGGATATTTCACAATGAGTCACGTTTCCCCTCGTGCAAGGCCCGTGTGTGTCTGAGGAGACACCAAATACAGGGACCAGCGATGGTGGGAAACGACCGCAGCCAGTTTGACAATGCACTTAATACTGCACTAAAAGTGCATTTAGTCCTTTTTTTGGGGGGGGGGGCACCTAAAGGCACTCATCCCCGTCCACCGGGGAAATAAAGCAGAACGAGCCACTGCTGCACATCCACAGAGCCTCCAGCTGTCTGTCAGCCTCTAGAGCTGCTCCCGAACCGAGACCCGGTACTGCTGCAAGGGGCACCAATGACACCCCCCCCCCCTCCCTCCCAAAAAAATACCCCAGCAAGGACGACGGAGAATAATACTTCATGCAGTTGCACCAGATACCACAGAAGATGGGAGGGGGACAGGGGAGGGGCAGCAAAACAACACCGACACTGACCATCTGACGATTGTGTTTGGTCTCCTATTTACCAAACACACACACGCGGCTGCAGACACCTTCACTCCCCCCCTCCCCCCTCCCCTCCTCCTCCTCCTCCTCCTCACCGGGTGATGTCCGGCTCCGCGGCGGTCCGCTGCCTCCGTCTCACTCAGGACCCCGGACAGCGAAACGGGGACCCATGTCCGCGGAGATCTGTGACCCGAAACAACACCCCCACCCTCCTCCCTCCAAAAAAAATATGTATATATAAAATGAAATATGATAGAAAGCGGAGATCGGTCCGCCCGAGTCCCGCTAGATTCCCGCCGTCACGATCCTCTTTTTCTTCTTGTTTTTGGAGGGAGGGAAAAAAACCCGCCGAAACCAGACACCGACGTCCCTCTCTCTCTCCCTCTATGTCTCTCTCTCCCCTCACACCATTGACAGTACCGATGATGTCATCCGTGGACTTGGAGGAGATGCCCGGATTGTCTTAAAGTCGCCGCGCTGCTGCTGCTGCTGCATGGCGCCGTTTTATCTGCTCTTTCTAAAGGCTCACTAGCAGCTGCTGCAGTCTGATCGGATGCTGCACAAACAAACGGGTCAACTACGTCCGGTGGGCGGGTGGATGGTGCCCTGTGGGTGGTGCATCCTACAGAGGCCTCATACTTATTACGCAAACATAAAGACATTCAAACAGGATGTGACTCTAAAGGGAGAACATGACACGTGTACCTTCAGGCTTCTTAATGTGTCATGAAAACATCCACTAAAGTCAAATATTTACCCGCAGCTCTTACAAACCCCCAAAGTCTTGAGTTGTTTTAATATAAAAATGACTTGTATGTTTTACACATTAGTATATGAAGCATTCTTTTATCACGGGGTAGATTTTGAATCTATATTTGGGGGTTTTGGGACATGAACGACGAGAAATTAAATGAACTCGTAGGATAGAAGCTGTGATCCGGATCCCCGAGGAGTCGCTCGCACATATCAAACAAACCACTACAGACTTCAATTCAACCTTTATTATCTTGTTCTTTTCTGCTTTAAATTAATTTCGTCTTATTTTTGTAACATCTGAAAGAAATGAAAACATCCTGAACAGGAGTGATAATAAAGACTGACTTAATTTAAATTGATACATAACAAAAAAGAGAAAAAAACAGTAAAACATAACAGGTAATGTCTTTAACGTGTCGGTAAAACACTGTTCCAGCTCAGCTTGGTATGGTACGATTTGGCATCTTAGTAGAAATGCCTTAAGTTGGTTGCTTCGTCTTAAAAACAAAAAAATATTTTGTTATTGCATTTGGCAGAAAAAAACAAAATGAACAAAATGCTGCTAAAAAACAAACAACTTGAGAAATATGCAATAGTGCCAATGGTTTGTTTGAAACTTTTTAGCTATTACAATATCCAGACAGTCACGCACACACACATGTACACACATTCACAAACGCACCACTTCTCTCAAATATAAGCTGTCAGATTGACTTTCACTTCCCTGACTGGAGCAGATAAGTGTTCAAAAGCACGCGCGCACGCACACGCACACGCACACGCACACACACACACACACACACACACACACACACACACACACACACACACACACACACACACACACACACACACACACGTGAATCTCTCATGGACGAGAAAACCCCCCCAAAACAATCCAACGTTGTAGCAATTAACACAGACACTCCCGATATCGATTATTATCTTCATCAGTCCTCCTGCAGTTGGTCTTCCTGTCGTCGCTCCTTTCATGCACACACAGGCAGGAGGGCACCTTGTACAGCGAGTAAATAGGTGATGGTAGTCATCATTAACGGCATGACAGTATATAGTAACCAACTTGATTTCTCCAGTAAGAAAGAAATGCAATAGCGAGGTCAGTGTTTGGAGGGGAAAGAAAGAGGACATCTCTGAGTTCAACAACGTTTCACACATTTCTCTTTATCTTCTAAAACAGAAACAAAATGATCAACAACCAACACACATCAACGAGGAGATACAATTTTGCTTGTCAAATGTAAGAGCAGTGTGGAACTGATGAGAAGGTGTGAAGGCTGCTGACAGGGCGGGCGTGCGGCCGCTGGTTGTGAGCCAAGGCCACTGCTGCTGTAACATTAGGTCGTCCTGTGCGGTCTGCGCTGTGGCCGCTTCGGAAAAGAGTGGAGGGATTTCTGGAGGATTTGTCAGCAACAAACCCAGAGGCATATAGTGCAAGTTTGGCTAATGTTGTTTCTGTTTGGATTTCTCTTGTTTTGTTTTTATACCCTGGGTCCCACGTTGATGGCGTATTTCCACCGAGGCCGAGGTGCCGGTACCGACTAAAAGAACGCTCGTCTTTTTCCCCCACATCTTAAAAAACGGTTGCCGATGTTCCGTTAGACTCAGTAGTGTGGCGCCGCCCCCGGTTTTTACACAAACTCCGGGTCCTTCAGCCACTCCGAAGCTTCCAAACGTGAGAACTTAGAGGTACGCCAGCCAGGTCTATGAGGGCTCAGTCTGCAGGTCGGAATTTGGAGATTCGACCATTAAATAGAAATACAAAAGAAAATACATTGTGGCACACTAAAAACAGCAATAGCTAAACTTGTTGACGTGTACGACTCTGGCTGAGCCTGTCTACAGTGCATGCCTGAGTGATCGGGTCTCTGAATGCAGATGGCGGGATTTGGAATAAAAAGACAAAGAGCTTCCCAGATGAGTCCTAGACAGTTTAATGGATTTCACCCTTTTACCCCCTCCGGTTCAAGTTTTACTGTTCATCTTCATTTAAAGTCGAGCGGTTTAATGTGTAAGTGTGAGAATAAGGTGTGCGTGTTGTGCACGTAGCCTCTGTGTGTGTTATGAATGAGGGTTTGAATGTCGGGGCACCAGCGGAGCTTAAATTCATGTCCTCTCTACGTGTAGATGAGTAGAGTAAGACATACGTATTACATGTCAAACATGTGCGTGGGGGGCGGTGGGCCCCTCAGATGGAGTCGGCCCCCCCGCCCAGCAGGTCCCCGGGCAGCAGTGCGGCGGGGCTGCCCATCTGGTGGCGATCCTCAAGTGCCGGGGAACCCCACAGGCTGCTGCTGCTGGAGTACCCCGCCCCGCTCATCCCACCCATCCCCCCCACAGACCCTGCCTCCCGGCCTACACGCCGCCGGCCCCGCCACCCGCTCCCATTGCTGCTCCACTGGGCGAAGATGCCCAGCCCGGAGCCCTGGGAGGCGGACGGGTCCGACGAGCCGCCGCTGCCGTCCAGACTCTGCCACCCGGAGCCGGGAGGCCCGACTCCTCCGTTTCCTGCTCCTCCAGCCGTGGAGCCTCCTTCTACTCCTCCGCCGCTTCCTCCTCCCGCTGCTGCTCCGCCTCTCTCGCAGCCCCCTCCGTTACCGCTGGACCCCACAGCGGAGGAGGCTGTAGGCCCGGAGCCGGCTGCGTTTCCTCCGCCTCCTGCTCCTCCTGCTTGGGAATGTGCAATGTAGCGAGCCACATCCTCCTCGCTCACAAACTCTGCCAAGATGGTGGTATTACCCAGAACGCACCTGTTGGGGACAACAAGTCAGTCAGTGAACAACCTACAACGAGGAATTTACACCACGTCTCACTATGATGAGCTGGGTCATGTGATACGTATTCTTGCTTTTATGAGTCAGTGTTTCCACGGTGCAGCAGGAAATTCACTTTACATTCAATCACAGTTCCTTCCACGATGTGAATGATTTCACATTTTAAGAAACAAATTGGTTCGCTTTCTCAGCAAATATTAGATAGATAGAAGATAGATAACACTTTATACTTTTATGATGCAGTAAGCTGAGCTTTGGTAGCCTGCTCATGTCTAAAGATCTGTACATTTACCACTAGGGGCTCTGCAGCGGAAAGAAAGTGATATTCAAAAAGTGTGTAAACAAAACAACCGTCTTACATGTGCAGTGCGCTCTGGGCCTTGGCTGCCTCCTGTTTGGTGCTGTAGCGAATCAGAGCGGTGCCCTGGGTCAGGCCAAGGTGAAAGGTCAGCAGAGGGCCATGCTGCATGCAGATGGTCCTCAAAGTGGAGCCATCAATCTGCAGGAGTTTGCGAGACAGACAGAACTTGTATGAAACTCACAGCGCCTCCCTCTGGAATTACTTTTGTGTGCTTGTTTACGATTCCTTTCGTGCATGAAGCCTGGCTGCAGCTCTCGGTCTTTACAAAACAACTGACAAAAAGGGTCAGCATGTCACCTGTGGTGTGAGGTTGCTGAGCACCAACCAGCAGCTTTCCCGAGAGCTGCCATCGCTCCAGGTTGAGGCTGCAGAGAGAGAGACAAAAAGTTAGGGTTTTCCACACTCCTTGTTAACACAGTCGGTCGGCTTGTCAAATCTAATAAATTAGGAATCTCTTTCCTTGTAAATTTCAACAAGGCTTCTCATTGAAAGCAAATACAAACACTCCGTAGTTCAAAGAGCACTGTGTCACGTTTCAGCCAGCTAACTGCTGTGTGCATTTAAAGCAGAAGAATGTTTCCACACACTGTGGCTGGATGGTAAACGAGGGACAGCTGTTACATGTGCATGTTACAAAACAACATGATCATTACCAGTGGTGTTAGAGCCACCGCCCCAGCCCCGGCCAGCCAATCGAGGGGATCCTCCAGACCACGGGGAAGTCGATGGCTGCTTTTGACTGGCCAGCCCTGGAGGTAGGCGGGACATCTGGCTTTGGCTGCTGCCACGGGTAGCTTTCCAGGATTTGTGTCCAATGGGCTCCGGGGGCCAGCTGGTCTTGTAGTCTGTGTACTTTGCTGAAGCGTAACAGAGGAGTGAATGAGGCTCTGGGCGAAGGATTTCTGAATAAAACACCAATATGTTATGGCATCGCAATCGAGGAGAACTTGTGGAGACAAAGCTGAGACAGAGAAAGCAATGAGACAAGCTAAAAGGTCATTATCACCACGGCGAAGTGGCCTTCAAGCCGTATTCCTGAATGCCTCTCCTACATTCACTGTGGCTTTCTCTTGGTTGACAGTCAAATAACTCATAACACTCATAATACTACATTAGGGATTCATAGATGGGCCACATGGTGCAAGTTGTCCATCACTGAATAATCAGAGGATAGTGTTTAAAAAAGAATCACTGTGTCTTCTAATGGCAACTTCTAACGCACCTGAACACTTTTAAAGGAGCTAAAGAATGTTTGACAAAGAATTAATAATCAACGCCGAGTTAATTGGGTAATCAGATTGCTGGACGGGTCATTCAAGCTCTCCTCAGGAATGAAGACAAAATCAGCAGAGCAGCCCAGAGAGGAGATGTGTGGTTACCGGAGTTGTGTGCATTGTTGAGGGGACTGTCTGAGGCACTGTAGGGCCAGGCACCAGGTGAAGGCAGCAAGGTGTTGAGGGGAGGGGTGGAATCTGACAATAAAGAAGGAGACCAAGGGCTGTTGGTCATTCATCCACGTAAAAAGATCTAACAACTATTCAGAAAACAGAAGCCACACATATAAAACGGCTCACCTGTATTGTCTTGTAACAACTGGTGCTCGGTATCATTGAGGTTGGGGGACACCGAGTTTCCCATCATGCTCCCCGGGGTCATGTAAGGGTCGGAATCAGGGTCGACACGGTCAATTCCCTTCCAGGGGACGCCAGGCTGGAACTCTAAAGAAGGAACACACGCGTGGTCTGTTAGTTTACTAATACGCGTGATCTCTTCTCCTTCAGGCCTCATCTTAAGAGTATAACCACTAGTTGTCACTCACCGGGGGGCCAGCTGGGCGTGGGCGTGGGCTTGGCAGCCATCTTGTTGCCAGGGGTGCGATGCCAGTTGTCTCCCAGCCCGTCGCCGACCATCATGTCATACTGAGAGTAGGGCGAGCCCCCCGGCATCTTCATGGGGGTGACTGGACCTGGAAGGAGGTGATAATTATCACTGAACACCAGATGGCTTCGCAAACCGTCTTAATGTTAGAGCTAATAATCCCATTAACACCACCGGCCCCGACACCCCTCATTTCACATCTCAAGGAAAGAAAACATCCCACCGTTTTTGTGGAATGTGTTTTCAGGTGTGGAGGTGTCCGGAGAAGAATGTCCTTCCATCATCCACTTGAAGCGGGACTGCTGGATTCCTAAGTCCTTCATGCCGCCGCCCAGGTCCAGACCCGGGAGGTTCACCCCAGATCCAAATCCTGCTCGCAGCAAGAGGGAGACAAAAAGAAAGATATTTTAACATTGATGTTGTTAGGGAACTTACACTTGTTAAGAACTACTGAGCGGTGATCTCTGGGGAGAAGTAGTGCATAAAAGCAGACTCTGGATTGAGATTCCCGTGTTTAGTTTTTCTTTCTAAATGAAAACTCACCGGTATATGGTCCGAGATTTTTCTGGTGCAGATCGGCCACCGATCCCGCCAGGCCGTGATGAGGCAGGGAATCGGGCCCCAGCAGCTTGGGGCCAACGCCGCCGTGATGGGAGGGGGAAAGCTTGGAGCTGCCACCCAAACCCCCGACCTGCTGCTGCTGCCTCTGCTGCTGGAGCACGGCCATGATCCTGGCAAGCTGACGCAACAAAAATCAAGAGTCAGCAGCTGGGAGGGGTACGGAAGTCACATGGGAGGGGGGGGATATGTTCTACTCGTGTGCACCTGTTGAGGGTCGGCCTGCTGTCGCACATTCGGCGAGAACTTCCTCTGGTTTTGCAATGGATGCTGTTGCTGAGGCGTTTGCTGAGGCGGTTGCTGTTGCTGCTGTAAGAGGAGCTGACAAGCCTGAACCAACACAGGACAGAAAAGGAAACTGAGGAACAAGACTGAGGAATCATCTAATATAAATATTTGGGCAGTGAGTGCGGTCGCAAAGGTTTTTCAGAAAATACATTTATATCACCGAATCTAGTTAAACGTATGTGTGAAATTAAGGGAGATTCTACCATAACAATGATGTCCTGAGACATGTTAAACGTGTCTCTTTGACATTTTAATTTCTTCGTATAGTTCGTAAGTGGGCAGACCTGCCGTCACTGTCAGAGATCAACGAGAAGTAGTGCTGCTTCTCACCAACTGAAACTGGATGTGAGGTGGGTAGATGCTGCTGAGCATGGCAATATGCTGGGGGGACAGCTGTGGAGGGAACACACCTCCCCCGACTCCTGCCACTCCGCCCACGCCGCCAACACCCCCCACGCTCCCGCTGGGAGGGGGCATCTGCTTCAGCACGGAGCCTGGCACCTGGAGACAGACACACCCGTTACCACAGAAACGCTTCGGTGCTGTAACCGCTAGCAACGATGTTAGTATGCGGCCTCTCGCCGACAAACGTTGATCCACTTTTGCGTTCTCAGCAGGAGCCTCAACCTGAGTGAGCGGTTGAAATTGAGTGAATTTCTGAAAAGGTGTGTTTCACTTTGTATTCTTTTAAAAGTAATCAGAGGTGTGCTCTATATTTTCCTGCAGAGATATTACATTACATTACATTACAGGTCATTTAGCAGACGCTTTTATCCAAAGCGACTTACATTACACTTTAAACCCATGGCTTTTTCACATTTTTGCCCGGGGAGCAATTAGGGGTTAGGTGTCTTGCTCAGGGACACTTCGACATGGAACATGGGGCAGCCTGGAATCAAACCAACAACCTTGTGCTTCCCAGCACACCTTCTCTAACCCCTGCGCCACGACGACCCACAACCTATTCTTATTGTGCACATAAGAATCAGATAATTACACTTGATGTCAGGAAGTTCACAGCACAAAGACGTCCCTTTGCTTGACCTGTATGTACTTTAGAGCCAATTATAATAAGTAACATTCTCTCCACCATTGACAGATTTTACCTTTAAAAATGGATCTATGTGAAGTGCTGCTAGAAAAGCAAATCTGCAGCTTATTTTTCCAGAAAACAGGAGTTACGAACAATACGTGCCACTGACATTATTGGCAAAGCGACTTACATTACATTTTTAACCCATGGCTTTTCACATTTTTGCCCGGGGAGCAATTAGGGGTCAGGTGTCTTGCTCAGGGACACTTCGACATGGGACATGGAGCAGCCGGGGCTCAAACCGCCAACCTTGTGGTTCCCGGCGCACCGTCTCTACGTCTGCGCCACGTCGACCCCAACGACCTAAATCAGCTGCAGCTTTTTTTTTTACAATTATCAAGCGAAACGCAGGAATGCGACAGAATGGAATTGTTGAGCTACTTGTTGCCACTGCAAAGACTCGGCAACAGTGCGTGTCGTCTATCAAACTAAGTTTGGGTTTTCATTTCAATGGATTAAAAACAAAAGCTGTTCCCTATTTCCAAGTTGAAGTAATTCTGACTTCAATTTGTTAACTTCGCAAAGATAAATTGAAGATGACTCGTCCAACACTGTTGAACACAGACATTCAACTCGCATACCTGTGTCTGCGTTAAGAGTGCAATATGTTGACGGCTGGGAAGAATAAAAGTAAAAGCATTAGTACCTGAGGTGACAGGAACTGATGAGGCACTTGCGCTCGTATCCCTGGGGACTGGTTAAGCGGCGGGACACTTGGCTGGTGTCTCGACTGCGCCATCCCTCCACTACTGCCAAAGATACTGTGACCACCCTGTGATCGTTGTTTGAAAATTAAACCTTAGCAGACCCATAACAATGGAGCCATTTCCATGAACATCATACAGATTACGCAGCATGGAGGACTGGACAACTTGGGGATTACTTATTATGATTATTGCGTGATTATCTGTCAAAACACGGAAGAGGACGAGAACCCGACGTAAAACAAATGGCAGGACAGAAACAAGAGGTGCGTTATCTTACTTGTCTAAAGGGAATAGTGTGGTTGAAGAGGGAATGGGACTTGTAGATAGTGGGTGGTGAGTACAGAGAGGAAGGACCCTCCTCCCCAAGGCACCAATCCTGATTGGTCAAAGGCAAGGTCTGTCACAGTGACAGACAATGGGAGACCGTTTTGAGTGGTAGTGAAGGGGGGGTGGTGGTGGTCGGGGGTGGGGGGGTGAGACAGGGAGGAATGGGGCAGACGAAGAAGAAAAAGGTAGAGACAATAGGAAATAGAGTAGAATAGTAAGAAAGGAGAAAATGTTATATAGACAACAGAAAGACATAGAGGACAAAGGCTGCTGATGTGGCAGGGAGACATTACCTTGTCATAGTAGGACCCAGCATCAGGTGCTGCCTCTTTGGAACCAGGTGGACGATAGGCCATCCCTCCTCCTCTTCCTCCCTTCCTCATGTCTCCATTGTAATCGTTCATCCCCATCCCGATGCCTCGCTTTTCCACATCCATCTTCTTCTCCTGGTGAGAACCCGGAGCCAGGTCCATGCTTGGGCTACTGGGATCATCATTCTGAGAAGGTTCATCACCATAACCATCATTATCATCATAGCCGTCATCCTAAAAGTCCAACCTGCTAAGTGTCTAAACATTTTGGCTTGTAAAACCAAGCATCTGAAAAGAAGAAGGTCCTGACATTTCCCTGCCACAAAAACACTCAATATGAATAAAATAAGTAATGATGTTTTCTCTTACCAGCAGCCCCATGTTGGAAAACTGTTTGTTGATTGGGCTCATCCACGAGTCTCCTCCGCCAACCTTCATTGGACCCTGAGAGAAATTCACAAAGCGAGCAGACTATAACTTCATATTCAAGAGCTTTAACAGGTGCATTAGAATTTAAACGGATGCAATAACAATACCAAGTCGGCAGAAACCACTGCCCTACTTTCCCAGAGTACATTAACTACCTTAAGAGACTACCTTTAATTTCACTTGAGCTCATTTCTGAAATTTGATCAAAATACATCTGTGCCACAATTCTAAAAAATAAATGATGCCTTTATAACTGTTAACACACATAACGGTTGCGAGAACCAAAAGTGCCTTTGTCTTTTGAATAAATCTTAATTTGCTTGCGCTTTTCTATGATCAAAATCCACCTTCCTGACACACACACACCTTGTTGGTGGGCTTCTTCCCAGGTTGGCTCTGCCCCCAGCCCCCATTGCTTCCCTTTCCCCATGAGGAGCCACTCCCCTGGGAGCCAGGGCTGTTCCACATGCCGCCACCTCCCTCCTCCTCCTCCTCCCAGCTGGAGTGATGCGAGGCAGCCACACAGGCCTCTTTATCCCCCCAGCCTTCTTGCATAGACTTTGAAGCTGTAAGAGGAGAAAGTCATACTAAATTAAACTGTTGTGCTGTGATGTAATTAAGGGATACAGGTTAATGTTTTCTCACTAGCAGATTATTAAGCATGTGAATTCTCCAAAAGCAATACACCAAATATCTCCAGCTTAACCTGATACAACAAGCACACTCCTCAAAACCAGACTTGTGTGGATCTCCCACTAACAATAATTCGTTTTAGCGTTTTCCCCACATTTGCTCCAGTCTTTATTTGCCTTTTCTCACCTGATTTGATGGGGTTGGGCGGAGGGTTGCCCCAACCAGTGTTCTTCCCTCCAGCATCTTCGGGGTCTCCCCAGCCAGTAGGTGCGTCAGACGTTTTCCCCCCAAGCTGCTGTGCCATTGTCTACCGTGGGACTGGTTGGAGAAGCACCACCCCCACCCTGACGGACCTACATCAAACACGGAAAACACAAGTTAAGGCCTTTGGAGAGGCCTCATCGTTTCTCCCTTTTGACTCCAACTTCTAGGGGGGAGGCACATGCAAAGGGGTGTGAAATTAGAAACAGCTATTGCAGAAGAGGCCGACTGAAGGACAACGATCAACCTCTCTAGCAGCAGCTGTACCAGTAGGGCTGTCACGATATCACATTTTTCTTGTGCGATTATTCCACCAACATTTATTGCGATATGCGATATTATTGCAATTTTCAGACCATTTTATGCCACTGAATGTCATAATGACAATATAATATGTTTTATTTGTCAGAATAGTTAGACATTAGAATCGGAATGTGAAAAAATATATCCTATATGAATAAAACGTAAAAAAAGAATAAGTGCAAGGCATACGGAGCGGGCGAAGCGTCGGGCTTGGTGCGATTCAGTCAGGTTCGAGAAAATGTGTCCAGCAGAAAGGTGCGCCGCTGCAGCCGGGGAGGTTTAACGCGGGGCTTCCACCGCTAACAATCACCCGGTCAGGGAGGAACCGAGAGTAGTTCAGGTTAAAGACCGGGCGGATGGTTTAGCTTAGTTGGGTTCACTGCTTCTCTTCACCTGTCGGTGTCGCTCTGTGTCTGTGTGCACGCTGCATAAGCCCCGCGGCAGCGCGATCAACTTAAATGTTGGTGTTCATATATATGTTCATTTATATGTAAAATGAATATCGCAGCACAAAAAATTATTGCACGCGATTTCAGAGAGTGTGCGATATGTCATTTTATTGCATATTGCGACAGGAATAAGTACCAGTGCATTTTTGAGTTGATATCCGAGTGAATTTTACTCAAACAATCGAGGTTTCGACATCTCTAGCTGTCAAACTGACAGTTGGTCACGAAATAAACTCCAATTAACGCAAGACTTGTAATTGTGAAGCCACGTAGTTTGTAGTTACACTTCGGTGTGTACTGGCGTCAGAGGATTTCACAGACCAATGCGATGGTTTTCAGAATCTGATTCCTTCACTAATAATCAATGCTTTCCAATCTACCTGCGGCAAAGTCCCCACTGGATCAACCGCAGTTAAACATTAGGTCTGAAATGATACTGTAAATGTGGACTTAATCTTAAAAAAACAATATCATTTTTTCTTAAATAATGTAAATAATATTATATAATATAATAAAACTATCCCCCCATTCTCAATTCAATTCCCATATGAATTAAAACTATTAGTTTCTCCATGACAACTTAAAAAGCACTAGATTTGTGGTGTCTTACCAATAGCTGAAGTCTTTCCCAGTCCATGGCCAGTGTTGAAGTCTCTGTTACCTCCAAGCGCTGCAGATTGCCTGCTAGGCTGCTGCTGTATTAGAGCAGCCTGTTGTTGTTGTTGCTGCTGCTGCTGCTGCTGCTGTTGTTGCTGCTGTTGTTGTTGTTGTTGTTGTTGTTGCTGCTGTTGCTGTTGCTGCTGCTGTTGCTGCTGCTGTTGTTGCTGCTGCTGCTGCTGCTGCTTAGCCTGAGCTTGAGCTTGAGCCTGAGCTTGAGCCTGAGCATGAGCTTGAGCTTGAGCTTGAGCTTGGCCGTGTGGCTGCTGGTCATGCGGCTGCTGCCCACTAGGGGCGCTGTTCTTATCCCACAGGTTGACTGGCTTGTAGTTGTAACGGTTTGGGTCTCCCCATGCTGATGTCCCGTCATCGATCTCGTTCTTTCTGCTGATAGACTGTGGTGAGGGTTCCTCCCAGCCGCTAGTCTCAGACCCACTTCCACCTCCCGCGGAGCCACCAGGAATGGGTCCCGAGGTCCAGCCTGAGCTTTGGTTCTGATTCTGGGCTTGAGAGATGTGTTTCCTCCCCACAACCCCTTGCATAGCCCCTTGGTCCAACGCTGGCAGCCGCTGCGGATGCTGATTGCGGGGCTGTGATTGTTGCTGTTGCAGTTGTGCCTGCGGGCCTGTGATGGAGCCCGGCTGGCTGTTTGGCATCTGGTGCATTTTGTTTCCTCCACTCCAACTTTGATGGGGTTTGGACGCCGTGCCCCCGACAACACCCACCCCCCCGCCTCCACTCCCTCCCCCCCCTGTGCCACCTGCTCCCCAGGTTCTCCGAGGAGCACCGTCATCCCAGCTCCCCCAACTACCCACACCCGAATCCCCACCTGAGTTTCCTCCTCCATTCTTCCTGTCGTCCTCCCATCCCCCATCTCCGCTATTTGATTTGGACTGCTGCTCTCCCCAGGCCCTAACTGCCCCAGCCTTCTGTCCTGATCCCCACCCGCTCCCTCCTGCACTCCCTCCCGTTTCTTTCCATCCTCCTAACCCTTTCTCCTCCTTATTTCCTCCCCAGCCTCCACTCACTGACTCACCCTGTTGTCCAGGATCACCCCAGCCTCCTCCATTTCCTCCTTTACTACTATTACTACTACTAATACTACTGCTGTCTCTCCATTCCTCATTACCCCAGCCCTTGGCCTGCTGGGCATCCCCCCCCACCGTTCCTCCTCCACCCCAGCCTGTAGCCTTACCCTGCTGGCTGTGTCCTGGCAGTACCCCTGACCCTGTTGCAGGTCTTGTTGCAGACACTGGCCCAGATTGTGAGACGCCAAGATTTCTCATGTTGGGGCCTGAATTCGGTGCTGCTCTCCCGGGAAGCGAGGCCCCACTACTGCTACTGTTGCTCTCCCAGCCCTCTCCGGAGGAACCGGCAGATGGAGCGAGGGAGTGATTGACCCCTGGACCCATAGATTCAGTGATTGGAGTCCTGTGTCCACCAGCGTACTGAGAAGAACCACCGAGAGAAGATGTGTGTTTCGATGTAGCTGATGATGATCTACCTTTACTCTGTCCTCCATGTTCTTCAAAGTCCCAGGATGTGTTTTGTCGGATCTGTGTCTGGCCCCAGCCTGTGTTGGACAGGACCCGAGGGTCCAGATCAGACCGGCTGAGCATGTTTTCTAAGGCAGCTTCAGCGTTAGGTGCAGGGTGGGGGGGACGACTGTGTCTACTGTTAGGCCCGCCCCCATTTCTGGAATTTCCACCACTGGATGACGATCCTCCCTGTGCTCCCTGTACATCTACTCCCCCACCCCATTCCCCTGTTTCACTCTCCCCCTTCTGATTGTCCCAAGCTCTGGTCATAGTGGTGGCTGTTGAGGAAGAGGTGGCGGGGGGGTTGCCAGCTGTGCTGCCACCACTACTGCTGCTGTTACTGCTGCAAGCGCCACCAATTCCTTCACCTCCTGAATTAACTCCACCAATAACAGTGGGGCCCCCACCCCAATCACCACCAGATACTGCTCTTTCTCCAACTACTGCTGATGACCCCCAACCTCCCTGAGATACCCCGGAGGTTTGACTACCGTTTCCTTCAGTTCCAGCACTGCCCCACGCATTACCCCCACCGGTGGAACTCTGGTACCCCCAACCCGAGGTCCCATTATCTCCTTCAGCAGTTCCGAATCCCCCTGTGCCACCGCTGCCTCCACCCTCCCATCCATCAGTCGTTGAGGCACCCATTTTGGAGTTAGCTGCAGGGAAAGAGGACTGGCCTCTCCATGAGGAGGCAAGGCTGTGGTCTCCCACACTCATCTCGCTTCCTCCCCGCACCTCGGTCCATTCCTCCCCCCAATCCCCTTCCCAACCTACATTTTTTGGTCCCGCTGATTCACTGTCCCACTTCCCCCCTCCCATCTCTCGGTCTCTGGATTGCATTTGGTGAAGCTGCCGCTGATGGGTGCTTGATTGATTCACAGATAAAGGTGGGTGACCCCCCAGCACCCCGGCTGACACGCCTCCCAGCGCCTGGCCCAGGGAAGCAGAGTTGTTGGCAGATAAAGACCCTCCAGGGCCCTGCTGGTGGAAGGAAGACGGAGCTCCTTCCCCTGCAGCAGCAGACCCATCCTGCTGCACCAGGGCAGGCCAGGCCGAAGGGTTGGCATTTGGATTGAAGTTGGCACCTGGAATCCCACTGCTGCCGTCGACGGGGCCACTGGCATCATGGCTCCCTGGCACAGCGGAGGCTTTGGAAAGTGAAGAGGGTTGTTGTAGCAGAGGTCCAGCTGCAGCTACGGCATTCCCTCCTCCAAGATGACCCTGGGAGGCAGCCGTCCCCCACGCCACACCGTTGGACGACTGCATACATTCATGGGGCAAAGAGAACGAGGAAGTGGGTGAGGATTGGTTGCCAGAAGCACTAATGCTGTTCACAGGAATTCCGTTGTTGTTGCCGACCCCTCCAGCCCCAGTGAATGACGCTCCTACCCCTTCACTGCCAGCGATGCTGGGCCACTCCTCCAGGTCGTTGCCATCAACGATCACCTTCTCCCTGCCCTGAGAGGAGACCTGGCTGCCTGAGCTCGCCCCCCACATGGAATTTGCATAATTAGAAGTAGTAGTAGAAGCAGCAACTGATGATGAGGTGAGGGCCAATGAGGAGGACGCAGCTGCACCAGAATCTGAAAAAGAAAAACCGACAAGAGAGAAACTTTAGGGGTCAAACGGACATGTTAAACAAATGCTCTTTACATTGAATGTTGGAGTTTTAAAATGGGACGAGCCGCATCGCTCCAGTTCACCTGAGACGGCAGCCATGTTTGCATTGGAGCCATCCCCTGCTCCTCCCCCTCCCAGCAGCATGGAGGACAGTGGCGGCTGACCCCTCTTCAGTAGCACTTTATGGTCCTGCTGGCAGCGGAATCGCGGCGGCACTTCTCTTGGCATGTAGCGCGGCTGCTGCTGAGGCGCTTGGGCTCCGCCTCCGCTACTTGAACCGCCGCTTCCAGCAGCACCGGGGCCGCCAGCGGTGGAGGAAGAAATGGTTGTGGTGGGCTGTCCGTTGGCCACCGCCAGGCGCTTGGCATTGTTGCCGCCCTGTGAGGGGGAGGCAGCACTGCCAGGGCCCAAGGTGGCTGGGGATGGGGAGGCAGAGGGGGTGGGTCCAGGGCTGGGGGAGGCAGAGCTGCTCTGAGTGGCAGGAGACTGGGCAGACACCGGCTTGGTCAAATCCGGCACTGCAAGAGGAGCAACGCGGAGAAAGAAATGGATCGGATCATAACCAAGCACATCTTTAGAGAACAATTCTTTTTCTGTAAATGATACGTGCAAGGTACTTATATGGTTTAAAAGATTGAATTTAGATACAACCAAAAAAAGATCATGCCAGGAAACAAATAAGTGAACTTTGGTGAACGCAATCACATAACTGCTTACCTTTGTTTTTTTGTTCTGTGACCTAAAAATTATAAGAAAAAAACATTGATTAAGTAACTTATTATTATTTTATTGTAAGTCGCTTAGGATAAAAGCGACAGCTAAATGGCATGTAATGTAATGGTTTAAAGCATGGTGAGGAGAGCCTGACAAAAATATGACATTCCATTCATTCATTCATCAAAGTTCAGTAAAACAACTGTGCTGAGCAAAGCTGAAGAAAAATTCACAAGAGTGTTTCTGTGGAGTGCTTGGATAAGAAATACAGCCCATTGTTGAGACTTGTTGGGTCTTCTTGTGTTCTTACTACTCCGATCTAGAATTCAAGTACTATTAATGACTATTGCTGAGATTTGGTTAGTACCATTTCCTATTCTCAGGACAGTTCGAACTAAAACTTGACCACTGTCCATGAAACACTTCAGAATTGAGCTCAATACAAAAGTTGAGCTCAATTCTAAAAGTTTTTTGTGTTTCTAAATTGCAATCACTTCAAGACAGACGCTTGAAGTCAACTAAAACAAAATACACAACTGTTTGACATCCCTTTAAAATTACTACTACATACAATTGACAACCACTTGAATCGTCATATAACATGTCACAATGATGAATACATATCTTTATAAAATTGTCAAAACCAACATGTAACGATTAGATGTGAATTAAATCCACACAACTACCACACAACAGTGGGTTTGCTTATCTGTGGCACACTTCAAAAAGGTGCACGATCTGAGATTGGCAGCCTCTTGGCGCCTCTCAACGGCTTGCGACATGTCAACAGTGAGCCAGATGCTCAGAGCTAACGCCGCTTACAACGCTAGCAGTGTTTACCAGAGAGGAAACTGGGGGTGGGCAATGGGCTTCCGTAACAACACCTAGTCAGAACGGCGCAGCCTATGGGCTGAGGACGAAAGAAAGCAAAACTAAGTTCAAACTGTGTCATTAATCTGATCGGTACAGATCACGCATCTACAGTGGTCTATTACACCACGAGTTATCAGCTACGACCTCCATATGACAGCAGAGCACTACAGCCGCCATGAGCTCACGATTGGTTCACGCTTGCACGCACCAATGGCAATAAAACCGTAAGCGTGCCACCTGGCCATGTCAACAAAGCAGGGACACACTGGAACAACAACACACGCTGAGGCCTCAACTTTGAATGATGTCTGCACAGCCGCTACTAGTCAGGCAAAGACTTTCATAAGCAGATGTAAATAAAGGCTACATGCACATGGCGAGGTCCACTTTTGCTGAAAATATCTGTGTGCGTGTGATTATTGTTGTATCCATCAAGTCACATTGTTTTCTTGTTAATCCAGTTAAATTCAGACAAAAAAATGGTTATTTAAAACCACATATGCAAACATTGCCTACAGAAAGAAAAATATGATGAAATTAAGCTTCATTTTCAGATCTCTGGATAAAATAAAAAAAATCTCTTAACTAGATTTTTGACAGTTTGGTAAATGGACTTTTCTCCTCACCCGACTACTCAAAGCGCAGCTTCAAAAACATTGAATCCTAACTCATCACGGACATCAAACACTCCCTCAAAAGCAGCAATAAAACAACAAAAATATCCAACTGGCGTTCAACACGTTTGTTCAATGGTGTCCAACTCAGATGAAGGAGGTTGCAAGTAATTCTGAACATGCTCACCTTCTGAGAGGCTTCCCTTTTCCTTTTGTCGTCTTTTTTCCTTTTCTTGTCTTCCATGAACTACTGCTCCTGTCCTGATACTCCTTTCTTCTAGAGACAAAAAGTAAAAATGGTATTCCAAAATGTCATCTGAAATTCACAATTTTTAAATTCCCCCAGTGCTTATTTGTGTATCCACCAACTCTTTACTGTAAAGTAAATCCCTGCAAAAAAGAGACATTGACCCATATTTATTGATGACAGTGGCAAGAATAAAGGTGAAAGACAACTGAACAGTTCACACACACACGTAAGCTTCCATTCAAGTGTGTAAGCAGCAATGGACTGCGTGCTTGATCGGACGAATCAGCCATCAGGTGGCAGAGCTAAGAATACTGCTGGACATGTGGGAAACAAACAGTAATTATCCCCATCATATGCCCGCAGAATGCTGTAAGCTGATCACACTGGTAGGTTCAACCAATGTAGACGGTTTACAAGGGGCTGGATTGATAGTAAGCCGAATAACCTTGTAAGCAGACTGAATGAGTGCATATAGCTATGAAAACAATAACGAGTGACCAACTAGAGGTTTGAGAGCCACTCTTATATGGCAACTATTTTCTAAAAATGAAGTGCTCACATCTTCCTGATGAAATGCAGGCTCTTTAACCCTCTGAACTCTCCAAACTCGTCTGCATAGTTTGTTTATACGGCCAAGACATGTTATAACCATAACCACCGTAGTTATTGTCACATTTTCTTAAATCCAACTGTCGCACCACGTGTGACGAAATTGTGATGTTTAAACACAGAAAAAAAACTGCAACTAGGAAGCCACGATTGACTCGTGGAGTACTAAAACAAAAATGCTGTAAAACTTTGAGATGAAGAAAGTTGAGGTTAAAGGTAAATGTGAATAACCCAAAAAAGCACACGGAGCCCCCATGTTTTCCCAACATTGGCAACATGCAAAGACATTTAATATTTAGATTATTTTCCCATTTTTGTCAAAAAAAACTTTTGTTTCTTTCTTGAATCATTTATTGCAATGTAATTGTGATTGTTTGTGCTGAAAATTTGGAACCGTATCTCGACCTATGTTAGGAGCATAGTGAGAAACCTCTGTCTCTGCGGCACAGCTGCAAAAGATCTGTTGCTCAGTGTGGATATTACAGTGTTTTTGCTGGTATACATGAGTTTTTTGCCAAAAGAGAGGCCGCCAGAGGCGAGGACACGGCCAGCCGGCAGGGACCCACCCGAATCAGAGTTGCAGAGAACAAACACACACTTGCTTCCTGATGCCACAGAAATTAAAATATTCTGCTATGATGAATGTCAGCGTGGGCAGTTTCTATTGGGTGCCATCGACAAGCCAGAGGGGGAACGAGCTGCGTGTGCGCATTACCATGCATAAAAGTTGTCCCTCTTCACTGGGACAAAGGTGTGGTATGGACCTTTGTCATCTGTTGCACAAAGTGACATTGTCACCCGTGCACAATGCATTCTGGTACAGGTAGGGACAAGCCACAGAGGGGGGGTCAGCTTATTTCAGTCACGATAGCACACACTGGGGAATAGATTTCTTCAGTGGACTACATTTACCATCAGCACTAAAAGGTAGCAAATGGCCCCTGCAACATCCGAGAGGCAAGAGAAGCATGCCATTCACTCAAGAACGACTACCAGTGGGATACCAAATCACTAACATGTAATATGGAGTTGTCCCCCCCCCAAAATACAAAATGATATTCACTGTTAAATCAACTATAACCTTCTGATGGGCTTAGGAAATATTGTCACTTCACTCATTATAGCAGCTTGTAAAGTCAATGTACCCACGTTCTGGCCTTCATTTGCAAACACTCACTGAGCGGTTCGCCCTGACATTGTGTATTTTGAGTAGGTTTCGTTTCTGCTTAACGCCATAACGCGTTCCACAGGCAGGGCTCCCTCGGGTTTAAACGAACGAACCTGACATCCTGCAGCATCTGTGACCTCAGGCCTGGTGCATCAGAGACACCTGAGCACCAAGTCAGTAAAGGGATTCGCACTCAGCCCGGTGCGGCCACCGTTACGCCGGTAATGTAACGTTCAGCCGGTAACGTGCCAGATCACGTAACGTCACCCAGTAACTTCGTCCCCGTCAACGGTACGACCAGCTCCTCCGCAGCTAGCTAGCTAGCTAGCTAACGTCACAAAATTTGCACAAACATGACAAACGTGTGTTCACCACAAATCGAAAGTCACCTAGAAAAACTGATCCGCCACGAAGGTTCGCGGTCGTTTCGGGACTTAAGAGGTTGATGCAGGCGACAAGTTGGAACAGCAGCTGCGGCTGAAATGTTCCGTCGACGGCTCGCGTTAAGGAGTGGTTTCTGTTCGTAAAAACACCCTGACGACGAGCAGCGCGCACACCAAACACCAAGTTAACGCTCGCGACCATCGTTCAACCAGTGACGCGTTTAGTTACGTTAACTACCGTTTCTCCTTCACAGCAGACACGCCGAGCCTCGAGCCGCATACCCACCTCCGCTAACGCACAGCCGCGGATACCGCTAATGCTGTGGAACGTTAGCTAAGTACGCTAAGCTACCTACTGACAGAAGCTACAAGTAGCAAGGCTAACGGTGTTAGCTTAGCGAGCAGGAACCCTGGCGTTTTATGGACACAAATGTTGCCGTCATTTTTGCATGCACAGCAAATGCGAAACATTAACACGGTACATAATATCACGCACACCCGCAGCTCGAGTTACTCACCTCTGGGATCACATATGAGGAAAAGCTGGCGTGCTAGCTAGCTTTGCTAAAGTGCTTCAGTGCGATTTCTTTTTTTTTTTTTTTTTGCTTTTCAGGCATTCGCCGAGGCAACAAGAACAGCGACGCCTGAGCGGGCAGTTAAGTAACTGGCGGACGACGAAAAAGCACCCGCGCCGAGCTACTGGTTCGTAAATAAGTACTAACGTTGTAATAGTGTAACCCTTAATGTGCAGAAGAATTTAAATTTCAAAGCGCTGTGGAGTCGGTCGGTTGACGGGCGGCCATTTTGCTGCTGAGCATGAAGCGTCTCCAATGGCCAGCGGCAGCTGCGCGGAAGCCTTCTGACTGGCTGCGCGCCGCCGCGAGGGATGCGTGAGGCGCTCATGCTGACCTTCATGCACTTCTGACAGTCCCAACTTTGCACCACCGTCCATGCCTCATTTGGGGGGTCATTCAAGAATGCACGTTGTTTCAATTCGCCCTTTAAGGTCATAAACAGAAACCGAAGCTGCGCACAACTTTCATTGGACAGCATGGGGCCGAGGAAGAGGCCGTCGGAGGAGGCTGAGGAGATGAGAGACCGCAGGAAGAAGAACCGTGGGAATAATAAATACATCGGAGCTCATGTGGGCATTCGGGGTGAGGACCGATGCCATGTCGTTAGAGTTTAAGTAGTTGTAACGCACACGCACGTATTTCCTGTGCTTGCCTGTTTCCTGTGCTTCTCAGGTGGGATATGGAAAGCAGTGGAGTCCTGCACAGAGATGGGGGGCAATAGTTTCGCCCTGTTTCTGGGCTCCCAGCGGTCGTGGAAGAGGCCTGCGCTGGACCACGCAGCTGCAGACAGGTTTAGGGAGCAATGTTCCCTATGGGAGTATGACCCTGCACATATCCTCCCTCACGGCTCCTACTTGATGAACTGTGGATCTCCTAAAGAGGGTTTGTCGGACAACAATGGATGTCTTCTACCAGTTCCGTCCTTGACTTGTGTCTGCTCTCTCCCGCTCAGCCCCCTGGCCTTGTCGTACCCTTCCAACCGTGTCTCCTACCCTCTTGACAACCCTTCCAGATGTGTTTGAGAAGAGCCAGGCCCTGTTGGTGGATGAGCTCAGCCGCTGCAGCCTGCTGGGCCTCAACCTCTACAACTTCCACCCTGGTTCCTCCCTGGGCTCCATCACCACCGAGCAGTGTGTGGAGAAGATAGCAAGCGCCATTAACCGAGCTCACCAGCAAACACCTGCCGTGATTGCAGGTGCAGTGGGTGGAGAAAACAACAAAAACCTTTAGTGCAACGCAGTAGCCACGGAGTAAATACCGTATATCTAAAAAACAGAAACACACAAAACATCTGTTGGAACAGAGCAAGGGTTAATATGGTGTATTTGTGGAAAACATTTGATTAAATGTACTTTAATGCATAAAGGAACTAGTGTAAACATAAATACCAAGGCTGGTACCCCAAACAAACGTATTCAGTTATAAAATTGCCAGTTGTGCACCAACTGCAAACACTTCAAACTGATGTCATGCCGCATGGGGGGGATGTCGTATAGCCACAACGACACATGCTAAATATAGGAAAACGTCAAAGACAAAAAGTAGAGAACCACACTGATACTGTGTACACTGTTACAATTACCTCGATCCGTCCCTCTCGGTGGTTTTGGCGAGCGGAAAACCTTTCAGAGCTTCACTGAAATCTGAATTTACTGCAAGACGATGCTTCATTCAGTGAACCTCAGCATAGCGAGAGATCTTCGCCGCTAAACCAAATTAAAATCTAATGTGACCCCAATCACAGTCTGTGGGTTAATCCCTTTCAACGTACGTTCAAAATATTCTTGTGGAGGATTAATATTTTGCTACCACAAGTCAATTATCAGAACAATGGGCGCGTCACCATCTCGCACAGAAGCGTTTGACCTCGGACGGACTTCAGTGTGGCAACATAACAGAAGAATTGCAAAACTGACTGCAGGCTCGACACCGACGTGTCGCTTGTAATTCATGGCCACAGCCCTTTTCACTCGCAAGCTTGCGTGAGCGCGATGCGCTGCGGTGGAATGCCCACACTGGGGCAGTAGCCCGCCCACAGACTGTGCCTCAGGAAGGAGCATCAACCAAAGCCAAGCTGCGTCGGGCGCTGTAGCGCGCCGGGTTATCGGAGTGGAGGGTTGAGTCGTCAAACTGACGGTGCCTTTCTTTTCTTCTTTTTGCCACCCGCGTGGTCAGTGTTGGAGAACATGAGTGGTCAGGGCAATACGGTGGGCGGCAAGTTCTCCGAGCTGAGGAGCATCATAGACAAGGTGAGGGACCAGACCAGAGTCGGAGTGTGTCTGGATACCTGTCACGCCTTCGCAGCAGGTGAGCGGAACCTGAGGCTTTTGTCTTGTCGTCCCACTAAATCAGCATGAATCTAAAAGGGTTTCGCCCAAGTTCATAGTTTGCTATAAACCAACAACCTGTTTAAAATCCAAGCCTTTGATTATTGAAGCTTCCGCTAGAGACGCTTGGGCTGTTTCTTGTCTCGGAAGGGTATGATGTGGCTGCAGAGGGAGGAGTGAAGGCCATGCTGGACGAGTTTGAGCAGGAAGTCGGGCTCCAATATCTTAAAGCCCTCCATCTCAATGACTCCAAAGGTACAGCCAGGACTTTGTGTAACTATCACATGCACAGATTAGATGGACTAGATTCCACTTTTTCTCTCTTTTGCAGGGAAGCTAGGCTGCAACCTCGATCGCCACGAAGACATCGGGAAAGGTCACATCGGAATCTCTGCTTTCCGGGACATCGTCAACGAGCCCAGACTGGACAACATCCCTCTCATACTGGAGACACCTGGACGGTGAGACGACTGCAGAGAGAAGGAGTCGATCAATGTGTACCTGTCAAACGTTTGGACACTATTTCTCATTGAATTGAATGAGGGAAATGTGTCTAAACCTTTGACAGGTAATGTTTATGGTGTTTACATTGGACAACACACCTTTTTTTTATTTATTTACAAAGTGGGAATATAGTGTAGCAAAGTGCACAGTCTGTTCTTTGTCATATGTCCTTTTTAAGTGAAATAAATCATTCACAGACGCCATCGCACTGGTTGAGTTTAAACATTGCCGTTGTGTTTCTTTTCCCCGCAGGCCAGGTTTCGAGTACGCTGAGCAGATTGAACTTCTGTATTCCCTCTATGAGTGAAGAAAGTTTCTACCGTCACTGAGTAATTTTCCTCGGCTAAACTGAACCAACCTTCAGGACCAAAAAGGGTGCTGGATCCAGTTCTCCTTAAGCGTCATCAATCAGAGCTTTTTTAATCTGTGTGAACAGCTACGAACATGACTTGAATAAAAGTGTTGTTAGAAGTAGCTGGAGTTGTCCTGTTCACAGTGATCCATTAGAGGGCAGCAAGAACACACAGCATGAGCCCCGAGTCCTGCACGTGATCCCAAATGAGGCCGGCAGAGAGGAAAAATCCAATCTATCTGCACGTTTGCATTTGGCATATTGGTATTTATATATACTAATTTGTAGCGTTATTTTTTTTATCTTGCTTATCTGATGTTGTAATGTCATTATTTGTATTTACAGTTTGCCCTTGAGTTGTTCAGAAAAAGCACATTAACTTCTACTTCTACTCAAGCAACAATTGTACTTTTAATCCACTGATATTATTTGATAAGGCAAGACAATAATTACTTGTAGATTGTGTCGATTAAACAAATCAATTTGAATGTTTTATTCTAGGATACACCAGCAATGCATTACCTTATTAAAATAAACCACACCCTTTCCAGGAGCCACATCAAAGTGATGCTTGCACATTAATATATAAATTATTGTTATCCAGTAATATAAAATATCCTGCATAATAAGTTATCTCTTGTTTTAATGCCAACACTTTATTTGTATATCTATATGTATTTAGTCAATTTGTAATGTGGGCCTTCAAGGTAAAGTAAGGGAGTAAAATGTGTGACCGTTGTAACACATGTACAGTACCATACCTACACCACCCTGATCACCACTAAACCCCCACATTCCTTCTTTAAAATGGTCCAGCTGTTGAATACCAACACTTTGGTGCAGCTGTTGACACCCTGGGGCGACGCCGATTGATTGTCACGGCAATTCCAACACCTCACGGTGCTCATAAACATGCATGTAAACACACACAGGACGACATTCCCTCACATTTGAGTCTTGCAAACAGCTTTCTAAACTCACAGTTATTTTCCCCTTAAATTATACACATAAGCGAACGCAGTAATTTCACATTAATCTGCCGTATTCTACACATGTATCTGCTCTAAAATGTACTTTCTGAGGTACTTTCTTCTCCATTGGTTTTTCTGTGTAAAATTAGTATGTTATTTATTTTCCCTGCACATCTCACATACTTCTATCAGAGCATCAGGCCCCCGGGATTATTCTTTTTTCCTCCGTTATCTGGCCACTGAGACTTTGACCTTGCACTTTCAGACGCTTGTTTACATGTGACATTCGTAATCTTGGAATTTAAACTTAATCTACGGCTTCATAAATAGCGGATAAGAGCGTCGAGCACAGAGTGGTCGAGTGAGAGCAGGTCCAGACAGTGTGTCTTTCAGTTTGGTCCTAACAGAGACAGGAAGTGGAGGTGCCTGGCCCAAGAATGTCTCCGCTCTCAGGTCCCACCCACAGGAAATGCCTGTCCGGCCTGTTTGAGTCTGAGCTGATGGAAAAAACGTTGTCTCCTGTTAGCAGCGTTTGGCTTCTGACGGAAGAAAGGATGGATGGAGTTTTAATAACGCCGAGGCCGGTCCTGGAGTACTTGTACGCGCGGTAGTTTAGATAAGCCGATGCCTGATGGTTTTTGGAGGTGTTCTGGTGATCTGCTCGGGTCAGGGGTTACAACCCAGGGAAGCCCGAAGACTAAACAGTGAACACACATTCTTGAACATGTTAAGGGGGAAACTCCGATGGGAAAATACAAATGCCTTTCCATTCTCTAATTATCTTAAGATGTTGGCATTCGCTGGTTCTGGTGCGCCCGTGTTTGTTGCGAGCGACGGTCCAGACGTTTCTGCTCCTCTTTCTCCATCTGTTAGGGACCCGGTTTTATTAACAGTTTTTCCCCCCCAGTCTGTGCTTTTGTTTTTGCTTGTTTTGTTTCTTCCACCTATAGTTTCCACCTGTGTGTTCCGCCTCCGGCCCCACCCCTCTCCCACGTGCCCAGCTGTGGCTCATTCCGGGGATCACTGGTGACGAGTATAAAGGCTCCTGCTGTCTGAGGCTCGTCGTCAGTCCGTCCCCAGTACCCAGGCTGGTCTCAGGTGCCGTAGATACTTAGATTCAGCAGCTAGACCAGTTGATTCATGTTTTTGGTTTGTTTTGGTGTCAGATCCACGGAGTACCTCGGAGTGCACGTAACCTGCCCTTTTTTTCGAGTTGGACTGTGAATCTGGTGTCGGGCCTCGGGTATCCACACCAGACCCTGTTTGAGCCACCCCAGACCGCCAGACGTCGGTGGAGTTTCCCTCCCGACTCCAGTTGAGTCAGAGGAGCGCCTTTTCTGTTTCCCGTGTTCCCCTTGTTTGTTTTTGTGAGAAAATAAAACTAATTTTGGCTGAAGATCCAAGACTGCCGTGCGTGTGCTTTTGGGCCCACCAAATTCACCTCACCCCCCACCCTAACAGAACGGACTGACCAGCAATGGACCCAGCCGCCGCAGCAGCATCCCCTCCAGAGGAACCCCTTCGGAGGGCGATTTCCAGCCATGGCACCCTTCTCGGGCAACACCAGCAGGTGCTGCAAGAGCTACGGGACTCCCAACATACCCTCGGGGCTCAAATAACCGAGATGGCCAGCATGATGCAGAGCCTGGTGCTCCACCGTTCACCCCCCCCAGAGACTGTTCCTGTGGACTTGTCCAGCATCCGTGAGTCTTTTGTCCCCTCACCAGTGCCTTTTGATGGAGTGTCTGGAGAGTGCAGAGGATTCCTGCTACAGTGTGGATTTGTTTTTAACCAGCAACCCCGCACTTTTTCTTCAGACAATGCAAGGGTGGCCTATACTGTGGGGTTGCTGCGTGGCAAGGCACTGGTTTGGGCTGAAGCATGGCTCAGCAGACGCAGTGCAGACCGGGTCACCTACCTGTTCTTCATAGAGGAGTTCAAGAGGGTGTTCAACCACCCGGTTTACGCTAGGGATGTGGTTCAGCGCCTGCTCAGTCTTCGCCAGGGGGCGACCAGCGCCGCAGAGTATGCTGTGGATTTCCAGATCCTGGCCACTGAGTCCGGTTGGGGCGAGGAGGCGCTAAAGGGGATTTACCGCAACAGTCTTTCGGAGCTGTTGAAGGACGAGCTTGCGGTCCGGGAGATGCCAGAGACATTAGAGGAGCTTCTCACACTCTCCATCAACATGGACAACCGTATCCGGGAGCGCCGTCGGGAGAGGACCTACTGGCCCCCCACCACTGCTCGGCAGTCAACCTCAGTCTCCAGTTTTCCGCCGACGAGCCCGTTCCAACGATACAGCTCTGCACGTCGCCTCTCTCCCGCCCCAGGACCTCCTGCATTGGAGCCAGAGGAGCCAATGCAGCTGGGCCAGGCCCATCTCTCCCCAGAGGACAGAGAGCGGCGTTTTCGCTCCGGAGGCTGCCTTTACTGTGGGCGGTTAGGACATCGTATGGCCGTCTGCCCTGTTCGGCCAAAAGAGAGAGCTCGCCGGTAAGAGTGGGGGTGCTGGCGAGCGTTTCAGAGAGAGTCCCTCATGCCAAGCCTCAATCTGTGTTTCCTGTCACCCTGTATCTTTCATCTGGTCCGGTGCACCTGCCCGCACTTATTGACTCCGGGGCTGAACAGAACTTTTTGGACACAACTTTTATTAAGCAGAGAGGCATCCCTGTGGAGGCATTAGAACGAGCTCAGCTGGTGAGGGCACTGGATGGCAGTTCTCTGGCTGAGATAACACACCGAACTCTACCCATCTCTCTAATCGTGTCTGGGAATCATCGTCAGGAGACACAGTTCTATGTTTTCCCTTCCCCCCAAATACCGCTGGTCCTGGGCCTCCCCTGGCTCAGGGATCATAATCCACAGATTGATTGGGCGAGGAGCAGGATCACAGGCTGGAGTTCCACTTGCCACTCCCGCTGCCTCCGGTCTGCAGTTCCCCATCAGGTTCTTCCCTCAGGCAGACCTGACACTGGCCCTAGTCTCTCGGCGGTGCCCAAGGAATACAGGGACCTAGCAGAGGTATTTAGCGTGGAGCGGGCGGTTTCACTTCCTCCTCATCGCCCCTATGATTGTGCTATTGACTTGCTTCCGGGAGCCCCACTACCTACGAGCCGGCTATATAATCTCTCCCGTCCTGAGCGCGAATCCATGGAGAAATATATTACAGACTCTGTTGCCGCAGGGATCATACGTCCCTCATCTTCCCCTGTGGGAGCGGGTTTCTTCTTCGTCTCCAAGAAGGACAAGACCCTCCGTCCCTGCATTGATTACAGAGGTTTGAATCAGATTACTATCAAGAATAAATATCCATTACCACTTATCTCCTCTGTTTTTGGGTCCCTAGCTGAAGCAAAGATATTCACGAAACTGGACCTCCGCAATGCGTATCATCTGGTGCGCATCAGAGAGGGGGACGAATGGAAGACTGCCTTTAACACACCGTTGGGACACTTTGAATACCTGGTGATGCCGTTTGGATTAACCAATGCCCCGGCAGTTTTTCAGGCACTGGTTAATGATGTGCTACGTGACTTCCTAAACCGATTCGTGTTTGTGTACATTGATGACATTCTCATCTTCTCTCCGAATCCCCAGGAGCACGTTAACCATGTCCGGCAGGTTCTGCAGCGACTGCTGGAGAATCAGCTATTCGTTAAAGCTGAGAAGTGTGAATTCCACGTCTCCTCCGTGCAGTTCCTTGGCGTTTTCATTGAGGAGGGGCAAGTGAGAAAGGACCCTGAAAAGGTAAAGGCGGTAACTGAATGGCCAGTACCCGCCTCACGAAAGAAGCTGCAGCAGTTCCTGGGATTTGCTAATTTCTATCGCCGATTCATCCGGGACTACAGCCGAATAGCAGCACCACTGTCTCAACTCACTTCCTCTAAGATAACTTTTTCTTGGACCCCAGAGGCAGAGAAGGCATTTTGTGCCCTCAAGGAACGCTTTGCTTCGGCCCCAATCCTGGTTCACCCCGACGAGACCCGCCAGTTTGTCGTCGAGGTTGACGCTTCTGACACCGGCGTTGGAGCTGTACTATCCCAGCGGTCGGCGTCCGACTCTAAACTCCATCCGTGTGCTTTCTTCTCCCGCAGACTTTCCCCGGCGGAGAGGAACTATGACGTGGGCAACCGTGAACTGTTGGCAGTCAAGTTGGCCTTGGAGGAGTGGAGGCACTGGTTGGAGGGAGCGATGGTCCCTTTTGTGGTATGGACCGACCACCGGAATTTGGAATATATCCATACGGCCCGACGTCTCAACTCACGCCAGGCCCGCTGGGCTTTGTTTTTTGCCCGTTTTAATTTCACACTCACCTATCGACCTGGACACAAGAACACCAAGCCGGACGCCCTCTCCCGTCAGTTTGCCCCTGAGAGCGACTCAAGTCCTGACACCATCCTTCCCGCCTCGTGCATTCTCGGAGCTGTTACCTGAGAAATAGAGAGAGTGGTACACGAAGCCCAGAACGCCCAACCTGACCCAGGAGGGGGTCCACCGAATTGCCTGTTTGTTCCTGC